AAAATGTGTAATTTGAAATTTAAATTTTTTTTTAATTTGTGCATATTTTGACTGAAAAAATATTTAAAATTCACCCATCCATTGATTTAAATATTTTAGAAAATCTGCCCACTTCAGCTCAGAGATTGAGCGGGTGGACGTGGGCAGGCGGGCTAAAAACCTGCCTATCTCAAACCTCTAGGGTGGGGTTCGAACCTAAATCTTTTTTTATTAGTGGAAAAATTATGAAACGTGAAAGGAATGGTGACGATTATCCAGTGAACGTTCCCGGAACAGTTGTGAAACGTTCCCAAAAATAATGTCAAAAATCTAATTTGTTCCATAGTTATGATTGGCTAGACCACAAATTAACTCCCTTGATTACAAAAGTAGGTTATATTCAATAACGGAATAGAAGAAATGTTGAAGAGTACGAAAAAAAGCAACATTAATTCATTTATTACAAATAAAATGAGTAGTATTGAATATATAAAACTTCCCCTTCACCAAACATGGTCCTATTTCTGATATTTCCATCCTCGAACGACATAATGAAGTGGTAATCATAGCGAATTTTATTTTTTGCTTTACCCGCTCATAATGCTAAAATTGATAGAATCTTTTCTTTATTCGATAGTAAATGAACAAATGAGAAGAATAGATTATCCGTGCACTCTAATAAGATCAATTTAATGCATGCGATATAATTTTAAATCGTTTTTATGCTACCAGTTTTATTAATTTTTAAAGAAAAGGCCAAATATATAACGAAAAACATATGTAAATGAAAAATAAATGTGATTTGTAAGTTATATAGATTAATTCGATTTAAATTATTTTATGTTATTTTTATAAAATATTATACTTATTATAATATAATAAAAATAAAGTACATACTCGGAAAAAAAAAAATATATATATATATATAAGATATTTAAAACATAAATGTTTAATTATAACGAAAAAATATTTTTTTTTGTGGTTAAAATCTAAATATAGTTGCGATGCAAAATATAAATAAAATTAACAAAAAAGTTTTTAATATAAAACAAATGACTATATTTGATAAACTAGGAGGGAAATGGGAGTGTTTATGCAATAAAAATAAATGATCGCTTAAAATTAATTTTTTTCTAAATGTCCTTTTTTTCATTAAGCAGGATCTGGCAACCCTACCTATGGCTCTCTTCTAAATACGCTAGGATTTATAGAATATAAATATTTTTGATTCTATTTGTTTATATGGAAATTTAAATTCCTAAAAAAGGAAGGATTAATGATAAAAATAACTGTATTATACTAAAAATAAAATTAAACGTTACAATTTATTCTATATTCAAACCATTACTTATCCTTATTTTGTCAGTTCCATAAGAAGATCTTTTCAAAAAAAATATGCTGGTGCTATAGCCTAACGTAATATGGCGTAACCTCGGCCCATCATTATATATTATGGCTCATTTATAAATATTCCTTTTTTATTTTTTTTAATTAAGTTTGCTTCAAACTTTATTACCAATTTATTTAGTATTATTTATGTTATTTTAAGAATTAAGACCTTAAAAAATCAAATAATTTTAACTTGTTTTATCTTAAAATTAATATGATATAGTAAAAATTTACAATTTCATTGGCGAATATTCTTACCAATTTAATGTTAAGTTGGGTTTTTGCTCAGTCAAATGTATATTATCACCAGAAATTTAATTAGATATTTTTTTAATCATGTTAAAATAATTTTTACTGTTTTATTATAAAATTAATATTGTATAATTAAAGTTCTAAATTTAAATGTATATTATTATTAATAATTTAATGATATGTAGTATTTTTTCTCACTCAAATTTATAATACCACCACCGCACAGATATAAGTATTACATAAAATGTCATATACATAGTGTAGGTATAATAATAGCAACTCATTTCGCCAAGTTAATAAAGTAGAAATTTAATTAGATATTTTTTTAATCATGTTTTAAATAATTTATAACTCTTTTATTATAAAATTAATATTGTATAATAAGAGATGGATAATATTCTTACCAATTTAATGTTATGGATAATATTCTTACCAATTTTATGTCAAATGGTGTTTTTCCACACTTTATATTACTCAGAGACCTGCAGAGGTACCATTTATACGGCCCGACCCGGATTTTTTTTTCAAAATTTTCAGCCCGGCCGGGTTTTTTTTAAAAAAATATTTTATTTTATTTTAATTTTTATAGCTAATAATGGCGATTTCAAATATTTGGTTTTAAAATATACAGCCCGGCCCGAGTACACGGGCCAGGCTTGGGGCCGGGCCTGTAGGTCTCTGATATTACTAGTGTAGAATTGGTATGATATCAAGATTTTAATTATCCTATTTTTTAATATATTTTTAAATAATATCTGGCCCCGACCACAAACAAGTATAATTATTAAAAATATTGAAATAATATTAAATATATTTTAAAATCTAAGTAATTTATGACCCTTTCTTTAGCTACCATTTTCAAAGTATCCTTTTTTAAATTTTTTTAGGGGGTTCTTAAAATTTTTTCCGAGGGCTCTAGCCCGTGTGCCTTGACCCCCTAGTGACGCTACTTTGTTTTTTTATAAAATTAATATTGTATAATAAAAATTTAATATTTTAATGGATAATATTATCGCCAATTCAAGTTTGAGAGGTGTTTTTTTTTCTCGTTCAAATATAAATGATGTTCGTTTATAAAATGTTTTAATTAATACTTAAATAATGTGGAGTTGGTTTAAAAATAAAGTAGAAATAAAATTAGATATTTTTAGGAACGCGTTCTGGAAGGTTCTGAGATCTGTAACATAGAACGGAATTGGAATGGAACAAATCTTTTGACCGGAAACGGCGGCTTTGGAACCAAAAATGCATTCGTTCCGGGTCCCTTATAGAAAGTGATGATGTTTTCTCTTCTTTTATCAAAACAAAATGATAATCGGAAATTTTTCTGTGATAAATCGTCTGTTAAGTATTATAATGTTCTATATCCACTTTTTTGAATTCTTCTGTACTATATTCTTACATATCCAACAGTAAAAATTTTAAAATTTAATGATAATAATTTATTTTGCATTATTAAATTGTGAATTTTTATTTTTAATACAAGAAATCCTTTTTTTTCTTGAATGCTCTTTTGAACAATTTTTTTAAAAAATGGATGTGAAACATTATAATCCTCATCATACGAAATGACAGAGGAAATATCAAATTTTATTTCATTTAACTAAATAAAATGAGTTATTAAATTAGAAATATTGGACAAAAGCTGAAAAATTGAATATGCTGAGCACCACCCTCTGTGGGCCTCTAAATGTATGAATGGAATTAATAATCCATTTTTTTTTAAATTTTAACCTACAAGTCGAACTTTATTTGATGTCTTTTCTAATAAAATATTTTACAACTATGGTAATTATCCGTATATATATGTCTATATGGGACATGGAATCCATTTGGGATATCGAATCTCTCATATTTTACATGATTTACTGAGGCAAATTTTAAATTTAAAATGTTCTTAAATAATTTCTAGAATAATTCTTTTAAATAAAGTTAATTATACCCCCCTCTTACCCCCCCCCCTTACCTTTCGCCATAGCAAATTCCTGCGTACGCGCCCTGCCGTATATTATTTTCCTAACGGGAAACTTAAAAATGAAATATGAAATCTTGTTAAAGTTTTGCTAAGTAACCCTTTACTCTAAACAATTCTAGCAAAAAAAATATTTATCAAAATATAAATTAGATGGTCTTGTTTTTAAGTCATTTGGCGGCTTTTCGTATTTTATTTTTTTTTTTAAATTTTACGAAAGAAATTTTTGTAAAAGGTAGTTAGTAATGTTAAGTAGGATTCTTTTTTGTTACACAACTAGGACATCGATAAGGATTTTGGTTAAAATAAATCGGGAAATCTTTGACCTAAAACATTGTGATTTTGAGATCAAATGATTATAATAAGGAAAAGTTAAAAGGTTTTATAATAATAATAATGTAATATATCGTTGGTCTCACTGCAAAACGACTATATATTTTTTTTTTAAATCCACAAGGAGAGACAAAATAAGAGTATTTCAATATTAAAGATTAATTTCAAATTTAGTACGATAATATGCCATTTACAAAATTATCTCAAACAACGTGTTAAACATTCACTTAATATAACAATGGGAATTGAGATGTGAATGTCCGACCCGCAAAGCTTAAAAATCCGGCCAGCAAAAAATTATAAATGGCTGGGCCATTAAAAGTAAAAAATAAACTGGTCGGGCCGGATAGCTCGAAAATCTATTATTTTTGCTTAAAATTTAAATTTTGATAAAATATTTTTGTATTTTAAGTTAATATTTTGATTTTGATGAATAATATTTGGAAAATAAAATAAGTTATTGCATGCTTATTTCTTTATATAAGAGCTGTCTAACTAAATAACTAAAATCTATAAATTAAAGAAGATTCATCAAATATTTAACCAAGTTATTAATTATAAATGATTCAATTACAAATGTACACAATACAGGTATCAAAAAACAATTGATTTATAAAACGGTTGTTATAGAAATAGAAAACTATAGAGTAAAGAGCCTAAATTGACATCTAAAAAGAAATAGATATAGATATCAAAAATGTCCGAATCAGTGACTTTTAGTAAATAAAGGGTCTGGAAATGAGTAAAAAATTATTATCAGGCCTGGATGTGCCGGAAAAATATTTAAATAACGGTCCGGGGAACTTGTGCGAAAAATTTTAGTGAACCGAAATAAGCAGGGCAGAGTTTAGCAATCCACTTGGAATATATAATTATATAATATTTTTGCCATAATCTTAAGATAAGGATAGAATTAAAGTTTTAAATAACGATAGACATTTTTATTGGTTATTGGTATAGGAACTTTATTAATAACCCCATCAATTAGAAAAGACGCATTTCAAAAAGTTCGTTGGTTAGAACACTGCAATGAGATCTTGTAAAAATTATTATAATATAATGAATTTATTTTTACTTGTACATGATCTGGTACAATAGAAATGTTATAAGGACAAATAAGGACCCGATTATTGTGTAAATTACGAAATTGAAAATCTTCATAGACCTCCAAAATTTATCATTGATTTTAACCTCGTCACCGTTACATAGCATCAGAAATTTAAATTCTTCGTATTTAGTACTACTAGATGAGGAGGAAACTATTTCATCTTTGCTCTTTGGCCATAATTTTGTCAATTTTCTTGTATCCAAAACGCTGAATTTTAATTTAGGCGCTAAGGACGATTCGGGAAAGTTGCTAAGATTTATATTCCCTGTGGGACTATAAGGTGAAGGATGGACGTTGTTATTTGTAGAAAATTTTACCATTTTTTTTTATTGAGTGAAAACTTTAGCAAGATGTTTTTTTCCTTCCTTTTATTCTTATTTTAATATCTAAATATCTCAGGAATCAGCAAAGGGCAATGTTTAAAGTCTCTTTCATTTCTCGTTTAAAATAATTTATAGAGTATAATTAATAAATATCTGATTTTGTAATTATATCTTTTGTGTTTTTAATTTTTTTTAAAATTTTTTTAAAAATTTTTTAAATTAAATTTTAAAAAATGGGGAAAAATTAAGAATTATTATAAGCATTAAAAAAAATCGATAACAAAAAAGGAAAATAATATATACTTGGAATATGACATGACTTAAATACAGTTGGGCTGTAAACTAAGTGGTTATGATTGCCTGATTTATCCGAATTCCTTAATGGAGGTTATCTTTCTAATGTAGCAATCCAAGAAAGAAACATTTTCAAATATCCCCTCATCATCCTTATAACAATAGTATTATATATAATCTATAAAATATTCATTCTAATTTCTCAATAATTTATATAACAACAAATACCTATCAAAACAACTTGTACAATTAAACCACCTAATCGATTAACTAACTGTTACTATTAAATCTCGACTAATTATTTTAAATAATATAAATTTGCATTTATCTTCTCCTAATTTTGTATCGATAAAATAACACTTTAATAAACTTATTTAAATAAACCAGATGGCTTACATATTCATTAAGTAGCTCCAAGATTTACCTAAAGTATGACTTGCCATTTGGCCCTCCTATTCATAATAACGCCAGCGCAGTTATATATTTATTTAATCATATTATCATTTTATCTATCACTTGAAAAACCTATCGACCTCCTACCCTCAATAAATCTATTTCATAAAATAATAGATAATTTATCAAAAAAGATAGAAGGAAAGAATGAAAGAAAGTTCGGTTCTTAAATGAGAATCAGATTCTGGTGTTTTAGCTTGCGCTTCCGGTTTCATACTTTATTAATAAGAAATTTCAAAAATCTTTTTAATAAGGTTCAAGTTTAATTTCAAAAGGCAGACAGGGTTCCTGCTTCTACAAATTTTTAAAAAAGAGGTTCTGGATATTAGATTATTTTTTTCTGGTTCCTTTCTAAAAGTTCTAGTTTCAAGTAATAGAGAGAATAATTTGATTTAAAAGCTGTCTCCAAAACCAAAGTTTCAAAACTTTCGCAAATTTTAAAATCATGCTAAATTTTCGAAATTTTTAAAAATTTTTGGAATTATGTCTCATAGGTTAGGACATGTTTTTATTTTTATTTAGAATTATTATTTATTTATTTTGATCAAAGTTTCGAAAGTTTGTGAATTCAATTTTTTGATATTTTAGACGCAACCTTAATAAATTTTTAAATATAATACGAATTCTCAAATATTTTGATTTTGACTAATATTTTAACAAATATTAATGAATGATATAAAATTTTCTTGTATATTATTTATAAAAAAAAAATATTTTGAAAATTGAATAGATTTTTTTTAATTGCACAATATAAAAATGTAATAAAAATGGCAAAATAAATTTCTTTTAAATTATTGAATATGTAATTTATATTAATTAGATGATGATATCTTAACTCAAGATTCAACTGAAATTTTTGATATCTGAATGAAATATATTTAAAATTTAACAGGCATCTAAAGTAAGGAGTAAGATGAAAGGGCGCATACGCAGAAATTTCCTAGGTATAATGGCGGGTAATTTAAATTAAAAAAAAAAAATTTCTTGCACTTATTTAAGAATATTTAAGTTTCAGGAATTTATTAGGACTATTGACTATAAAATATTGAGAATTTCTAATACACAAATTCAAATATAAATATTAAGTACATATTTTTAGGATATGAATAATCACTAAAATAAATATCTCAAAAAATAATTTTGTAAAAAAAAAGATATAAATTTTTCAAACATTTAAAATTTGATATTTAAATTTAAATTATAGTTTTTAAAAAAAATATGTCGGAAATGTAAATTTTAATCTAGCAAAAATATTCTTAAGAATTATTGCACATATATAAACCTGCAAATAATTGATGGAAAAAATATATGGTGAATTATAAATTTGAGAAAATTAAAGAAGCATATTATAAAATTAATTTATAATGTGAAAAATTCAATCTTCTTTAGGATTGAGCTAAAATTTCAAAGATTTCATCAGTGCTTAATGTCAACTCTTTATGTATAAAGAAGGACTAATCCATTCAATCAGTATTCTTCAGTAGTGTTAACCGGCTCAATTTGATCCGATTTTTAAAAACGGCGAACTCATTATTTTATCCAAAAAACTATCAAGCAAGCCAGAAGATTTTGCATATATATGGCACAAGGGTTTTAACATCTATTAGCGAAATCTCGAGGCCTAGCTCTAATTAAAATATTGCATTAGCCGTTTTTAAAAATCGGCTCAAATCAAGTCATTTAACAATACTACTTTTCAGGTATGTTTTATCCGTGTTAAATAAGAAAATGTACTTTTATTGGTAGAAGTACTAATGGGTAGAGTTGCAAAAATATACAATTGTTTTATATATTGCAAAAATAATCTAAAATATGTTTAAAATTTTGCGAAGCATTTATAGCATTTTTGGAACATTATCAACCATGTTTAACCCTTCTATACCCACAATTTGCACACAGCTAGTAGTTCATCACGGGATATTTTAACATCTTCAAAATAGAAATTGGCCAAACATTTAATATTTACTCAATTAAGATTTAAAATAGATTCGGAAGGATTCTGCAGTAATAATATTTATCAGCTGCAGAGGAACCATTTGTACGGCCCGGCCCGAATTTTTTTCCCAAAAATTTTTTTACGACCCGGCCCGGGTTTAGAAATTTTAGGCCCGGCCAGGCCCGAATATTTTAAAAAAAAAATTTGGGGCCGGCCCGGCCTAGATTTAAAAAAAAATTTTTTAGGCCCGGCTCGGAATTTTTAAAAATTATATTCGACCTGGTATATTCAAAAAATTCATTATTTCGTATTTTATCATATTTTTCGGCGAGTATTATCATTTAATAAGCAAGTATATTAGCTAATGTTGTTAAACGGCTCGTTTTGAGCCGATTTTTAAAAACGGCTAACTCAATATTTTGAAAAATATTGACTAAGCCTCGAAATTTCGATACTATATGTCTAGACCTTTGCTCCTTCTATGAGCAAAATTTTCAGCCTTGCACAATATTTTTCTGGATAAAACACTGAGTTAGCCGTTTTTAAAAATCGGCTCAAAACAAGCCTTTTAACAACACTTTTTTTTTTAAATTCTAAACAGATATTTAGTATATTACAAATTGATACTACAAAAAATTTGTGTAAATAAAATTTTGAGAATATACTATGTATTTATAAAAAAAATAAAAATGATATTTTTGGGCCGGGCCTGAAAATTTTTTTAGGCCTGCAGGTCTCTGATATTTATAGAATTATAAGTGCTGCCTGTTTAATCAATAACCCGTCATTCTTTAGAGTTATAAAAGTATTCAAAACGGGCATAAAGAGATTCATTTTATAGTATCCTTCTACTGACCCTATATATTTCATTGAGATGAGCGCCTTCCTGTTGATAAATATCAAATTCATACTCTACTTTTGATTCAGCAATGACAAATAATTTATGAAATTCTTTACCTATATTTGGCCTAATCATATAAAGTTTCAATATATTGCTTTCAGCTATTCAGAGTCTCTATTAAATTGATTATTTTAAAATGGTAGATAAATATAACGTCAAGGAAAATTTGAAACCGGTATTCATAGAATAAATTATTAGCGTATTAATTTCTCCTATGAATATAATAAATAAATTTAAATTGGAATATCGCTATAAGAGGTAGGATTGATTATTATAAAATATAAAGTAATAATTATAGAACATAAATATTTTTGAAAAATATTTAAGACGGAATCTGAAATTTTTGGCTTATGAGGTGCCCTCGCCCCCTTTGCTCACGCGTAGGCCTACAAAAAAACGAATCGAATCGAATTTTCGAATCGAATAATTGCGCTATTCGTATTCGTACGAATAATAAAATCATTATTCGTTTCGATTCGTCGAATATTCGATTCGATTCGAAAATTTTTCTAAAGCTTATAAAATATTTTGCAAAAAATTTTTTACAGATGTTTAAAGATGACACTTTTAAGGATTCTCTAAACTAATTGTCATTACAATATAAAAATTTATAGAAAATAAACGAAATAAAACCCAATGATTTCATATAACGTTAACCAAACAAATTGACCAAAATATCCGATTTTTAGAATTAGAATTGCTTATAAAAAAATATTTAAACTATTTCTTCAATCTAATATTAAAATTTTTTAAAAATGTACAATAATCTCATTTTATAAAAATAGAAAATAATACACAAAAATATAAAATTATAGTAAATCCGAATTTGATAATATCCAATTTTTTAAGCATAAAGTCTTTCTAATAGTTTCCTCCTTCAAAGACATTCTATTTTTCATTATCATATTTGTTCCTATTGAGAACAACCGCTCACATGAAGCCAAAGATCCCTGAATTGACAATATATCAGTTGCCATTTTTGACAACACAGGAAAACGATCCCCATGCAATCTCCACTACTCTAAGGGACTCTTATTTGAACTGATTCTTATTTCGTTAAGATATGTCTCCACCTAACATACTGATGCGATGTTATTTTGTTTAAAAATTCTATCCATGTTCGACTGTACTATTGGGTTAACTGATGTTGATTTGATTTGATATTATATTTTATTTTGTAATCATTATATACATCTTTAAATTTTTCTAATAGATTTGTCGTGTCTATGTTATATGTAGTTGGTAGTTGCTCAAAAAATTCCATTTTTAGTCTAGGATCCAGTATTGTTGATATTATAGTGTGAATATTTGTTAAGTTATAATAAGTTTCTATTTTCTCAATCGCACTGATAGATATTTGCGAATAATTACGAATATTTATATATAAATAATTTCGAATAATACGAATATATTTTCCTCATTATTCATATTCGATTCGAAATTTCGAATCGATATGAATAACAAATAATTCGTTTTAGGCCTACTCACGCTCCTGGTTAGGGTAGTTAATTAAAGGTTTAGAATTTGTTTAGGGTTAATTTAAGGTTTGATAGATATGGGTTAGGGTTAAAAAAATATATTAGAAATGCTTTTAAATAAAAAACATGTCAAATATGATAGGTCATGTGATTATAAAAGAGAAATATAAATAAATCAATATCGACAATATTCTTTTGTTAAACAATATTCAAATTAGGTGCATTTAGATAAAGCAAGAAAATTGTTAATATCATGAATATCAACTTTATAGAGAAAATAATTAAAATACCAAGTTTTGATTTCGGGTCTTGATTCGAGATCTTTATCGGTCTCGAGCAATGCGCCTGAAAATTGATCTAGCTCAGTCATTTCGAGGAAGTAAAAGTCGTAAGCGGCCATCTTCCAGGCCCAACGTGTCAGACGATTGTTCGATATCTTTGGCAGATCCCTCTTTTCCCCGAACAACCGTTCCAAGGGTTTATGGTCTGTCCGAAGTTTAAATTTTCGACCGTAGATAAAGTTGTGGAATTTTTCTATTCCAAATAACAATGCCCTCGCTTCTTTATCGATAGGCGCATAATGTTTCTCCGACTGTAACAACGTCCGAGACGCGAATGCTATGGGTTTTTCCTCGTTTTGTGAAACCTTATGAAGTAAAACAGCCCCCAGTCCTGTATCTGACGCGTCACACTCCATAATCAACGGTAATTTAGCATTATACGGCGTTAAGGTTTCTTCCGCTGATAACAATGTCTTAACCTTATCGAAAGCCTCCTGCTCTACATTAGTCCAACACCATGGTACTTTTACACTAGTCAATCGATGTAACACAGCTGCTTCACTATGAAGATTGGGAATGAACCGTTCATGATATGTGACAAGCCCAAGAAATGAACGTAACTGATGAACATTCTTGGGGTTAGGTGCGGCCTGGATTGCTTTAACTTTCTCTTCGCTTGGATGTACCCCATTTTGGTCGATAACTATACCTAAAAATGAAACAGATTTCCGTAGAAATTGGACCTTTTCAAATTTAGCTTTGAGGCCGGCTTCCTGCAGCCTTTCGAGTACTATTTTTAAATTAGCCAGGTGTTCGGCGTCATTTTCGCCGGAGATAATTACATCGTCCAAATACACTCCAGTCATCGGGCAATCTTTCAAAACATTGTCCATGTAACGCTGGAAAATAGTTGGTGCGCACGAAAGCCCAAACGGCATCCTTCGGTATCGAAAATATCCTTTATGTGTTGAGATGACCAAATATTCTTGGGACTCTGGCTCAACGGCCATTTGTAGATACGCGTCCTTTAAATCTATCACCGTAAAACGGTTCCCCCCTGAATCTTAACCAATAAGTCATCCAGTGTAGGAATAACGTGATGATCATATAATAGATGGGGATTTAGACTCACCTTGAAATCTGCGCAAATACGAATCTCGCCATTGTTTTTTCTGACATTTACTGTTGGGGTTGCCCATGGCACCCTAGTTATAGAGGAATCGATGGGCTCCAAAATCTCAGCAGCCACAAGGCGATCCAGTTCTAGTTCAACCGCTCTGCGTAACGGAAATGGCACTCGACGAGCTGGAAACGATTTTGGAACAGCCGTATCTTTTAATTGAAGTCGCACCGCGTAATTACGTATCAACCCCGGTTTGTCGTCAAAAACAGCTTTAAACTGTTTAGCTAACAAATGCCCCATTGAGTCTTCCGTTAGTGACATCCTCGATCCGTGTGAACATCGATTGTATTCGAACGGCCCATCGAGGCTTTGGCCCGCGGGGGCACCGAATGTATTCGAGCGGCCCATCGGGGCATCGTTGGTTTGGTGGCAACTTGATGTTATTGTTTCTCTATTCGTTTTGAGAACCTGTTGTATGCTTACCTGTCTCGGTAACTCAAACCCAAATGCTAAAATCCATGGCAACCCAAACAGAGGTAAATCATTTGACTTTATTATAATAACTGATAAATTGCGAATTTCCTTCCCCACTTGCACACGAACCATGGCTTCACCCATAAGATCCAAAGGCTTATCTCCATAGGCTGCTAATGGGTTTGTGGAAGATGTTAATGGTTTGCCAATTTTCTCCCAAATATTCAATCCTATAATCGAGGCTTGTGCTCCTGTATCATAATCAAAAGTGACACTAAGTCCATTTATTTTGGCTGTGATCTTAGCCCTTTTATTTAATCCCCTTGTCCAGAGATTATTAATCGAATCACTTGAGTGAAAATGTGGTTTCACTGAGTTTAAATTGCGATATACAGGCTTACTAAGGCAACATGCTGCGAAATGTCCGGTTCTCTGGCACTTAAAACATGTTTTGTCTTTAGCTGGGCATAAATATCTTTCATGCCAGCCGGCACAATTCTTACATTTATTATCGTAAAACTTATTATTAGGCTTCCTATAATTATTATCTCTCTTAACAAACTCTTGTGAATTAGGCATTTTATGTTTGTTATCTTGCGGTCTGACACTATTTACCAAGTCTTTCTTGATGGTCATTTCGTTTTGAGCATTTTCTGTTGCCGTGGCCATATCTAGCACGAATTGGAACGTTTTATCAACTATCCCTTTAATGTGAAATTTAAATCGATATACAGTTTTTAAACTGTTATCAATTTCATCTAATTACTAGTGCAACCAACAACAATGCTCAAAATGGATCAAAGTGTTATTAACGAAAATTTCGATTTAGTGATTTTAAATGAATGCAGTCATGTTACCAATATATTAATAGATAAAGGGATAAGTGAAACGGAAATTGACCAGAAGGTCAAAATGTTTAGGGAAATGCTCATGAACTCTTTCGGAAACGCGACCGGAAGTGAGAAAGAAGCGGCTCAAAACGACGGGACTTATTTGGAGAGTGGGCGGGAGGAACGCGTCGAATCCAAACAAAAACCAAAGAAAAAACATTCCAAAAAGCTCCGCGAAAACAAACCTGTCAATCATTCCACTACGCCCACGCTCGAAATATCTAACCATTTTGATAACGCGCTAGAAGTCATCAAAAATGACGGCAAAGCCGTCAAGAAATTCAAAGAAATCCCCCTTATCCAGTCTAAGATGGATGCCATTCTCCCACCAAATCAACTCACAAAGAACACTGCTATTGAAAACAAAACATCAAAAAAAATCTTACATTCTACGGCCCTTCAAAATGGCCTTTCAATTTCTACGGAAGATTTGGGGCTAGTTGACCCCAGGTCTAGAAACGGGACCAAGAAAGGGTCACGAGAGATCAGTACTACCACCGCGTTAGATCAGAAAATGGTAATCAAACGCGAGAAGAAAACGCGCAAGCGCGCCTCCTCGACCGAGATGAGTGAAGGTGCCGGTGTCGACGATGTTGACATTGACGTTGACACCCAGACATTGCTCAATGATAAGGTATCATCAAACAAAGATAGGATCACCGAAAAACACGCTCATAAAAGAAAAAATTCCGCGAAGAACAAAGAGGCCTCTAAGAACGTCTCGCGTACCTCTGAGATAATAAAACCCGCTAAGGATAAAGTAGTAAAAGTTCTGACAGAGCAACCCGCACCCCAAGCCCGTAAATCTTCGTCCTCTAAGATTCACTCCTCTTCAAAAAATGGTGGTAGTCAACTCTCCGAAGGCAAGAATATGCGGAAGCCAATCAAATCTGTTTATCCGGATGATAGGGAGGCTCTCCGAAATTTTTTCGTAGATCTGTTGATGGAAGGGCAAGCCTCGCCCACGCGCTTAAGTCCCAGTGAAAACAGCGACGATGCTTCCACCGAATCCGAGTCGGAAGAAAAATCTTCCAGCGACGAGGCGGCCGAAGATGATTCGGCGAAAGTTTCTTTACTCAAACAACTGATGCTATCCTTCGCCCAATCCTCCTCCAAAAAAACTAAGAAACGCGATAAAGAAAGCGGTAAAAAATCTAAAGGGACAACCTCGGCGATAACGTCCTCTCTGCCCGAAAGGCGATCCAAACATTCCAGGAAAAGACAAGAGCGACCTTCGGATATAGGAGCGGTCTTGAAGGCTTATTTAAACGATATCCAAAAGGCGGCCGAAACGAAGGGCGGAAAGCCTAAAAGGGATGATCGCGACCATAAAACTAGACGCGGAAAAAGTAAGAAAATTGCCATTTTTGACAACACAGGAAAACGATCCCCATGAAATCTCCACTACTCTAAGGGACTCTTATTTGAACTGATTCTTATTTCGTTAAGATATGTCTCCACCTAACATACTGATGCGATGTTATTTTGTTTAAAAATTCTATCCATGTTCGACTGTACTATTGGGTTAACTGATGTTGATTTGATTTGATATTATATTTTATTTTGTAATCATTATATACATCTTTAAATTTTTCTAATAGATTTGTCGTGTCTATGTTATATGTAGTTGGTAGTTGCTCAAAAAATTCCATTTTTAGTCTAGGATCCAGTATTGTTGATATTATAGTGTGAATATTTGTTAAGTTATAATAAGTTTCTATTTTCTCAATCGCACTGATAGATATTTGCGAATAATTACGAATATTTATATATAAATAATTTCGAATAATACGAATAATTTTCCTCATTATTCATATTCGATTCGAAATTTCGAATCGAATATGTAATAACAAATAATTCGTTTTAGGCCTACTCACGCTCCTGGTTAGGGTAGTTAATTAAAGGTTTAGAATTTGTTTAGGGTTAATTTAAGGTTTGATAGATATGGGTTAGGGTTAAAAAAATATATTAGAAATGCTTTTAAATAAAAAACATGTCAAATATGATAGGTCATGTGATTATAAAAGAGAAATATAAATAAATCAATATCGACAATATTCTTTTGTTAAACAATATTCAAATTAGGTGCATTTAGATAAAGCAAGAAAATTGTTAATATCATGAATATCAACTTTATAGAGAAAATAATTAAAATACCAAGTTTTGATTTAATTAACTTAATTTTGCATTAGGTCCTGATGTTGTTAAATAACCTAACTTGGTTGGTCCCAAGTCACTAAACCAATCGTCTCCTATCCAATTTTTAATTCCCTTTTATGGTGATATTCAATCACAAGGTCAAGAGAATTGCGAATAGTGTTGCTGAACTGTTAAATCAAGCCGGCATAGCTGCTACTCGAATAGAGTGACCGGATTATTTATTTTCTAAATAATGTTTCAAAATAAATAAATAATTTATATCAGAGGTCTGCAAACCCGGACCGTAAACTAATATAGAACAAAAGACGTTTAGGTAGTTTCGATTTTTAATATCATGTAATTATAAAATGGAACGATCTAGCCTTAATTTGTAACCCATAGGCTGGGGAAAATTTTCAGGCCAAGCAAAATTTTCTTTAAAAAAAGCTTATATAAAGTGATTGGCCAGGCCGGACATAAGATTATCAGAACTAATACAACTATAGGTCAAAACTAAAATTTATTAGAGGAATAGGAAGCCTTAAAATGACTCTTTAGTAATTTTATTTTTTCAGAGTTTGCCATTAATGTTATTGGTATTGTAATTATTAGTAGAATTCGTAAATTCTAACTGGATAACCTGATTGTTAAATCCGCTATACGTCTGGCAACCTCTGACAATTGGCTTCCTACGACCAAGCAACTTATCAAGCTCTTCTCCTAAAACGCATAAGGTCGCCTTCCCTACTCCCCGTTAGTGCGTTCATATGCTCTTGCCTGTCTTGCGAGCTACACACACTGACAAAACCTCCTTGCTTCTGCAGGCAAATGATCTATAGAAGTCTCTTTCATTAGTCGATCTTCCCTTATCCTAAAAAAAGAACTTGGATAAGCCTCTAGTTGGCAACTCCGTTGTATACTTTAAATTGAGGTGCCAACCTGAGGACGATTCTCTACTCTTCTTTATTTCTGCAGACAGCGGGCACGAATTTAACGATGCTTTCCCATCGCGAAACCTTGAACAGCTCATTAAGTATAATGAGCTACAACACGCCATCGGTCTTAGACTTAATTGGGTGTCACTGTATACTCTGTCAAACGTCGGTCAACTCCAAAAGCCATCTCTCTTTGCATTGCAAGCGCTGTAGTGGCTAGGCATTCAAAATGCAATGATACTATTCAGGGCCTTATAATCTGCATCAACCCATCAACCTTCAAACCTACTGGCCTTTACAATTCCGATGGTAAGCGGCCTGATGATTCTACTATGATCCCTTGGAAGAGGGGGGAATTCCTAACCTAGGATTTCTCATGCATCAATCCTCTTGCCCCTTCCAATATAAATAAAGATGCCCTACTAGACGCCGAGATAAATAAACTCTCTAAATACGTCATCGCTTCTTGCTAACTCTACATTCCTACAACTTATCGCCAAAACTCTAACATTGTTCGGCTCTCATGCCCCGGCCTTATTTAAAGAACTGGGAAAACGAATCTCTACTAGGACCGAGGATCCCAAAGAGGGATTCTACCTACGTCAAAGGTTAGACCAAAAACATAATAAAATGCAACTATCTTAGCTTTATACTCTCAATGACCGAAACCCCCTAAGTGAACCTGAACATCCTATACATAGGAGAGAATTAGGCTATTTTACTCCCAATTATAAAGATGACGCTTTAAGGGAACTTGAATCTCAATCAATAATAGATAGCAAAAATTAATGACTATATATAATTGTAATTTACTAATATAATATTTTTTTTCAATAATTGTAAAAATTATAACTTATTTTGTAATTTTATAATCATTTTTGACTTTATACTAAGCTTTTCTAGTAATTGAATATGGTTAATTAATTAATTGATAGAGTAATATATTTTGTCAATTTTTATAATTATTATATATGTTTATTTTCGAAATCTTTAAAATTGCATTGATGCAAATCATCGAAAACTAATTTTTATTTTTGATATCAGAGCTGCAAGAAAATATTCGAATCATGCTTATATAACTACAAAATATGGATGTTATGGTGGCTGAAGAAGTAACTTCAAATGAAGATGAATCAGATGTATTTTCCGATATAACTCCTAAAACTGGCAACTCAAATTCAGCTACTATTAATGATATTATAGATATACTCAAACCAAATGAAGTCAGGTATTAAACTTATAAAATATATTTTATTATTTATTTATCTAGATGGTTTTATTCTAGTCCAAAAAAAACATGGATTCCTTTTTTGGGATATGATTCTTACAGGATTGAACTTGCATATCGTCAATTGCACTCAAGTCTTAAAGGACTGTATACTGAAAATTTTGAGCCAATTTCAGTCAGAGGTGATTTATATGAAGTGGATATAATAGTTAAAAAATGTCTCCCTATATATTGGCATGGTAAAATGTTATAGATCACCAGTTATTTAAATATTTACTTACAGGTGATCCAGTTGATGTAATGAGGGGGACTTGGTTTTTTGATGTTGGTTGGCAGCCATTAGATGAAGAATATGCTACTCAAATAGAAGTTGAACATTTATCTAAATTTGCAGGATGGAAAGCTAATGATACTGTTAACAATAATATTATAATGAACAATGTATTAAGGGATAACAATCCTAAGAATAGCCTAGATGATAATAAATACTTAATCTCTCCCAAATACTCTTTAAATGATAAATCGTTGTTAGCTATGGGTAAAAAAGGAAATGATAGAGATAAAAATATTAGCAAAGGTGTAATATATTATATATTATGTTTCTTTAATTTTCAATTCTATTTGTATGATTTTGTTTTTTTCTCACCATAGTAATGATATAAACAATAATGGTTGGAAAAATTTTTTATTTACAATTACAGTATTTGACAGTTTATTTAAGGTTATTATATTGTAGGCCTATTCAAAAATGAATACAAATTGAATAATAAATTATTGGTATTCAATTCTTTTAAATGAAATGAGAAATTACTATTCATAATTATACCAATTCAATAAAAATAGTATAATTTTTTATTATTCATATCTAAATTATTCATGCTTAAAAGAATATAATACAAATAATTCCTTAATCATTTTCATTTTTAATAGTATGCCTTATTCTTGTCATTATATTTAATAATTTTAAATAAATTTATATTTATAATTGTTTTAAAAATGAAGTCAAAATTGAAATTAAAATATACTCCTTTCTTCAATTTTCATAATAAAAAATATTTTTATAACATTGTTACTTTTTTGAATTGATTTTAAATTTACAAGAAAATCCATAGTAATAGAAAATTTGGTTAGTTTAATGGGTTTTTCTGAGGCAATAGATTAAATTCTAACAATATTATTGGTTAATTTTTACACACTTCAAAATCAAAATTTAAAAAAATAAGATAAATAAATTAGATTTAGCACATAGTTTAAACTTAATTGCTGATATTCATGATTTTTTTTATTAAATCTAATATCATATGGCTGTTGTGGTAGAATGTTCCAGGAATACTGGAAATTCTTATAGATTACATTTTAACATGTTTAAGAGATCTATCTCTTTTCATCATAGTTTGGTTAATTTTTTATATGATATAATATATTTAAGAACAATATTTGAAAACACTAAAATGAAATAGCATCAATTAATTAGACTATTGATACAATATTTAACTATGCAAAAATAGTAGAATGCATAGCAACATGAGCTTATCTCAAGTTACTTTAACAAAATGATATATTAAAACTCATTTAATCATCTTTAAATTAAATATTGTTTTCATATTTTATTTTTAAAAAAGCTATAAAAGCTTTTGAAGATATACCAATAAGCTTAAATTTTTTTCATGCATTTTGATACCTTATCTGGTTGGGTAATTAAAAAAAAATATTAGGATCCAGAATTGATATACCAGTGAAAAAATTAGAAATAATACAATTCTAGTAAATAATAACTTTACTAAATTTTTTCTTTCTTTCTTTTCTTATATTTTTTCAATTTATATATTTGTTTTAATATATATAAAATAATTTTTAATCCCAGCTAGACGATACTTTGTGAGTGGTTTTTTAAGAAAAATTATTGACTTTATGAGAAGTGAAAATTTTTTTAAAATGATTTGCATCCCTAATTTTTCAAATAGTTAATTGATATAAGTCACAAATTTTATTTTAAATATTTATCCTGACCCAAGTTTATATTTTTTTTTAGGCTATACTTGGATCTTTAAAATCATATCATTTTATTTGTCCCACAGACCTGTAAATTTCTGTTACATTTAAATCAATTAACGCAGTAGAATTTAATATGTTACTGTACTGATAAATTATACTGAGTATATAGGAAGAGACCTCTGCATAGATAGATATTTTAAGTCCGGTCATTTTCAAAAGTTATTAAGGTGGCCTAGCCCGAATTTTTTTTTTTTAGATTGATCATCTTACATCCCGCCCTGATTTTATTAAAAATTTCGCCATTTTCAATAATTTTTTATAAATCGCTTAAAAAATGAATTTGAAAATTTAGAATGCATAAGACCTGCAGAGGTGGATATTTACTGGACATCTTTAAATTTTCAAGCTGACCTGGCACGGCACGGATTTTTTTTTAAAATCGATCATTTTATCCCGATGAAGATTTTTATTCAAAAAAGAATAGGCTAGAAGGGAGGAATCAATCTTTTAGAACGAGATTATAATCCGGGTTATCTTAAACAAAAAAAAACGCACGATTTATTATATTTAATAAATATCAAAATTATGCCTAATTGATTAAAAGCTAATTTGAAAAAAAAATGTCGGATCATCGTGAATTGCCATTTTTTTTTACATTTTGAATAATTTATTGATAAAATTACGCCCCTAAGTTGTACCGGTTTACCGAACAATCTTCGAAATTTTCGGCCCGGACCCGATTTTAAAATTTTTTTTATTTTTATCCCAGTCCTGATTTTTTATTCCTCCAGAATTTTATGGCCTTTAGTAGGGCCACATTCATAGTGGGATCCTACACGAGTTAACCCTTCACTACATAGGTGGAAAAAACTCCCGCGGTTACATAGGTGGGGTCTATTTTACCCCAAATTTTAAATAGCTATATCTCAGAAAATAATAAAATTTAAGACCTAAAATTTTACACACTTATTGTAAAAATATTAGAGATAATAAATACAAAATTTATAGATTTCCATTTACTTCTAAATAAAGTTATGGTATTTTTACTAAAGCTGCTCAAAAAAAAATCTTTTTTGGAACTTTCCTTAATCATATGATATGACCAAAAATAAATGAAAGGAAGCAAATTTGATTATATATTTTATTAATTCAATATTTTATAGTAATAATTAAATAAATTTTATAATAAAACATCAGATATTAAAAAAAATATTTGATATTATAGTTCATGCATCTTTTTTAAAAACATTCACGACATGTTACATACATATGATCTTTGCATATAAATTTTGAACAAATAAATAAGGATTTCTTGTCCCTAACCCTTGGACAAGAGGAGCACCTTCCTTTTTGTTTGGTTGATATAGGTTTTAATTCTTCTATATTAAGCATATTCCCAATATTATCCCTTAGCAGTTTATTAACATGTGGGTTTTTGTACTAATATTATAAACTTTGGTCTATTAATCTCCTTTAAATTATTGGACTTATAAATTATTAAAGAATTTATGCAAGTTATATTCAACAAATTATAAAAAATTGCCATAGGCCATCTATTTGTTATTCTGGATATTGAATAATTTGAACATAGCTGATTCACAACATCAACACGACCCTTGGTTAGATTGTAAAATGTGATAATTTCTGGTTTTTTCAAATCCGCAGTTGATGTATCAATATTGTTATCATAGTGAAGGGTAGAAAGCATCATGCTTATACTTTTTTGGTACATATGATACTAATGTCATATTATCTTAGCAGGCAAATAAACTTGAACAAATATCTTTCTTTTTAAAATTAAATGATGTTGAAAACTGCTTTTTATTTTTTCTTAAAGTTCCTACTATTGTTAATGAATGGGAATTTAATAAATGTATAGCAAGTTCATAACTGGTAAACCAGTTATGTGTGGTGACATTCCTATTACTCTTAGAAATGGGCTGAATTAACCTTTCAACCACATTAAAAGGCTTATTTCTCAATTTATATGGTCCTTCAGGCTGATTGCCAGCATATAATTCTATTTTCAAAGTATAAAATGTCACTAGAATAATTCAAATTAAAAATCATATGTTAAATTTATGATTTTTTACTCCACCGAAAAAATAAATAATATAAAATTTTCAAATTTAAAGTCATATATATCAATCAAAAAATAGATATAATTATATTTTTTTCAATTATATTTATTAACCTGACATACATAAATATAATTAGTAACAAAAAAAAATTGGATTTTAAAAAAAAATTACGTCATTACATAGGTGGGGTATATTTTACCCCAAGCTCAACAAATAGCATATATCTCAAAAACTATCAAATCAATAATCATGAAATTTGGAAGTTGTATTCCTTGTTACAAAATATTAAACTACTGAAAAAACCAGGTCGGAATATCTTCTAGGTTTTGTATTACAATTATTATAAAAGTTGTGGGGTCGTATTTACCCCACCTTTGTAGTGAAGGGTTAACAGCTGATAGATTTTTAATATTCTGAGAAATATTTATTTCATAAACAGATAATTAATCAGCTGTTAAATCGTATCTGACCGGATCCCACTATGAATGTGACCTTACCCGGGATCGGATTGATACCTGCCGATTTTAAACGTTGTCGATTAGTTGGAAAATCATATATTTGAGCGTGTAATATTTTTTTAAATATTTTGGGTTCCTACTCGGGTTTATTTTTCTAAAAAAATTGACCCTAATGGGGCAGATGGGCCAAAACTAGCCCCATCTAGACCCATGATACCCACAACCATCTAAGATAATATTTTTTTTTAACCTCAGCATGCCGCATTTTAATATAACATTTTTTTTGTAATATATGCCAGTTGGAGACTGATCAATTTTTTAAAAACAATAAGAAATGAGATAATAAATAATACATAAAGTTTATTTATTTTTTAAAATAATAAATAATTATCATTTTTTTTTATTAAATCTTCAAATAAATTGTCTAATTTGAACACCATTGGGTCCAAAATTATTTTTCCAATACAAATAGGTTCCCTATTTATCAAGACCTTTTTTAAAAAAACCTTTCTAATCGTGAGCAATTTAATTGGGACTCATAATTTTGGTCAAATTAAGGAGTTGCTAGAATTATCAAGAGCCCAAATTAGACAAGTTTAGCGGTATAACATATATTGATTTATTTTGCATTATTATTTATCTTATTTCTAATGTGTGCCTCCTTTTTTTTTGAAACAATGAAAATTCGGCATAGGTAATTTGATAACAATTTTAAAATTTTGAAATAAATTTTGTCATTCAAGCCAATAATTATTTATGTAAAAAAACGGTTTAAATTAACTCAACCTGCGACATTTTTAGCTAGCTACTTACCATAATCAAGCCAATAATAGGTATAATTTATAAATATTGAGCGGAACGATGAAAATGGCGACAGCTGTTTACGTATTCAAAGGGTATTATCGCTTGTGATGAATCAGCTGTGATTTCGTTGGCTATTAATTTATCATCGCTTGAGAATCGCGATTAGTATAATACCGGCCTAGTTCATTATCCATTAGAATTAAAGTAATTACATGTAAAAAATAAATACAATCTTTAAAATTCTAGTGAAATATGTAATGTCAGCCATTATTTTGTGAAGAGTGTAAACGAGATTATTCTCTTTATAAATTATTTTTTTTCAGATGCATGCTTAAATTTTAACACCTTTTAAGCACTTTTTTAAGTTAATTAATCCCATTCCTTCGTTATGGTTGTGGATATAGTATTCTTTTAAATTCTATTTTTCCATCATCCTCTATTCTCCTAGGAAGAAGTAATTTTGGAAAAATTTCCCAATTTTTCTTCCATTTTATAACCTCTACATAGACCGGTTTGATTCAACCGAACTCCGGTCGTTCGAACCGGAATAGACATTTTCTTGGAAATTTTTATTTTATACAATAATACACAGAATTGTTTATCATCCTTTTCGTTTGAACATATCCTATTTGGTTTATTTTAAATATTTGTTGACATTGTTATTTTTCGTATATATTTTCACTTTTCGATTTTTTTTTGTATTTTTAATTTTTTTTTTTAACTTTCTTTTTTCTCATTTCCTTTTTCAAGATGTTTAATTTTAGTCAATAGTAAATATCCGGCTGTTTAGTAATAATTCGAATCAGGACACACCTATAAAAAAATAGTTTAACGAGAAAAAAAAATCTCGGACCTGATCAGAGTAGTGTCGTTAAACGGCTCGTTAAGAAAAACGGCTAACTCAATATTTCAACCAAAAAATATTACGCTAGACCGGAGATCTTGCTCATAGATGACAGGAAGGTTTGGACATCTCTTAACGCGATCTCGAGGCTTGCGTGATATTATTTTGACTAAAATCTTTATTTTAAAATTGGCTAAATTGAGCCGTTTAATGACACCAAGTCGTAGTTTTTTAAATTAAATTCAGATTATATTCATAATAGTTAAAAAAAAAAATTTTTTTAAATTCATTTAAAAGATTTTGGAATATTTATTTTTGTTGCTTGCAACTTAAATTTATTTATTATACCCTAAAACTTCTAATTTAGGACACAGTTTTGGACCTGGCCAATTTAGACAGTTGCCAATTTTTTTTTGAAGCATTCTTAAATAGTTAAATAGGAATTCGATCGCGACTCAAAATTTTGATCAAATTAGGAGAGTTGCCCGAATTATCGAGAATTCAAATTAGACAAGTTTAATTGTACTCGATATTTTTAATTTAATATCTGAAATCATCGTTCTTTCATTTAAACGAAAATTTGGTGATTAACGATTTCTTTTTCAAATTATATATTTTTTTTTTAAAAAAGTGGTATAAAATAACATTTATATAAAAAAAAATTTAAGAAATTTGATAATAATTTATTATTAAATTTCGTATTCATTCATTCTTTCACACTTTCTACTCTTTTTAGCTACGATATTGCCAGCTTTAAAACGGAGCCTTGAAACACAAATTTTTATTTAAGTAGTTTTTAAATTTTTTTAAAAAATAATTTAAATATTGGGGTTGAGTTGCTCATAAAAATCAAGGCTGGGCCGATATTAATAATCAGATTTTATCAGCGCCGATATTTAGTTTTGTAGTTTGTATGTTAGCGGCAATGTGTTATTTTTCAACTTTCAATCCATTTTTTGATCACGTTTATTAAAATTTATTTTTTGGAATACTTACCACCTTATGAATTTCAGACAATTTTCCCATTAGGTTTTTCACCCAAACTATAAATGACTCGAAAATTAACGGTAAAATTATCTACAATTCCCAATATAGAAATTCTAAACATGCTGGAATACATTTTTCGGTAAAATTATATTTTTAAATTTAAAAAAGACGCGCTTCAGAAAGTTGAAAAAATAACATATTGTGCCGCTAACATATATATTTAAATTTTATAAATAATTTCTTAATAAATTTAACGGAAAGGAACTGAAATACAATTTGTTTTGTTGTAATGTTTTATTTTTAAATAAAATAATAGTTAAAAATGATACACTATTTTTTTTGTTATATTATCTGTAACAAGAAAAAGATTTTAAAATATCTAACGTGCCACATTCAGCTTGTGTTGTTTAACGGATGAATTTTAACCAATTTTTAAAAAACGTTTAACTCAAGATTTGAGCCATAAATAAATTACTCAAACTCATCTATCTGTGGGCCACAGATGGCAGGAAGGTTTGGACTTCTATCGCCTAAATTTTGAGGTTTGGATAATAATATTTTGGCTAAAATCTATCTTGATTTAGCCCTTTTTAAAAACGCTTGGCATTCACTTCATAAACATTGCAAATATTTTAAATGAGATTTAGAACTTTTGAAAAATGAGCACGAAATCTTCCATGAAAGTTATGCCTATTTTTATGACATCGGCTCAAAGATAGATGGTAAATAAAAAAAAATCAACGACAATTTCTGGATCGATTTTTTAGTAATATCGAAAAAGATCGAATCGGTGAAAAAATTTTGTGGATCGGCGCGGCATAAAATAATTATGATTGACTCTTTTTTTTGTTGTTTTATGATAAATGCTAGTAAATGTTTCTACCGATAAATTTAATTGGGTGTTGCTATGTTACACCCCTTTTACCCCCTCCCCATCTTCTGTCGCCAATATGACTCAAAAAATTAATGATTTTTTCCCTAATCTTGTGTGTCCTAATTATTCCGTTACATTTTGTAAAAAAAATTTTTAAAAAACTAGAAATGGATAAATTTTGCTTTTCAATAAATTAAATTTTTTTTTATACCCTATCTTCGAGGGTTCTTTTCTTTCTTTATTTTTTTTTTTTGAAAATTATTTTGAACAATTCTTCATTTAATCTTTTTATCTATTCCCCTTTTCCTGCCATTTTTCAAACTAAATGTTAGGCGGCATCAAAAACCCTCCGCTTTCTCCTACCAATCGTTCTCAATCCCTTTTTTACCAAACATCGCCGACCCCTGCTCCTTCCTCCACCATCACTCCCGCTATGGATATGACCGAGATTCGGACCAATATCCCCGACAAAGATAGGCTAGACGGCAAAAAATCAGCTTCCGTTAGCCCAATGAGCGACGAAGGGGCCAACAGCAAGACTCCCGCCGGGAACGAAAGCTCAAAGGATAAGAAAGACGCGGATTCCGATTACAAAGATAAAGGCAATAGGAAAGATTTTAAAAAGAAAACCGCAACCTCTACCGCAGCTTTGCACACCCTTAAATTCAAGGATTTTTACGTAGAATGGTACAACCCGAACGAAGTTTACATGTTTAGCTTGGCAACGTCTTCCAAACTCTACCGTTCGGTTAGCGCTCTTTTAATAAATTTTGAAATCAGGAAAACTAAGAAAGAAAAAAAGAAAGAATTGAAAAATACAATAATTAAGTTTTTAAACAGATTTTATTAATATGTTCATTTTAAACTTATAAATCTTTCGATTTTTTTTAATTTTGTTAATCCATTCTTAATCTTAATATCTCAAAGGATACTTATTTTTCCCTATCTGTGCATATCAAACAACAATCTGATGTTAATTTTTTTTATTCTCCCTTTTGACATGCATATCAAATATTTTATTTTTTGGCTACTTATTACTTCTTAATGCCATTAGTAAACCACCTCTTTTAATTAATTATGAAGGTCATTTTATGACAAATCGTCCAAAAAAAAGAGATTTCTTGACTACCTTACTATAAAACGAACGATACTTCATGTGATGGTTGTACAAAGTTTTAAAGTCCTAGCTCAAATAAGCTTAATACTGATTCTATTTCGGTTTCAATAATTACTCGCGGCCGAATCTATGTATTATATATCAATATGCGAAAAGTTCTTTCGTGCCTATGTATTTTCGGCAAAACAAAAATGAATTATTTTGAGTGTAAGCCCCTCTTGGTACTGCAAAACTTTTCAAACATGTTTATAACCAATATATTTAAATACTGTAGTAAAAAAAATTAGAATAGGGAAATTATGAATTAAAAATAATTTGGGAAAATTTAATAAAAAAATGAATATAGTTGGTACTATAATTTTAGCATATTATCCATCATCCTATAACATGAATTGGAAACCACTTACAAAATATTAAATTTTGATGCCTAAGACTATCTTGATTGAAACCATCAAAAAATAATATATATATATATTTTATTTTTATCATTTCAAATTTACTACACAAGTTTATGGTAATATTTTATATTTGAAAACGGAAGTTAATCAAATCATGACATTTTATTTATTTTTTAAATTTACCAAATGTTAAATTTTTTAAAAAGATAAGATTTTTACGTTTTTTAAAACAGGGGTTTGAACCGTTAAATATGGCGATTCTGTTCATTCCGGTTTTTAGATTGAAGTTTTATAAAGGTATTCTTCCATTCCCGTTATTTTTTGGGAAACTCATATTTCCGGGTATAGAATTTATAGCGTTTCTTTTCGGTTCGTTCCGGTTTTTATTAATAAATCATATATATATTAATCTTAGAGAAAAATCTTTTTAATTTATATTTTTTTTTTATAATTCCTTATTTAATTTTAACTATGATAATCTAAACTTAAATATAAATTAGACAAATTAATTTTTTTTTATATATTTCATAAATGAATAAGATAAGAACAAACATGCCTAAATACAATGAGGAATAAAATAACGCATAAATATAATGAAATTTATATTATTTATCAGAGACCTACAGAGGTAACATAATTTTCAGGCATTATATTTATTTTTAATAATGGCGGTTTAAAATATTTGGTTTTAAAATATACTGCGTGGCCCGGGTATATTTTAAAAAATTAAAATACGGCTCGGCCCGTGTACCCTATCTTAGGGTCGAACCTGCAGATCTATGCTATTTATGTTTAAAAAGAGAATTAGCATGGATAACTAAGATATTTTTTTAATATTTCATTATTTAAATTAGTTCACTACGCAGTTAGTATAAACTCAAGACTATAAAAGGCTATTTTTTACCGATACCCGCGTAGCTGGAACTGCTTGAACAGTTATTAGCTAACATAAAGTTCTGGCATATTATTTATTACAATTTCCCAATAATTCCTAATCTCTATATTATCAGCGAATACGCTTATTTCTATATTTTCTATGCCCTGAGACTTATTAAGACTTTTATGCCACTTTAGTTAATCTTCAAAATTATCATCTAAATTTTCTTTCGAATGTGAACACGTAAGCGTAGTATCTACAATTTCAATATTGTGATTATTTAAATTGAGTATATAAAGCAAAAACAATAAACTTGGTATTGATTGTTATGAAGATAAAGACGATTTAATTTTATAAAAAAAAAATTTAATTTGAAAGGAAATCATGAATTTAAATTTCTCCCAAGGATAATTGTTTAAAAACCTATAAACCGGGTTAAACTGGCTCAATATATCGATAACACTTCGGTTCTTCATATATCTTGATAACTCTTCGGTTACGGTAAAATTATAACGGTTTGTTCCGGTTTGGCGGTTCGGTTCGAAACCCTGTTTTATAGCTATAAAATTATTTATCTTGATGTCTTAAACATGTTTAATGAGATGGAGGTGCAATCAATGCAATGTTCCCTTTTATCTAATCTTATTTAAAATTATTTTCTATGACTTTTGATATTGCCGGTGGAGATTGTATACGATACCACTTATTTTTTTTAAAAATTTTAAATATGTTTTATTTAAAATTAAAAACATGCTGATCTCATTTTATACCTGATCCGGCTGAGACTTAAGAATTTGTTTTTATTTTCAAGAGGTTGGACTTAAATTTGAAAAAATATATTCCCCCCCCCCCTATCCTCCTAAAAAATTATATTGATGTCCAAAAAATTGAAGAAGCCCGGAAAATAAGATTTTTTTCAAAGATTTCTTCAGAAAACACTGGTTTATTTTAATGCAAATTTTTATGATAGATGATAATTATTTTTGGCACTTTTTTTAAAATATATATAATGTTAGCGTCAATGGGTTTTTTCTGGCAATGTGTTATTTTTTCAACTTTAAATCATTTTTTGAGCACGTTTTTAAAAACTTCAAAATCTGATTTTACCAGAAATGTATGCCGTCATGTTTGAAATACCTAGCCTATAGATTTCAGATAATTCCATGAACTTTTAAACTTATTTATAATTTATATTAAATTTTCCATATATTTATTATATAAGTTATAAATGACTCAAAGGTTAACCGCAAAATTGTCTACAATTCATAGGATAGGAATTCCAAACATGATGGAATATATTTCCGATAAAATTAGATTTTTAAATTTTTTAAAAACACGCGCTCAAAAATTGATTTAAAGTTGTAAAAATGACACATTGTCGTAAAAACATATTGACGCTGACATATATATAATATTTTATTGCTATTATTTCTTAACGATGGCGCCCTCTATATTTCGTTTTTTTTATATTTTATATGAAAACAAAATAATATTTCGAATTCTTGTTTCCTTCATTTTGATTCTTAATTGAAAATTTTAATATATTGGTAATGAATCTATATATCTGGCGAGTTTCATCTTCTCAAAGTGAGATTAGCACAAATAAAACTTAGCTTTGTTTTATCGGAAATATATCGACACTGGAAAATTTTTTTTAAATATTTTTATATATACTCAAGTTGGATGACCTTAATATAAAAATATGTGATTAAACTTGCGTACCTTTACCGAAAAAAATTAAAAATAAGCCATTTTTAATAAAAATAAAAAGTGGCCTAAATCATTTTTTCCTATTTACGAAAGTTTATTAATTTTTTGAAGTTAGAGAGAAATTAATAAATTTTGGATTAAATTTTATAAAGTTAATTTTTACTAATAAAGGGTAAGCAATAATTAATTTATATTTTCCATATTTTAATAGAAATGGGTAGTTGTGTTAATAAAATAAAGAACTATTAAATTATAATAATTTGGATTATAAATTTTATAATTTACAAAACTTTAAAATAAATATTAATGGAAGATTTTGTTGGTGATGTTTCATAATTTTATAAAGTTACGAATTTGTAATTTTTTGATATTTAAAATATGCTTTGTATTCTTAAGGAGCTAGAACTTAAAGATTTTGATTTTTTTTATGAATATAACCAACGCATCGCCTTTCATTAATTTAAAAAAAGATGGTTCATATGATGTCCCAAATTTTACTTGGAATCGACCCATATGAATTATTCCTTTTTTTTTGACTTCCTCAGGGATTTAGATTAGGGTTGGTCTATTTGTTATTCAATTTATTAAAACAAATTTCATATATTTTTTCTTAAAAAAAAGCTGACATACGCCTTGGGTTTCCAAAAGACAGGTCTTAGGCTCAACAGAGGCTATTGCATATTAGCCAACGATTCGGATAAACCACCTGACATACAGCATATAGTCTTTGTAATTCACGGGATTGGCGCCAAACTCGACACCAGCAAATGTATCAAGAATTGCGGAATGTAAAAAAAATTGACCTTTATTTTATTTTCTCATTTTTTTCAGGAAATATTATGCCCGAGGAAACCCTGAATTTATTCTTTTATCTTTTTTTTTCAATTTAGCTCGTCAGTTCCAGTCAAACTCTTTATTAAAAATAATCTTATCAAAATTATTCTATTACTATAAATTTTAGGTGATCTAAACCGCCAGGCGGACACAATCCCTTTCAAGATTAGCGTCATTGAGAAGCGTCCCGCCTTTCAAAAAAAAGATGAAATAATTTTTTTTACATAGTAGGGAACTTTGGCGAATAAGAATTTCTTTTCTCTGGAAAGTTTTTTTAAAATAAAACATTAGGTAAAGAGTTAACAACAATCTCTGGACTCCTAAGAAATTTTTACCTTAGACAAAGAATATCTCTAAGAGATATGCTGATCCAACTTTGATATGAAATTAATATAAAATATAACTACTTAATATATGTCCTCTTTTTCTTTCTAATTTTATAATAAAATTAATTCTCTAGTGCTTTGCCATGGAAAAAAGTACAAGGAATTCTCGAAATTCTAAAATTTATTTTGCCAATTTAGGCTATTTTACAAATGATAATGGTAGAGAATTCGAGAGTAATTTAATATTTATTAATATCTAATTAATTCTTATATAACTTATCAGTAGAATCATTAAGAGCGCACCGTACCAGGTGTTTTATACTCGTAATGATAACCAATGAAAAATATCTAGTTCAAATGAAATGGATTTAACATCATGTTCTGATAATGGTATTGTTTAAAATGTTATTACTTATTCTTAATTTTTTTTTTATAAAAATTTAGTTTTTTTTGGTTTTTATTAATCCTCAACTTCTAGCAATGGTATTAAAGACAAATTTTAATGCATAAATTGAATATTTTTTTAAAAATATAAGGATATGTGGGTGATCGATACCACACCTTATCAGATGTCAGACAACGCATCTTCCGATTTCGATAGTACTTATTCGATAATTGGAATTGATGATTTAAACATAACATTGTGTTTAACTGGTAAGGTGTGCTCTTGCTGATTCTACTGTAATTGTTAATTATTTTTGGAAACTGGTGGGCCTAGTCATTTTTTTTATTCAAGAATATACGCAGAGATATTCCCATTTCCAACCCGTTTGTTTCAGGGTGCTTAGGCCTGGAATGAAGAACGATAATGAATGGAAACTCTGTTTTCATCACCTCTGTAAATAAGTTATCTAAGAATTAATTAGATATTTATAAATAATAAATTACTCTCGAGTTCTCTACCATTATTTACTTTGCAAAATTTTGGGTGGCCCAGATTGGTAAAATAAATTTCTTCGAATTTCGACGATTCATTTATGCTTTTTTTTTTGAAGGCAGAAGGTAAACTTACTGAAGTGATCTTTAAGGTTGAAATATATATTTACGACAAATGAGTTTATAATTATTAGAAATAAAAATATTCCGAATAAAACATGGCTCGAATCCCCACGTTGGAATTCCGTAACCCAACCCAATACAACAGACATATAATTTTTTTTTAAAAATAATTTTGTATTAGTATGAATATAAATGTAGTTTTAGATCAAATATATTGGGCTAGAAAAGATAGAACCGGGGGACATGGACGCTTCCTGTCATAGAAATTGAAGGCGGGGCAATATGGACGTTTGATCATCACTAAATATAATCAGAGGAGTAACAGACACCCCCACAATGTGGGAAGATTCGGACCATTTTTTTTACAGATACAGAGGTCTCAGGTGGCCTCAAATTATGCGTAATGACCTCCAATTAATCTTCCTTTTTATGTGGCCCCAAGATTTTCGCATTACGCCTGACTAACTTTAATAAGTTGATTAAACCTTACCCCTGTGGAGGCTTTACCTTATTTAATAGCCAACATTTAAATCTATGCCTTAATACTTTACTTGTATTCAAATATAGTATGAGAGATCACGCTGCCAAGCTCAAGCAAAAATGCATATCCGACAAATGCCCTAGCACCGTGAGGGCCGAATTTTTCCCTATCGAATGGAGAGCGAACCTCAAATTAGACGACGGTTATTTATTAATATTTAAATTTTTTACTCAATATAATGTGTATTAATTAAATTAAATGCTATTATTTTTTGCTAAGATTTAGATTATGACGAAAGACCTGCAGAGGTACCATTTGCCCCGGTCCGACCTAAATTTTTTTTAAAAAAAATTTTTTGGTCCGGCCCAGGTTTTATATTTTCAGGATTGGCCCGGATTTTTTTTAAAATGTATTATTTTTAATTTTTATAGCTAATAATGGCGATCTAAAATATACGACCCGGGTAATTGAAATACGGCCCGGCCCATGTAGTCGGGTCTGCAGGCCTCTGATTAAGACAAAAATTCATTTTTCCTTTAAAAAAATAATAACCAATCATATTTGACTAGTGTTGTTAATCGACTCAGTCAGGTTTTGGGTCAACAAAAATCGACCCAAACTGACTTGAGTTATGAACTCAAGTAGTGAAAGAGGACGAATATTTTAAGAACTTGAGTTAACTAGAGGACGAATATTTCAGATATATTATTAATTAAGATATTTGTTCTGTTTTTACATTTTTTTTTACTTTAGACTTCTAATTTGAGTCGTGAATATGAATTATATAAATGAGTCGACTATTATTTTAAGTAATTATAAATATTAATTTCTCTATTTAAATAAATTCGGGCGTGGTCGGGCCGGTAAATTTTTTTAAAATAAATTTTGGGTTAGGGCTGGGCTGGTTTTTAAAAAAATTTTGGGTTCGGGCTGGGCTTGAAAAATTAGGCCCGATGCAGATCACTAATGTGAATAAGAATTATATAGTTGAATCGACTAAAGAACGAATAGTTCTATGAACTTGACGACTAGAGGACGAATATATTTAATTAGTTATTAATTAAGATATTTTTTGTTTTTTACATTTTTTTTTACTTTAGACTTCCAATTGAGTCTTGAATATAAATTATATAGTTGAGTGTGAGTCGACTAGAGGACGAATATTTATATGAACTTAAGTTGACTAGAGGACAAATATTTCAAATTAGTTATTATTAATTAAGATATTTGTCTGTTATTTACTTTTTACTTTAGACTTCCAACTTGAGTCGTGAATACAAATTATATAGTTGAGTCTACTAGAGGACCAATAGTTCTATGAACTTGAGTCCACTAGAGGACGAATATTTTTAATTAGTTATTAATTAAGATATTTTTTGTTTTTTACATTTTTTTTACTTTAGACTTCCAATTGAGTCTTGAATACAAATTATATAGTTGAGTGTAAGTCGACTAGAGGACGAATATTTCTATGAACTTAGTCGACCAAATATTTCAAATTAGTTATTATTAATTAAGATATTTGTCTGTTATTTACTTTAGACTTTCAACTTGAGTCTTGAATACAAATTATATAGTTGAGTCGACTAGAGGACGAATATTTCAAATTAATTATTATTATATATGATATTTGTTCTGTTATACATTTTTTTTACTTTAGACTTCCAAATTAAATCGTGAATACCAATTATTTACTTCATTATATTATTCCTCATTTTATTTGATCAAATAAATTCTTATTAACATGTTTTGATTGAATACTCTAATAAATTCTTATTTACTTTTGATTGAATATTATATTCTCAAATAATAGAATATTTTGAAATTATATCTCAACCATTATTTGAATTTTATATAAAAAAAACCAGACGTGTGATAATAATCAAAACTGTGAGTTGACGGGTGAATCTTCTTTAGCACTCCTCATCTGTATTTAATATATTTTTTATAATTTATAGTCCCTCTTTTAGGTAATTATTTTATTGTCATATATTTAAATTAATTATTATTATTTAATATATTTGTTTTATTATTTACATTTTTTTTACTTAGACTTCCAACTTGAGTCGTGAATACCAATTATTTACTTCATTATCTTATTCCTCATTTTATTTGATCAAATAAATTCTTATGAACATTTTTTGATTGAATACTTAATAAATTCTTATTTACATTTTTTGATTGAATACTATATTCTCAAATAATAAAATATTTAGCAGGTATCGGAATATTTTAAATTGTATCTCTCATTATTTGAATTTTATATAAGAAAACCAGACGTGTGATAATAATCAAAGCTATGAGATGACGGGTGAAGATGACGGGTGAATTTTCTTTAGAACTCCTCCTCATCTGTATTTAATATATATTTAGTATTTTTATAGTCCCTCTTTAGTCATTATTTTAGATAATTATTTTATTTTATAATTAATGGTTAATAACTATTAAAATATTTTCAAAAATCTCCTCTTTAGTAAATAATTATTCTTATCTTGAGTAATTGTGATGTAATATTGGATTAAAACTTTGTGGATAAGAACTATAACGACTATAATCTAATAATATTATTTAACATTTAAGAATTTATAAAAATCAAACAACAATTACGCAAATTTACTTTATTTTTCTGTTTCTAATTAAAATATAATGATATAAATATAACATAAGAAAAAAATATTATATAGTATTAAGAAAAAAATATATATATTATTGCCCTATATCGATATTCCAGTTATTCAAGGATAAACAATGCTTTAAGGTGGATGGTGCCATCCTATTTCTTTTTTTCGTCAGGAAATCCACTGTCTTGCTAAAGGCTCTCTCACTCGGCACACTTGATGATTGCTGGGCAAGAAAATCTTTTGCAATCATGTAGGATAGACAAGGCTATTTTTTTCCCACCAATCTAGTATATTCGTTGTAGGGGACGCTGCTTTATCATCGAGATAATCCTTGATCTCCTTTTTTATAAGATCAGGGAATTCATATGCCTCCCTAAAAATTATAATATAATATATTTTAATTACTATCTCAATTCGTGATGCATGCAAACAGAATACGGCTGAGTATCCATGTCATCAGGAGAAAATTCGTAGGCATTAGATCTATAAGATGGAAATTCAAAACCTTTATATAATATTTTAAATTTTTCCATATATTCCGCCTTAACTAATATTTTAGGCATATATTTAATTTTAGTTTTAGGATCAAGTAATGTAGCCACATAATTACTAAATGTGCTCACATAACTTTTATATGTCATACACTTTGTTAACATTTTATTTGCAGCATTCTTAATGGCATCATCATTATGATTTCTGGAAGTCTCCTCCAAAATTTTTTCCATCCTTGTAACAAATAGCACAGCCGTCCCAATCGTCGTTGTATTGGATGATATTTCCAACGTCATTTTGTAAAACGATTTTAAAAAAATTTCAATATCCTTCAAAATATTTGCTTCCGTATCATTGATATAGTAGGCATCCGTCATATATTTATTTACAAGTAATTTGATGGCATCTAAATTCTTTAATAAAATATATTACACAATATTAAAATAATTATGTTAACACTTACTTTGTTTACTGTTGCTAGCATTAAATATTTTCCGTTCCTATGGTGATATAATCTAGAGGGATTCTTGTCCCACCAGAGACCTTCATAAATTTTTGTAGGAGCTTGGGCGATAGATGTAACTTTTTTATTGCATTTCAAACTTTTTCAAGTTTAACGTCTAATGATGATAAACCTTCTTTTACAATAATGTTAATAATATGGGCTATACATCTATAGCTAAACAGAGTTATATTATATTTTGATTCGAAAATGGTATTCATTTTCGCTGCAGCACTCACTATATTTGGTGCATTGTCTTGAGTGATTGATAGTATCTTGTCTTGAATTTCAAATGCATCAAGTGATGTTAACAATGCTTAGGAAATATCATCACCACAATGTGGGTATGGTAATTTAATTAAATCTAGAATAAAACTTTCCATTTTCCATTTGTTGTTAATATAATGGCATGAATTTAGATGCCATCAAATTACTTGTAAATAAATATATGACTGATGCCTGCTATATCAATGATACGGAAGCAAATATTCTAAAGGATATTGAAATTTTTTTAAAACCGTTTTACAAAATGACGTTGGAAATATCATCCAATACAACGACGATTGGGACGGCTGTGCTATTTGTTACAAGGATGGAAAAAATTTTGGAGGAAACTTCCAGAAATCATAATGATGATGTCATTAAGGATACTGCCAATAAAATGTTAACAAAATGTAGGACATATAAAAGTTATGTGAGCACATTTAGTAATTATGTGGCTACAATACTTGATCCTAAAACGAAAATTAAATATATACCTAAAATATTAGTTAAGGCGGAATATATGGAAAAATTTAAAATATTATATAAAGATTTTGAATTTCCATCTAATAGATCTAATGCCTACGAGTTTTCTCCTGATGACATGGATACTTAGCCGTATTCTGTTTACATGCATCACGAATTGAGAAAATATTTTATATTATATATTATAATTTTTAGGGATGCATATGAATTCCCTGATCTTATCAAAGATGAGATCAAGGATTATCTCGATGATAAAGTAGCGTCCCCTATAACGAATACACTAGATTGGTGGGAAAAAAATATCGTTGTCTATCCTACATTGTCGCTGATTGCAAAAAATTTTCTTGCCCAGCAAACTTCAAGTGTGCCGAGTGAAAGAGCCTTCAGCAAGACAGTGAATTTCTTGACGAAAAAAAGAATAGGATGTCATCAACCACCTTAAAGCATTATTTATCCTTGAATAACTGGGATATCCATATATGGCAACAATATCTATATTTTTTTCTTATGTTATACCATATAATATTTTTTTCTTATGTTATATATTATATCTTAATTAGAAACAGAAAAATAAAGTAAATTGTGTAATTGTTGTTTGTATTTTATAGGTAATAAATTCTTAAATGCTTAATAATATTATTAGATTATATTCGTTATAGTTCTTTACAAAGTTATTATCCAATATTACATCACAATTACTCAAGATAAGAATAATTATTTACTAAAGAGGGGATTTTTTAAAATATTTTAATAGTTATTAACCATTAATTATAAAATAAAATATCTAAAATAATGACTAAACAGGCAATAAAAAAATACTAAATATATATTAAATACAAATGAGGAAAAGTTCTAAAGAAAATTCACCCGTCATCTCATAGTTTTGATTATTATCACACGTCTGGTTTTCTTATATAAAACTCAAATAATGGTTGAGATATAATTTCTAAATATTCAGATACCTGCTAAATATTTTATTATTTGAGAATATAGTATTCAATCAAAAAATGTTTATAAAAATTTATTTGATCAAATAAAATGAGGAATAAGATATTGAAGTAAATAATTGTATTTCCGACTCTAGTTATAAGTCTAAAGTAAAAAAATGTAAAAAACAAAAAATATCTTAATAACTAATTTAAAATATTCGTCCTCTAGTCGACTCATTTATATAATTCTTATTCACGACTCAAATTAGAAGTCTAAAGTAAAAAAATGTAAAAACAGAACAAATATCTTAATTAATAATATTATATCTGAAATATTCGTCTTCTAGTTGACTCAAGTTCATAAAATATTCGTCCTCTTTCACTACTTGAGTCGACTATTGACTCCTGAGTCGGAGTCGGATGAACTCGACTTTTTAACATTATATTTTACCAATCAAAGAATTTGTCTTATTTAATCAATATTTGAAACATCGCTGCTCCTCGCATTTTAAGAACACTCTCAAGAGTTTTTTATATGCCAAAATTATTTTGGATTTATCTTAAATAATTCAATACACATTTTTCTAACGCTTTCCAGCTTTGCATTTCTCCCTTTTTTAAAAAAAAACGTTTTAAATACATACAAATATTGACAATTAAAACACATTGTTTTTTATAGGAGCTGTTGACATGATCTCGCCCAAAAATGTTATAGGACTCAGAAGCATACTCAATACTACGGTCATGGACATAATGTATTATACTAGTCCAATATTTCGTAACGAGGTTTCCTTATTTATATATATATACTAAGATTTTTCTTTAGACTGTGTCCTTTTCACAAATTAATAAAATTATGAAACATGGCCGAAATCTTCCATTATTTTTTTTTTAAATTTTGTAATAATTAAATAAAGAAAAAGAAAAAAATAAAACGAAAATGAAAAATAACAATGCCACCAAATTCTTTAATATACTTTGAAATTAATAAATTTATGATTTTTAAATGAAAATTTTTTTTTGTAAATGATTAAAAATGATTTAGAACACTATTTTATTTTTACATTAAAAATAGATTGTTATTTTTTTATCCAAAATGTATTTATTTATTTATATTTTGGACCCACTTTTTTGTACGTCGCCAAAGCTTGAGAATTATATTCAAAAAATTTTTGAACATAAATCTTTTAAGAGATTTATTTTTTAATTTGTGATTATTCATCTTGAAAAAGAATTTTTATTCATAATATTTTACAAAATTTTTTTTTTTACCAAAAAAATATTTGGCATCTTTATAAGGTAAAATTTGATCAAAAAATGTTCTTTTTTATCCAAACTCTGGATGTCGCTATTACTGGTTTTCTATTTAAGTATACCCAAAAATAAAGTGATCCTCTTCTATTTCAAAGATCTATAAATTGAAACCTTAGTTGTATAATATATTCAGTTATTTATTTAAAAAACGGCTAAACCGATTTTTTAGCCTAAAACCATCACTTTGACCCCGGGGTTCTACCTTAAAATATATCAGTGCCTTTATATTCACGGATTTTCTCCGGCACGCGTCTGTAGATTGAACCGAATTGACCGACATTTAGAACTTAAAATATTATCTAGATGGAATTATAGTTCGTTATGCCAATGAACTTAAAAAAAGACTATTATGATGGCCTCTAATAGCGATATATAAATAAATTTTTTAATATGGAGTGGGACACCTAGAATAAATTGCAAATTTTATTTATGAATTTAAATTTACGTTAAATATAAGCAGGTATAGAACGATGAAAGTTAGTTTATGCATCAAAAAACGATGGGGAGGGGGCGGGAAAATAGACTAATCAATTTATTAGTATTATATCGACATGGGCATCAAATTTGGGAAAGGGCATTTTAAAAAAATGGAATGTGGATTGTGGGAACAAGTGTTAGAAAACCTTTTAAGGATGCTGAAAATGAACCGATTTCTCCTTTTTTTTTGATTCCATATTTAAATGTTTTTATATTAGAAATCCGTCATTCACCTCAGCTGTATTTATGTTTTTCTTTTTTTTCTATTTAAGATACTCACTGGAGTCACAAGTGTTAGAAAACCTTTTAAGGATGCTGAAAATGAACCGATTTCTCCTTTTTTTTGATTCCATATTTAAATGTTTTTATATTAGAAATCCGTCATTCACCTCAGCTGTATTTATGTTTTTCTTTTTTTTTTATTTAAGATACTCACTGGAGTCCAAAAAGAACTAAATCGCCTTTACCAAATGTTTTGTGCCAAACATCCAAATTTTTCCAAATTCCCTCAAAATAAGGTTTCCATTATTGCTCATTCCCTTGGGACCGTTATAATTCACGATATTTTATCGGGTTGGAACCCATCTTACATACATCAAAATTACGTGGATCAAACTTTGGTATGCTTTTTTTTAAAAAATAATAATATTATATTAATTTTTAAAGAGCCAAAATTTCTATCAACACTAATATTAGGATAATAGTTTATTTTTAAGAAAAAAAGAGCTAAAAAAATAACATTTTCATGCCATAATTCTGAATCTTACCCTATGTAACTATATAAAACAGGGTTATGCATTTGACCGGTCAAATATGGTCAAATTTAAATAAATGTTTTTTAACAATATTAACTATTTTATATATAATAGTAAAAAATGAATATATGTTAATATTAAATTTTATTTTTTTTAAAACTCTAAAATTAATGTTTGGCTCTCCATGGCAGTCTTATCATTTTCTTTAATATTTTTAATCAATCTTAGGTTATGATATACTTTTACCAATTTTCTGGTTGTCGAGATCTTCAATCGACTTCTTTTCTTCGTATGAATATTACCTTAAACCTTCCAATTTCTTTCTGAAAAAGTAGTATAACTAGGAATTGTTGTAATTTTTAAGGTGTACAAAGTCGATTTCAACAACTATGAGCCCGAAATTTGATCGTTTCTTATGAAAGTTACTGCTTCTCCACATTTTTTGGCTATTTATTAAATACCGCCGCTTTTACTTCTGAAATTTATGATATCAAATAAAATATTTTGATTATTATCACCCCTAGTTCTTGTATTATATCACACGCTTCATCAAACTCAATTATAATGCTCCCCCTATATTGGGGATCCAATAAAAATAAATTTTATCACTTGGCACCTCATCCCTTAGTCGTCCATTTTTTGAATTTCAATTACAGGAAATTGAAAAAATTAAAAATTAGCAAACTTATTTTTTTTTCAAAAATAATATTTATATTTTTAAAAAAAAACAGCGTGCTACATACACTTCTCAGATAATTTAAATACATTTGAAAAACTTTCCGATATTTTTATACTTGATAAAAGTTTTCTGGAATAACGTAAATTTAAATTATTTGCCAATAAAGGTGGGGGGGGGGCGTTCGAATTTTGGAAATTTGATTTTACCGGAAACCGGAAATGTGATAAAGCATGCACAGGGTACCTACGCTTAAATTGTAGACAATTTACCTACCCTTATTATTTCACATTGAGATAGTATCATTAGATTGGCATCGAATTCAGAATTTTAACCTCCTAGTAACTAATAGTTCCTGAGATATCGATGGTTCAAAAATTTTCAAAATATAAACCCATTTTTAGAAAAATTTAATGAGATAAAAAAAAAACTCCCGTAAAATTAATAGCGAAATTGTTTGAAATTTATGAGGTAGGAATAATATAATTCTACGGGTGCTTATATGGAATACATTTCCGTTTCAAATTTAAAAATACTCTTCACAAAGATGATTTAAAATTGGAAGATTCCGAATCTCTCACCTGAATATTCCAGGTGAGTCGTTCTTACTTCAATATTGTAATATCTTTTACGTGAGTAAAAATAGTTTTAAAAAAAAATAAAATAAATATAACTGTTAATTGGCTCGTGTTGAGCCTATTTTTTAAAAACGGCTAGCTTAGTATTATAGCCAGAGAAAATTGCCTAAGGCTCAAAATTTTTTATAATAGGGGTCGAAAATCTTCAGGCTTGCATTATTTTTTTCTTGACCAAATATTGAGATAGCCGTTTGTAAAAATCGGCTCAAATCAAGCCGTTTAACAACACTACGTCCTCGACAAACAATCACATCCTTTCAAATCTTTCCTTCAACATTCTCTATTTTATATAAGAGCGACTGCATAGAAGACGCAAAGGATGAAGTCGATAAGAAGAGGTGGTCCAAATTCGCCGAAAATTTGAAGGCTCAGTAAAAAAAATGGATTACAAATATATATTTTTTAAAAATATGTGAAATAAAATTATTAGATATCAAGGTTATACATTAAGAATATTCGAAAGCTGACGGGCCAGGCAAAAAAGAATTATGCAAGGCAAGTAGTGTAAGTTTTTTTAGCCGGCCCGGACAATTTATACATCAAATATCGGACAAGGTCTCGTAAATCTCTGATTTTTTTTTCGTAAAATTTTAGTAGGCCAGCTCGGGTACTAAAGTTTTGATATATTTTTTTTGAATTTTAAGCGATTATTTTGATTAATACTATTTGAGAAATAAATTGCAATGCGCTTATTTCTTTGTATTTGTTTAAGAGCTTGTGTAATTTAGAATAAATTATTTATGATATTAAAATTACAAATACTCTATACATATCTCAAGTTGTAAAAAGAAATCAGAAGAGATTAGATATAAGAGCCTAAATTGACATTGGAAAAAAAATAATTAGATAGAGATAATAAACAAAAGGGCTAGACAATTATAACGGGCTGGCCAACTTGTGCAAAAATTGTTAACCCGCAGAAATGGGCCGAGCTGGGATTTCCAGATCTATAATATATGGATCAGGAATTTAACAATTAGTGTAACCTTTCTAATTCGATCATCGTTGAGGCCAATTGCCTAGCTTAGACAGTTGCCCAATTTATCAAGGCATTTTCTAATACATACTAGTTAATAAGAATTTGATTGGGACTCAAAGTTTTGGTCAAATTAGGGATTTGCCTGAATTATCAAGAGCCCAAATTACATAAGTTTTACTGTATACTATAGTAAATATTCAAATAGAAGTTTTTTTTAAAAAAAATAATCCATTTATGTTATTCTAGAATTTTTTAAAGCTCTTACATCGGCCCTTTATTTCCAGAGCCGGAAAAGCACTCGAAAAATTTTATCTGACTGCTCTTATCAGATTATTTTTTTTTGAGCAATATGATCCAATAATTTTATCGAGGTTTGTTTGAGTCCGGTACCAAATTAATTTTGAAATCAAGGTTCTAACCCACCCATGTCCGCCTCGGAATGGATTTCGACTCGAATCAGCCCATGTAAGACTCTAGAATCTTTTAATTCGACCTGTTATCTGGACTAGAGGTCTGCATTGGGCGGGTTTTTGGACCAAAAGCCGCCCATCTAATGTTTTAAAAAATTTAACCCGCCCAGCCCGCCCATAGTTTCAATTTTTTTTAACCCGCCTGCCCATTCTCGAAAAAAATTTTACCCGCCAATCCGTCCGCCCACTTAGATGGGCGTGGGTGGTCGGGCCGAAACTCCGCCCGTCGGGCCGAAACTCCGCCCAATGCATACCTCTAATCTGGACCACCTATTAAAAAATGGACCCATCCGGATCTCAATACTGAGAATCCGAAATATTTTTCCTCTTACACTCCAATGCGTGTACTGGAGACATTTACATATGATGGAGGTCGTCTGGTGGGATGGACCCATTAGTGTGTTGAATGCTTTAAGGTAAAGGGTTTTGTTATCAATCCAGCTACTATACGATCGAACCTGGTCTTTCGGTTCAATGATAATATGAGATAGGAAGCAAAATTCTAGTCTTCTATTATCCTCGTTTACCTTAGCCATCATAAAATAAAAATTAGTGGTTATATCCAGATAGATGACCAAGTGATGAGGATCGATTTTTCCCCTTTGATTGTGATTCCCCAATGTGCCGCCATCTCTGCGACTGCTAATGTGACCCAGGTTACCTCTTCCTCGTCTGTACCATAGATGACAATGGCTCTAAAATAGACCCAGTATTTCAATTGGGTGATTGCCTCGGCGCAAAGATTCAATGCAATATTTTTCAGCGCATACGGGAAGATAGAAGTTTCCATCGGTAATTTCTTGTATGCTTGTTAGGCGCTTCCTTAGAAAGCTGGGGAAAACTCTATTGGTATCGAACAATGCCCTGACCAATTAATCGTAATTGTCGGGATTGTTTTGAGCCTATACTAGTAACGGTTGAAGTTTTTTGACACTTGAAATAATTTACGATTACCCTGGGAGTACCATTGGCTTTGGGGATAAAGATTCATGACTGTTTGAAGGACTCCTGTTCGTTCCATTTGTGCGATGAACGGGAGATATCTATTTGTTAGTCTGATTAACCTATTGGTAAAGTATTGCCGTTATATTGTTATCCCCCATACCTTGATGGTCTAGTTTGGGACAGAATCCTCTCCTTGCTATCTTCTTCATGCAGATGGATTGATCTTCTCTACATGTTAAAGTTAAGCTAGATAATTTTAGATTCGCCTCTAGATTAATATCCGAATTTGTAGGTGTGGTTCCCCATAATCGTGTTATTAAACAATGAAAGTTGTCATTGGATGCACTTTCTCCGTCCATAATACTTGGGACTTCAGTGTTCCTCAGTTCATTTATCTGAGGAAAAATGTTTGACATAATGTGGGGTTCCTGGGAGCATTTTGTCATCATCCGACCTTACTCACGTTGCTTGGTCGTTCTCATCGTCTAGCTGTGAAGTATGCACACTACGTGTTCCTCTGAATCTTATCGATGGGATTAGTGTATCTAACTTTGGGGATACCGATGAAGTATGCACACTACGTGTTCCTCTGAATCTTATCGATGGGATTAGTGTATCTAACTTTGGGGATACTGAATATACCAGGGAAGATCGGGAGCTCATCGATCACGTTTCTGTCGGTCTGCTCCTTGTATTTGGCCCGCTCCTATCACCCGAATTATCCCATCGGATGCTTTCTGCTAGTCGGGATTTGGTAATATACGGTCCACTGTATCGGGGATATAGTGCTTGAAGTCTTAGGTTCCTTGTTATATTTGCAGCAGGTGTATCGTGCCGTGAGTTGAACCTCGTCCTTTCGTTTTCTGGTAGGCAGTAATCCCAATGAACAATAGTATAGTAGCATCTATTAATGCGCTAAGATTAGCGCCACATACAATGAGGACCTCGAATCTAGACCCGCTCTTGCACCAGTAGGTATGGCCGACACCGTTTCCAATCCAGGGATGACAGACGTCCTCATATTATGGGTAGATCTCTAAGGACGATGGCGGACTGCAAATATTTTCTAATGAGTAGCTCGCTCATCTTGATATCTGTTCAGAAAAAAAAGGAGACACTCCTTAGGATCCACTATGCGAATGGGATATCGAAAACAGAAATTGAGCCTGTAAGTTGAATTTTAAGGAAAGAGACTGGAAAAATAATCTACGATGGCACATTGCCTAAATTAGTATAATAGCTTAAACTCTTTAGTATGTGTACAGAAGGGGTGGAATCATCTTCGGTTGACAAACAGTTTACTCCTCCGAATCATCCAACAGATGGCCTTTCTACGACCAACGTTGCTTAAAGTCAATGCTTATTCCTTTTGTTAACCCCCACCTCCGTCGACCAGGTAATGGACAAACGAGGGTTCAACCTCCAGGCACGATATCAATCTGCCGGTAATACAAGAACATACGAGGAGCCTAGGACCACAAACACAATCTTACCCCGATACAGCAGGCCTTATGGAACTCAATCTCGTCCAACAGGGAGCATCGGCGGGGAAATTTGGCGGATAGGAGTGGGTCCAGCGTAAGAAGCAGATCGATGGAGCTGGTATATTTGGTATCCACAATGTATTGCTCCCCCTTGCTAGCAAGAAATTGCTAGAAAAGTTTATCCATGAACTGAGACGGGAGAGAATTCTCTCTCAACTTGACAATCAAGCTATAGAGAGAAATGGGAAACGATATATTACCAATAGGTTCACCAGGCCAACTAATCGATATCTCTTTCTCCCAATAGCGTTGCAAAATATTGTTTTGGTCTTTGCGGCAAGGCAATCGCCCAGTCGACATCTATTTAGACGACATTATCATCTTTGAAACAGACGAGTAAGAGGTCGGCTGGGAAACATTCACATGATATGACGGCACTTTCGGAACTCACAATCATTGGGAGAATATTTGTCCTCATCTCCACTAAAGTGGTCATCTATCTGGAAATTATCATTGATTTTTTTAGGGTGGCTGAGATATGAGGATAATAGGAAAAGACTAGAATTTGTATAATAGCCTTTGAATAATATATTTTTTAATGAAAGTGGCCTACCAAAAATATAAATTCGGGCTAGACTCAGATCAAAATTGTAAGGCTCTATTTCATTGTACTCAAATTTTCTTTTTATTTTAAATCAACTTATTCAAATTCAGAATTTAGTGACAATTTAATTTTTAATATTATCGTGACAGAGTTTTGGATATCGAAAGCAAATTGAACTATATTCGCAAAGACAGAAACAGTCTGAAGTTTAAGGTAACAATTTTAATCACATATTACGATTTCAATCCATCATCATTTTGTTTCGCCGGATGCCAACATATCTTATACAATTTTACGATGTTGAAAAAATTAGGTGGAGAACCTATTCCTACTCGGCTCCCCTCTCGCGGTATTTCTAGTCATGCGTGGTATATCCCTTTATGGCAGAAAAATTGATGTAAATGCCGGAAACGAAGTTAACGACCAAATAGATGATTTCTCATCTCTGGCTGATTCCTCAAAGTCTTATAAATCCACTTCGAGATACCCCCATCGGTCTTCAAGTTCTCTCCCGACATCTAACGGTATTTATATTAGAGGTCAGCGCGGCCCAAAACCGCAGATCTCGACTCACGAACCCATCCATGAAAAAAGTTATTAGGCTAGGGCGGACAAATTGTCTAAATAATTTTAACGGGCTGGGCTCAAAGCTTCGAAAAAATTTCAAGCTGATATTATGATGTTTTCTTTCATATAAAAAATAATATAGGCTGGGCCGAAAACTCTGTTAGAAAAAATTTTCAGGGGTTGGTTTGGGCCAAGCCTCCACACCTTATAATATATATTTTTATAGCATGTTAAACCCTAAGACCCACTTAGATGGATTGCTTTCTCTTATCCCTAGTTTCCAATCGTAACAAAGTTAACATAATGAACTTATGATCAGTGTATCTTCGCCTGAAATAAAATATTTTAGACGCCCCTTGCTCCTCCCTCTATCGTTTTTGGGGTCTTCTTAAGAGATAAAATTAAGCTATTTTTTTTAATCACATTTTGATTTAAAACATTACCTCCTTTCTATTCATTCACATTACCATAAGATTATGATTTATTTAAATAAATATATATACAGCTGGTAATGACATAGTAGGTAAGGAGAGTCTACAACAGGAGCTCGAAAAAATGGACCAAAATTCTAATAGATCGTTGCGATTTTCTATCTGCGAAAATAGTACTAGCACAGATTCTTTCTCGGACAAAAGCCATAAACCGAAAATATCTGTTTTGCTACCTAAACATATATGCAATCACGTTTATAATATATATCACCCGGCCGACCCAGTGGTAAATCTAATTTTACATTTAAAACTTACCAAAATATTTTACTTATAGGATCCTCCTATCTATTCCTGCTCATTGATAAATAAAATATAATAAACAATATTAAATTTTTATCACTATTCTCAGTGACGTCTAGGATGGTGGTCTGCAAACACATGGTTTAACCTAGCGTACCCCGCCCATCCTACGGGATGGTGGGTTTAAAGTTTTTTAATTAGTTGGCGGGCCGGTAGCAATATTTTAAAAGTAACTGGCGGGCAAATTTTGAATATTTTACGAATGAGCAAAGAGGCGTATATTTATTTAACACTATTTTTGTATATTTCATATTATTGCATGTTTCAAAACTTAGTAAAGATGTATTAAATAAACAAAGGAGCCAAATTGACCAACAAAATTTTAAAATAAATAAGCGGGTAGGCGGTTAAATTTAATGGGAAAACTTTGGTAATCACAATAAATATAAATATTCAGTAACCCCTACACTTTTTGAGGGATAGAAGCAGAATACCCCCCTAAAGTACCCCCACCCCCACCCCCCTGTTATTGTAAATTATTTTTTGACACCAATTAATTTCAAAAATAATTTTTATTGCATCAATATTTATTATAATATAAATATAATGTAAAAAATATATGCTTTAAAAATATTATTTTTAAATTAATAATTTAGATAAATTAGGGGAAGAGAAAGCAAAAGAATTTATAATTTCATTAATATTTAATTGTTTAAATAAATTATTTTCCATTGATAAAATGGTTAAATCAATTAAGAAATGGATCTTTCATGACACTACGAAGTCTTGTTTTAATTTTACTCATGACCCTTTCGGCAGTACATGATGTAGTAGGAATAGTTAATAAATATTTATATAAAATTGTTAAATTTGGGAAAGCAGAAAAATTTATAAGCAGACGATAAGGTAAAATAAATGAATAGTTTCTCCAGTCTGAATCATTCATCTCAGAATTATTATCATCAACAGAAGAAGCTAAATAATGTATTAGTAAAAATATTTTAATTAAATAAATTTACAATTCTCAGAATCTGACAAATCTTCTTTAATCTCTAGGTCTCGAGTAATAATTACGTCCCCCGTTTTAGCCATTTTATAAATATTTCTAAACATCAACATTTCCTCAAAAACTTGACTTGTATTTAATTGATAAAATTCACAGATATCCTTGATATCATCTTTAACAATTGCCTTTTCCGCCATTCCCTCTGGAGTAAAAAATGATGTTTGACTCAAAAATTTTATCGATTCATCGTTAAATCCTTCACTAAACTGCATAATAATTAAATCAAGTGCAGCATAAACACACTGATTTTAAAGCTAAAATAAAATATTATATTTAATGATGAAAGTATATATATACCTCTCCTTTTTGGATTGTAATGTTTGAAGTCTTGAACTTTCAAAATCAAAAGGTAAATTTCTCTTCTTCATAAAATCTTGGGCCTTTGAAAAGACATCCAAAAATTCAGTGTTATTATCAATTTTAGGATTATAAAATAATAAAAGATAATAATTTAAATTATACTTCTCATATTAATCAGGCAATCTTTTGCCAATTGAATTTGATTTATTGCAAACCCTATATCCTTCGAAATGGTTTGCAATTTTGTACAAGCCAAGCTTGTTATCAACAATATTTTATCCAAAACACATAGTGATAAAATAAAATCAAATTTTTCTATTCTATAGACTAGAGCACTAGCCATAGTGGAAGTGGCAGGATCTTCTGAATCCTCTAAATTTGCCAAAGCTGCCCTCAAAGCATCATAAAGTAGGAAAAAATTTACAATGGCCTTATATGATGTTAGCCAGCTTCTATAAATATAAAATAAACATTATATATCGAAACAATTAAGATAATATTACCGAGTGGTATTCTTGATGCGTAAAAATCTATGTGATTTTGTCAGTAAATCACACTGACATGTTTTGAGCACTTCATATCTTTTAACACCATTAAAATATACGTAAATTTCGTCTAATATTCCCAAGACATTTCGCAGCTCTTTTACAGATTGGCATAATTGAACAACTATTAAATTTAATCGATATAGCACCAAATAAAAGCTGCCTTTGGCGCCTCCGCTCTAATCAAAGCCTGCACTCCATTAATTCTTCCACTCATGTTTGAGGTGCCATCATAGCTTTGCCCCACTAGGAATTCGAGGGGTAGATTCATGGAGCCAAGCTTGGATATTATATTCTTTTTAATATCGAGGCCCGTTGTATTTCCCGTACAATAAATGTCTAATCAGCCTTTCAACGGGCTTAGGTGTCTCGCTATTTTCAACATATCTCACTATCAAAGCTATTGCTTCTGATTTCGATACATCATATGTGCCATCATCTATAATTGAATAGCACCTGTTGAATTCAATCTCCTTTTGAATTTTTTTATAACCATATTTTTCATGGTTTCAATAAGAATATTTATGTTATTATATGATAACAGATTTGAATATAATTTAGATTTTAATCCCTTAATTTTTTTCTCACTTCTTCTTTCTTCATTATCTTGTATATACATTTTAAGAACAGGCTAGAATCTGCAATAAGTTTAATAAGGCTCATCATATTGCCATCTTAATTTTTAATCAAGCATTTATATTTTTTTTGGTTAATATTTTTGGGCATATTTTGACAATGATCTAGAAATTATAAATGATTATATATAAGATTAAATATTTAAATTTTTACTATTCCCTTTGATAAAATTTTAATTTTGCGCCAAATCTTGAAAGTGGAAAAATAATTTTATGATAAGAAATATCGGATAACAAACTAATTTGCTAAACATCGACCATAAAAATTTTTAAAAAAATAAATAAAAAAATTTAAAAAAAAAAAGTACCCCCATAGAAATTTATAGAAGCAGTTGCTTCGGACCCCCCCCCCCGTTGTAGGGGTCACTGTAAATATTGAACACAATTTTTTTTTAACCAAAGTAGAGTTCAACCGAAACGTTTAAGATTTGATTTAGAGTGACTTAAAACAAATATTAAACGCTTAGTATAATTATATGTACATGTAATTATAACGAATAAGGCCTACCGACTAGAACCACTCATATCTCTCGGGTATATCCGCGTGAAACCTCTGCCCATTCACAAATGCGATTTGGTTCGAAAAATACTTTATGGCGATCTTCCGCTCGAATTTTATCCCTTAGAACCGGTCGAGCCTCAACCACAAACCGAAGAAGAAGCTGAGATACAAAATTTATTGACAGCAACCAAAAAGGATAGTACGATTTCTAGTCCTCTTTTGAATGCATCGAATCCCATAAGCAATATAAATGCCATGATGAATCTATCTGTGTTAGAAAAGGCCGTTAGCAAGGAATCGAGGCGAGATATCCGAGGAGAAGAAATTTTTCCGACAGAGGGACATCAATGTGGCCTAGTTAAAGGTAAAATTTCTATAACTTGAGTATATCCATCTGGGTTGGGGGGGGGGGGTTAAGATAAATGGAAATAGACTTTAATATGTTATTCTACTAAATTACAGAAAGGGAAAAGGGGATATTTTAGCATATATACAATTAGAAAGAGCCTTTAAATGAATGCTATGATTTCAAAAATTCGGTATAATTAAACAATTTGTGGAGTCTTGTATATTTTATTAAACATTAGCATTTTAAAAAATCTAATAGCTATGCTTTCAATATTTTATTGCTGTACACTGGATTCAGCTAATAATTGGATAATATATTTGATTTTTTTTTAGAATGAGGATAGATTAATAGGCTCAATTTCTATGTCTACATAAGGTAGATTCCAATGGCTCCTACAACAGGAGGTCGGACGGGGCCACATATATGTTTAGTGGGGTCTTATTTTGTCCGAATTTGATACAGTTATATATTTCAGGGGTTTGCTAGTTTTTTTTAAAAGTTTCATATTATTCAAAAATTAAACTGATCAATGATTCTATCTATAATCATTACATCACAATTTAATATGAATTGTATGTTGTAAATGATATTTAAAAAAAATAAACTGAAACACAAACCGCGCTGTAAAAACAAACATGATTTTTTGTTTAAAGCTTTGTAGAAGAACGATTTCTTAAATGGTGTATGGCCATTTAACGTCGGAATTATACTAGTTCACTAACTATTTTATCGTAATTACTTTTAACTTTTGGGGAATAATTTAGATATATTAGCTTAAATTATTTAATTTTTTTGCTTTTTAGTGAAACATCCCCTATTGAGAAGTCAAATATGTTTTCAGAATAAATATATGAGCTATATTTCTAGATAAGGAACTTGAAATTAATTACAATCTTCAGAAAATATATGCTAAATGCTCTATACTACCACCAAATAATTTTAATGCAATAAGTTATAGGCAGGCCGGCGAGGAACCTGCCAAATGGTACGCGAAACAACAAATACCCTCAAACCTATCCCATTAGTCCAGGATTTTTTATTTTTAACCCTTCACTACAAAGGTGGAAAAAAATCCCTTAAAACTACAAAGGTGTGGTCTATTTTACTCCAAATTTTGATTAGCTATATCTCAGAACATATTAAAATTTGAGATCTAAAACAGTTGCCCAATTTATCAAGGTATTTTCTAATAGTAGTTAATAGGATTTTGAATGGGGCTAAAAATTTTGTTCAAATTAGGGAGTTTCCCCAAATTATCAAGAGCCCAAATTAAGAAAGGTTTGACTGTATAAAAATGCTTCGTAAAATCGTCGCACACGAAATGTGATTCGATAAAAATTGAAAGAAAATAACCATTGAATAAATATTAAATCGTGAGAGAAGGTCCCCTAATTATCAGCTGCTACTTCACAGTTTATGAGAAAAGGCATGGCGGCCATATTTGTTTCGAATAGTGTTGTTAATTGACCGGGCCGAGCTAGCCTGATTGAACCCGACTTTACTCGAATAATAAATTTGAATGGATGATTAATTAAAAAGATTAAAATTTCTCTGTTCATAAAAAATTCAACCATTATTTATTTTGTGGGTTGGCCATCTAGCCAATGATTGCATATTTTTTTAGTTTCGATCCTCAGCTGGGAATTTATTTTATTTTCCTGAAGCTAATCTCTTGGACGAGAGAAGTTTTGGGTTGTCATAGATATGTATTAGGGTTTAATATTACATTAAAAATAACTCCATTAAACTTTCTCATCTTCTCCGAAGAAATAAAGAACTCTTACCAAAATATTGGAATAAATAAATAATTATGATACTCTTACAAAGTTTTTTTTATTTAACTTTTAACAAATTGGATTGAAAACAATAATTCCTGCCCATATTATTCACCTGTCGCCATAGAACCCTTAATTTAGATAACACTCCTCACTATCGCTTCATCTAATTTCATATTTGATATTTATATATTTCATTTATTTAAAAATTTTAAAAAATAAATAAAGAAGACGAACAAATTGCTTCTCCAATTATTGACCCTCACAATCCTCCTCCCATTCCACCCCCGCCATATTCGTCGTACCTGCCGCGGGCTTCCTGGGCCCCTAACCTAGATTTCATCAAAACTTATTGGAGGAGGTCTTCATCCGACCCCAAATACGATGATACACAAAATCCGGTCCACGAAAAACAAACTCATAAAACGAATTCTAAATTATTGAACCGGCCCGGTATGATTTCGGCTATTAAGTCCGGTCATGAGGCGGATATAAGCGAAGTTAATATGCCAATCACATTTTATTTTCTTATACTTATACATGATGCCAACAAAAAATTAGCACACCCCCCCCCCCCATTCCCCCCACCACCAAAAAATAGACAGACATCAATCTCTTTTTTCTTAAAACAATTAACTACACTTTAAAATAAAATTGCATCCTTGAACCTTAAAATTTTGTCAAAATTGACACAAAATTAATCAGTATATATTTTTATCTCATAATTTTTTGTTCAACAAACTCCTCAAAATCAAAATTCTTCGTTTTGATCTTCTGAAAATTAAAAAAAATGGATTTTTTTTTCTGAGAATGCTCACAGAGAATTCGATTAATTTTTCCTCAAAATTCCAGAATATTTTATAAAAGAATATCGATGATCTTTCAGGATGATATCATAAAAAAAAAATTTCATCAAAGATTTTGACTCTTAATTCTAGGCGAAAAAGATCTTCAAATGCTCAGATTTTTAAGTTCAATTCTATTAAATTTGTTAATAAGCACTCTTTTAAAGATGACTATACCTAATATTATCGACTCTTAAATTTGAATAAAAGGGAATTTGGTGAGGTTCAATTTAGAAGCGGAAAAATTTAGCTTCTAATATATATATCTTAATTTTTGGTTAAATTATAGTTTATTCGCGCATGCGTGTATTGGCATTCATCATAATCTCTTTCATACGAAAATAAATTACATTTTTCCAAAAATAAAATACTCATTTTCTTCGAATTAAGTACGAAATGTCGCCTAAACGATCCGGTAACACCAGTGACCCTTCCACCTCCAATATGGACGGCCTCAAAATAAAATACTATACTCACCCTAAGGATCAAAAACTCGATAACCCAAAGGAAGATCGTTCTTCTCATAGTTTGAGCTATAATATTTGCACGCTATCTTCATACATTTAAAATTATTCCTTCCGTTAACCCTTTATAATCGCAATTTATATATCCTTATTAATTACCCAAAAGAACGGAACAAAATATCTAGTCGAATTAACGGCCCCTTTTCATCTCTCAACGAAACCGGTACTGACACTAGTAGCCAGGACGAAGGCATCCTTTTTATCGAAGATAGAGACGATGATGTTACCCCGTTAAATAAATTAAGCACTACCGCATCTTCGAATATCCCGAAATCTAGTCAAAGTAGGGTCAAGGAAAACAAGGTTGAAGCGAAAGAGATCGTTAACAAGGACATCGTCATAAATCCTGCCCATAAGACAGTTTTGCTCCCTTCCATGACCGCTCTCAAAAAGAGGGTCAACAAATCTAAGGGATCAAAATCGAAGACGCCAGACGAAGCGGGGTCAACATTGAAAGATGCTAACGATAGATCGGGGCAAGATGGGAGTGCTAATCAAGATGGTAATACTGCTAGCATTCAGGTGTCTGATGAGGATATACCTAGTTAGTGGCTTAATTTTTATATTATTATCTTTTTTGATATATGTTAATTTAGTTTAGAAATCGGTTTTTAAAATTCTCGAGGAAATTAGTAACAAGTTTAATATAGATATTTTAAAATAGGCATCATGCCAAAATGATGTCTTTTTTTAGAGTTGTTTTAAATTCCAGAAATTAATAAGTTGATTTTATTTTATTTTCAAAAAAATAGAATTGGAATATAGGGTTGACTACACATTACCCTCAGGTTGGACTATAGTAAATACATATGTTTCTGCCATAACCGCTCATACCAGTTATTGGAATAGCCCCGATGTCATATATTTCATATTACAACACCTGTTTCCCGACTAAAATGCAAATTAATTATTTTAAATTCACTTAAAATCCCGCTTTGGAAAAAACCATAATTTTTATCGGGAATTTCCCATATATAATTTATATTTTAGATTTCATCATTATCATGCGCAAAAGTCAAAACAATTATAATTTCATTATAAATGTTAAAAATATTACCAGGTTTTTAATGCATTGTAATAAATGGTCTTTTATTTACCCGCATTAACATTTACTTTATTGATATGTTAATATATCTATAATATATGCAATAATTCTCATTAATTATAGTTATTTATGTAGTTTTATATAAGATTTTTTTTTAAAGAAAATGGCGATAAAAATGTGACAAATTATTATGATAATTATATTGAAATATTTTTATTTATTTATTTAGTCAAATATTTTCTTAAATTTTTTTTTTAAGAACAATAAAATTTGAATATAAAATAAAGAAAAGGCAATTCTTAAATTTTTCTTTTATTATAATCAGTTCTGTAAGATATTTTCTATTTTAATATAACCTTGTTTTAAGCGGATCTGAATCAAAGAATTTGTGCATCATTATAGCTATGCCGTTCTACATATTTGCTAATATTCGACCAAACAGACGTCGATTATCACCTTATTGAACTATGTCATAAAAAATTTTTTAATTTTCTATTCAATCAAAATAACTAATATTTTAATTTAATCTATTTTTTAGAAAATAAATTACAAACTAAAACAAATTTTTAGTTATTATTAGGAAATTAATAAAAATATATAAATAATGCCAGATCAAAGAAAGAAATTTTTTATTTTGAAAATATCGACTCCGATACGATATTTAATATCCGCACCATCCTATAAATTATCATGGTCAAGGATGGGTAAAATACTCTAAATGTATATTTTCGTTACTTTTTTTTCACTTACTTTGAATAAGTTACATCTTACAATTGTTCGAAAAACAAGACCTAAATTACGAGTAAATTTTAAATTAACATATAACAAAAATAATTTTGCCTCGAGATTTCGGTAAAACCTTGTATTCTATCTATGAAAAAATTTCTAAGCTTGCCTGTCGAAAATTTTGATTTAAAATTAGTAATAGCTCTAATTCCTGTTAAATCAAGACTTCTTATATTTTTTTTATTAATAACTTATGACACTAACATTTGCCCGAAAAGAAAAATCTTCAAAGATTTTGATCTAGAATAATTATTTTTATAATACTCGAACAAGGAAATAAAGGAATTACCATCGACTGGTCTAATTGAAAGTGGGGTAATTCAAGTTCACTCACGACAAATGGGGGATAAAATAATTTGAAAAATTATTATATATGTATTTCATATTCGCGGAAAAACGATCCTTAACCCTTTCACGCCATGGATAACTTTTGGAATCATAATTTTTCAATAGTAATTTATATGCATTAAAAATGGTCACTGGTAACTTTTGAAATCATATTTTTAATATTTGCTCTTTCGTATTTTATCACTAACTCTTTTGTTTCATATGTTATATATTATAGTTTTAAAAAATCAATTTTTTCTTAACATTTTCGCGCCAAAATTTTAATTCATATTTTTGGTTATCAAAACTTGCTAAAAATATAAGTAATAGTTTTATTATTAATATATATATATATTAATAATTTTATATAATAATTATCATCTTTTTAAACATTTTAGGTGCTGGAATTTGAACATAATGCCATTTGGCATCTATGGTCATTTCTTATGCACTAAAATATTTTTTTTATCAATAAATGGGAATTTTAGTCAAATTATTTAGGATATTTAGATTTAGGGTTAAAACGGAAGTGGGAGGGGGTGGGGGTAATCAGATTATATTTTGATAATAGTTAACTGTATTGATTATTTAATGTCTAATAGTTTTCTTGGATATAGGGAGAAGTCATAATAAATATTTTATATATATAACATGTAATAATATGAGATACTTTTTAATCACTATGCATTTAGATATGACTACACTTATCCCCGAGGGTGATGTTTCTGAAGCTGATATAGAGAGCTCAGATGAAGAAGACAATTATTATCCTTTGCTAGGAGATGATTTGCCAACCTCATCTTATATTACAAATGAACTAGGTCTTGAATTGGAGGATATAATCGAAGATACTACTATAACTAAAATAAAAGATAACCCTCTTTGGTCTAAGAAAGACATTGGAAACATGAATACAGAATTTACTCATATGGTGGAAATTCCTGAACCAGATTCAACTCCTCTAACCTATTTTCGTAAATTTTTGGACAACCAAATGATAAGCAATTTTGTATAAGAAAAAAATATTTATTCCTTCCAATGGTGTGGAAAATCTATAAATACTGATAGCAATGAAATTGAAAAATTTATTGGAATACATTTGTATACTAGCTTTTAAGATGCCTTCTATACAGCAGTATTGGTCGGTTGAGACATCTATTCCACAAGTATCAGAAACTATGTCCCACAATCGTTTTCTTTTGATCCGAAAATTTTTCCATATTAATAATAACAAAAATATGGTAAATAGAGAAGATTAAGGTTACGACAAATTATTCAAAATTCAACCTTTCATATGCCAGCTAAAAAAAAATCAACTCGAAGAGAAGTTAGCTGTAGACGAATTCATAATTCCTTCTAAGGGGCGCTCTAAATTAAGGCAAATACATTTGATCGAAGCCCCATAAATGAGGGATAAAAGTATTTGCCCTATGTGGCTCTTCTGGATTTATGTATGATTTTGAAATATACCAGATAAAGTCTACTAATACTATAAAATCATATTTAGGTATCAGTGTAGATATCGTACTTCGCCTGTCTGAAATAATACCATCAAATAAAAACCATAAATTATATATGGATAATTTTTTCTCCTCATACCAATTATTTATGATTCTTAAAAAAAAGGATATTTGGTGTCCAGAACAGTAAGGTCTAATCAATTATCACGATGCGCACTTAAAAACGATAAGTCTTTAAAAAAGGAAGGTAGAGGCGCTGTAGATTATAAAAGTGAAAAAAACGGTATTATTATCTGCAAATGGCAGGACCACAAAGCTGTTATTACAATATCTAATTTTATAGGTGTTTTATCTACGACCAAAATTAAACGATGGTCTGTATCGGACAAAACCTTTATAAATGTAGAAATGCCCGCTATAATTAAAAACTAAAATGAACGTAACAATTAAACAAAGGTGCAAGTATTGCGTAGATGTATATTCAAGAATTATGTGTCAAAAGTGTAATATTTATTTATGATAATAAACGAAATTGTTATTTGTCATTTCATATGAAATAAAATATTTTTTTAAATGAACTTGCATTTTGCCCATTGATGACATTTGGAATCATTGAATATTTTTTGATAGAAATACTCGAAATAAGTTTTTTTTGATAAAAATGTGTTATTTGTGTCTATAATAAGTATCTCTTAAAAAAAAAATTTTTCATCGAGGGGCGAAAGGGTTAAAATGCCAAAGTTTATTTTAATCTTTTTAAAAGCCAAGCCCGTAGAAAAAATTTGCACGCCTTTATCGTGTAAATTTTTTCTTAAAAGAAATCCAGGCGGAAAATCTATTTAAAAAACCCGGGGGCGGAAAATTTTTTTAAGATATCCGGTACAAAACTCGGGTCGGATCGAATTAAGAAATTCAGGACCGTCCGATTTTTAAAATTCGGGCTGGGGGTCTCTTGATAAATATTCAATTTTATGTCTTCAAAGATTTTTTGGGAAAAAAAACTTTCAAATGCTCATTTGAAAACCTTTCCTTATAAACCTTGAATATACTATTTAATAATCAGATTGCCTTGGTGTCTAAACATATTATCCAAATATTTATTAAGTTTATTATTAGATGGATCGTTTTTTTTTCTTTATCTTAATCATCATTTCGTTACAAAATGTTGATAAAAAGTGAGTTATATATTCAATGACGTCAAAGAAAATACCTTTGATTATTTCTTTTTACATTAATATTTCAAATGAAAAAAAATCGATAAATCTAAAAAGATAATACTTCATCCTAAAAATAATTTTGAAAATATGAAATTTTTTAAAATTATTTATGAATTTTCCAAGTTTAAATTTTATTTTTTAATCGTCGAATAAACAGACAAATTACATGTGATCTACACGTGTTAAATAATCATTTATATTTAACGCTCGTTATGTCGATTAATTAGAGAGACCATGCCAGGGATCATTCTTATAGTTGGTGTATTTTTATGGTCCCTATTTATATTCGCTATATCATTGTTGGTAGGCCTTGGGTTTCCAAACTATATCTGGAGATATGTTCTTTCAAACCAGTGTGTAAATTTCAAGGAACATCCAGAATATCATGAATGGGTAAATGTTGAGTATGATTTTATTGTAAAAAATAAAATAATGTACAGGTTATTGATAGTAATTATGATCCAATTTATACCTCAATATATTTATGGAATATTACGAATCCGGATGAGATGGCAACAAATCTTAGAGTAATGGATAAATAAAATCGTTGTTAAAAAAATAAAATATTTTTATCATTGTTTTTTGTTATCTCAATCGTGCATATCATTAATATCGCTGCACAAAACAAAACTTATTAGATGCGGGTGTCGGGTGCCATTGCTTTTATATTGATATCTAGAAGAAAAATTGTTTTTCTTTAAAATTGATGAAACCTCTACCTTCATTTTTCACTTTTATTTTTATAAAATCATTTTAGGAATATCTTATTCTATTTTTTATAAAAAAAATCTATATTCGATGTGATGTGAAGTAATTCTAAGCATGAATTACTAACTCGATATGATATATAAAATTTTAACTATTTTAGGTCTATATTTATTGAACGAAAAGAACAAATACTTCTATAAATCTGTTTATTTATAATTAGTAAGACAAGTCAGGCATCACATATTGGTTTTCACCCAAATATTCGATGCTTCTATAATTTTTGTTCTAGCAAGATGCCAATCTTGTCAATTCTTTCCTATATCGCCAATACTGCGTTTTTCTTTAAACCACGCACTAATCGTTGTCATAAATTTCAGAGTCAATGCTTCCAGAAGTTTGGCTGACTTCAAGCTTAAGATAATATTCTTTATTTGTATTATAAATAGGTTGATTTTTTGTAATCGGCGAAATTGAATGTAGAATTAATAAGTATGGCGTTAATTATTATTCTAAATATATACAATTTATGTCCTCCGTTCTGCCATGGTATGGTACACATTTTGGAATTTTTTTTTCTTATCTTACCAATAATTATTTTTCCCCATTTTAAACCATCTACCAAACAGATTAAAACAATATAAACACTTTTTAATGGTTTGGCATAAGTTACTGAGCGCTTTCATAAACTTGGCTGATTTCACACTTAAACGCAATGTCATAGTATTCATTTAGTTTATAACTCGGTTTCTTTTTTGTAGTTTGGAAAACTGATTGAGGAATTAATAATACTAATCACTAAATACTTATGCCAACTAGATATTTAATTCTTCTATATTTTCCATTCGGACGTCATGCCATTTTCTGGATTTTTTCTTATTTCGATTAAAATAATTTTTTTCCTTTCTCTACCAAATAAGAAATAATATACAATAAGGTACTAAACATTGTTAAACTATTATGAATAAATAGTTTCAATCGCTTTTCACTCTTAAGGTGGCCAAAATTTTAAATAGGGGTTTCCCAAGACAAATCCTGGCTATGTCACTACAGTTGGTGCTTTGTTTGTCATGGTAGGAATAGTACCTTCTTATTAGTGTTGTTAAACGGCTCGATTTGAGTCTATTTTTTAAAACGGCTATCTCTATTTTATCCAGAAAAGTATAAAGCAAGCCTGAAAAATTTTGATCATAGGTGGCACAATGGCTTGGACCTCTATAGGCGAAATCTTGAGGCTTAGACAATCTTTTTCTGACTAAAATATTGAATTAGCCGTTTATAAAAATCAATCAAACCTTTTAACAACACTACTTCTTATAGGATTACCTAACCAATATAACCCAATCATTTCTTTAAACTGATACAACCAATGTACCTCAGGTGCAATTATAGCGTTTAGCAAAGAATACTGGCCTTTAATTATTTATAGAGGGATGATTGATTTCTTTACAAAAGATGGGCCTAATATATATTTAACTTCTTTTTTCTATAAATAATACCATGCATGATACCTTTACGAAACCAAATTTGGAATCGTATATCCATTATATATTTTGCTCATTCTATTAATGAGAATTTGGTAGATCATCTGTTTACACGATTTGGACTAGAAGATTAGTTATTCAATCAAGTCCAAAGTTTTCCACCTCGATAATAACTATTATAAATAGTTACAAACAATCACGATTTGCCCCACCCAACTCATAAAAATGTAACCTGGCCCAGCCTACGGGTTAGACTTTGGGTCTGACCGTAACCAAACCTCTACAACACATAATAATTATTATATATATAAATTATTTGAATAATAATACTATCCTAACATTTATTTTTATTTTTTTGACAGACACAAATAATAGGTCCTCTTAATTTCGTAGAAAAGTACAAGAAAGTGAATGTATCCTTTATTTCGGATACAGTATCTTATATAAATATGCCAAGTATCGTAATGGATACCTCAAATTCTCTTATTAAATATAATTTAGAAGATACGGTATGTACATACCATTATAATTAATGCATGTTATTTACAAGAATTTGGGTTGGCAAAATTTGTGATTTCTTTGAAAAAATTGATTTTTTAAAATATTTAAATGGCGATTATACCAAATACTAATATTTTAATTAGAGAAGTTATTGATTGAAAAATATCATACATCATAAAAAAATTTTACCTTAGCATAATATTTCTTTGTAAAGTAAAAGGTTATTGCTTCAGAAGATCTGGTCAGGAAATTATTGATGAAATATATATTGATAAGTCACATGAGCTAATTTGATATTTTGTCAAATGAAAATCCGACTTTTAATCAAAAATATCAAAAATTTGATGATATGTGTTTTAAAAAATTTTAACTAGTCGATATCAGGGGGTTGAAATTTATAAAATTATGTTTTCGATGAAATAATTAAAGAAAATGAATGATAATTAACAGGACCATTTAATTCATAGTAAAACAATCAACAGCTTCGTATTTTTATCATATGGGAGTGTATTCCAAACTAAGGAATCGTTTAGGAAAACTAATTATTTTTTTTAACAATAAAAATTAAAATATCAATGTCGCGTACATGAAAAGTTATAATGCCCCGTCAAAGTTAGGCATCTTTCAATTTTAACATTTTTGGAAGATATCATGATAATTCTCTTATAAAGTTTTAAATAACAAATATAATATTATTTTTCAAATTATACTGCATTATTCTAATATTTCAATAAAACCGATTTCTCACAGCCCTGAATTTCAAAAACTAATTATTTTTTCTTAGAATATTAAATAATTTCCTACTACATTGAAATCCGAATTATTCAAATAACAATTAATTATGTCAAAAATTGACACAATGCAAAAATAAATTAGGAATTTTTTTTAATCCAATATGTAATGATTACTATAGTGCAATTTAGTACTTTTCGTACAAAAATTATTTAATTCTAAAATAATCCAAATCTTTATCTTTCCTTATTTTAGATGAGTATTTTAACAAAAATTTAACATATAAAATTTTATTATAAATATTGATTTATAAATCACTGATTTTTCTTTAAAAAAAATCGGGGCGACTTGAATCGCGATTCAAATCAAATTGATTTTTATATGACAACCCTAACAAAAATACATATATATTCAGTTATTGTTAAAATTTCGTGCAGTTTATTATACACGTCGAAGATCTGCAGGGCCGGTACGAGGAGCCAACAAAAATTGGCATGCTCATAAATATTCGGGCCGAGCTTAAAATAGTTGGGCCGATTTTTGGGAAAAAATCATTTCATCAGTTGGAAAATTGGAAATTGAGCGTTTAGCATTTTTGAAACATTTTGCTAAGTATAGGGCTAAAATTATTCAAATAACAAAATTTTAAAAATTTCCGAGCCGGGCCTGATATTTATTAACCTTGTATTACCAAATATCCTGATGATTTTCGTTCTAGACTTCCGATCTTTAATAACTTCATACACATTCCTTGTTTCAAAATATCAGATAAACCCAACACGTTTTATTCAGTAATCTTGTTTTAATTAAATTTTACGTTACACCTAAAATATTTTATGATTAAAATATTATACCTTAATATTGTGAACTTGCAGATTCAATGAAAGCATAACTTGATCGTTTAAAAGAATGTATTTTTTTTTGTATAGATTTTATTATTTAAGTTAAAATAGTCTGATCATACCAATCGAATTTCAAAATGTTTTAATTTTAGATGTTTACGATTACTTATAAGGAAGATTCATTACCAATCATGGGAAACATTAGTTCCTTGATTGAAGAAATAATGGAATTGAATCAATTTTACAATGATCCAAGGACTGACTATACAACTCCTGCAAAGGTCAACAAAGAACGATTATCCACACCTTCAAGTGTCCTATTCACGGCGGCGGGATGCAAAAATATTTATTTGAACCTAACAAATTTTGTCCTTGATTATAAAAAATATGGATCTCAATCAAAATTTGACGACACTTCTCTAAGCTTTAAAGTAAATCGTATATTGTGTTCGTTAAATTTCACTTTAATACAAAATTTAACCACCGACAATGACAGCTATAAGATCACAGATAATATATCATTTGATACTGACAAACCTGCAAATAAATTGACAATGAGGTTGAACTGTTCTATATCCTTCCCAAATTGCAGTTATTATCAAAATTTGACAGCGAAAACTAATAATGCTGTAGTCACACGCTACACCCAGGAAACTATGATGCACATCTTAAAAAGCCTTGATACTGTAAGAAAAATATATAAGACAACTGAAGGCAACATTTTTGGTATGCGAAGTTTAAACGAAATAATTTTTGGGTTTACCCAAAGTAACTATGACATGGAACGAGTGATGTCGCAACAATACACAACTACGAATTACACTAATGTCAATGACAAATCCGATGACTCAGTAATTGGATCCAAAAATTTTGAATTTAACCTTATGTATGTACTTGGCATACTTCCCAATCCCAGATATGACAAATCCTTCAAAAAATTTACGCTATATACCTGCTTGAAGGAGCGGAATGCTGATTATAATGGACAGTGGCAGAGTGAGTTGAATATTTTAAAATAAGAAATTTTCTTTCTTTCTTTCTTTCTTTCTTTCTTCTTTCTTTCTTTCTTTCTTTCTTTCTTTCTTCCTTCCTTCCTTCCTTCCTTCCTTCCTTCCTTCCTTCCTTCCTTCCTTCCTTCCTTCCTTCCTTCCTTCCTTCCTTCCTTCCTTCCTTCCTTCCTCCTTCCTTCCTTCCTTCCTTCCTTCCTTCCTTCCTTCCTTCCTTCCTTCCTTCCTTCCTTCCTTCCTTCCTTCCTTCCTTCCTTCCTTCCTTCCTTCCTTCCTTCCTTCCTTCCTTCCTTCCTTCCTTCCTTCCTTCCTTCCTTCCTTCCTTCCTTCCTTCCTTCCTTCCTTCCTTCCTTCCTTCCCCTTCCCCCAAGTTGCATTTTTATCACTGCAACGCGATTTTTTTTTTTATCTAATTTCAGCCTGATTGGTTTTGACTGCTCAAATTAAAGTGCGCATTTTTATGAATATAATCAACTTCTAAATTCCTCATAATTAAAAACCTCAAATGTATAATTTTATAAAAAATATAAAATATTAGTAATAATTAATTATATAATGAACATAAATAATTTCTTGGAATCGATTCATTTATTAGTTACTTTTTTAAAATTATTTCTTTATTAGTGGGTTAGTAAGTCATTCTTAAATAGTTGATTTGATCCAATTGTATTTTTAAAAAAATATATATATAATGGTATTTATTAAAATATATAAAATAAAATTGGTATATTTTTTTTTAAATATACTAAGAGATAATTATCATTTATTCCCTTTAATTGTGATTTAATGGTTAAAATTAAAATGAAATATATGTTTTTATTGATAGCGTCTTTTTGTATGACTATTTAACATAGGTCCAAATTATAAGTGCTATCTTCTATTATAGTGTTAAACGGCTCTAGTTTTGAAAACGGTTAATCAAATATTTTAGCAAAAAATTATTATGCAAACCTCGAAATTTTCTTCAAAGGTGGTAGAAGGGTTTGGACACATCGATTAACGAAATCTCGAGGCTTGCATAATATTATTTTGGCAAAAATAGGTTAAATTGAGCATTTGACTACTCGCGATTCGGGTTAATCAGATTATTTCTTAAAAAGGAAGGGTATTTAAGGGCGACTGGGGCTGGTTGGGCAAGAACTTTGCTTTTTTGGGTAAAAATTTTAGCTTAATATTTGTATCATATAAGGGCATAAAATATTAGGCTATAAAAATAAAAAGAGCTTCCTTTTATAATATGGGCACTATTTTAGATTTAGGCGGACGATAACTTTTTTTTTGCCATTATTCCTCATGCCCGGGTAAGATTTCAAAAAAATATGCATTTATGAGATTTGTTGAATAAAATTGGCAATTTATTAGGTATAAATATCATCAAATTACAACAAAAAAAATAAGCTAAGCATTATGGGCGGATAATTCGTGTGTGGCCCATCAGAGCACTTTTTTCATTGAATTCATTTTTCTCTCTTCTTGCTTTATTGAGATATCGGTTATAGGCTGATCAGATTTCCTTAATTTTTCCTATTTTGAATTTGTAAGGAGACAAAGCTATTGTTTCAGCTCTCTTAGTTTGCCAATTATCCCCTTGCCGCTCAATCCCGGATTTTTTGTTCATTGATTTGTATTTTCTTTTTTTTGGTTTTTTGATTTGATTTGGATTTTTGATGGATATCATTTGCTTATAAGAAATAAATTGGAGGTTTCTTTTATATGACCGTCAAATTCATTTTGGTTTAGAGCCACCAAAAGTCTTAGAAACGACTTTGAGTAAGAGAAAGATGATATTTATATACCTTTTTAATGGACATTTAAAAAAAAAGGCTACGATCGTGAAACCATATATAATCAAACGAAGACAGGAATCGGGGGTTTAAGCCCTTTTTATAGATACTTTCCCGTCTCCTCTTACAATTTATGCGATTGGAAACATTCAAAATTAGAACCATTTTATATGTTATTCGTTCCGGAGTTAAAAATATATTTGAATTACAGTTACATTTACGATACAAAAATAGAGGATATCGATGTCAAGGCCTACGAATTTTTGGGAAGTAAATGATATCATTTTATATTTGTAGATTTTTATGAAATATAATTAAAAGGTCAAACGACACCTTCCGGACACGCCACTCCTAAAAAAAATATTATAGGGAGAGAACGAATATTTGACATTTTTTTAATTTTTTTTTTTAAATAAAAAATAAAATATTATGTAAACACAAAAAACACACAAATGAACTTTTTGGTAATTTTTAATTTTTTAGAGAAGAAGGCGAGTTCAGAATATAATTTTTTTTTCCGTTATTTTTTCTATATATAGTTTTTAACGATATCCGTTCTCCAGAAAAATTCAATATATTATATTTTGTATATCTCATATTTTTTTAAAAAAATATATATTTACAGACAATAAATGCATCTGCTTTATAAAATATATGTTAAAAATTTTAGACTATTAAAACCAATTTCTGATATAATAAATAACCACCAAAAAATTCTTTAATTTATTTCTTTCTAATTTCTTTATTTCTTTCTTTCTATCTTCTTTCTTTCTTTCTATCTTTCTTTCTTTCTTTCTTTCTTTCTTTCTTTCTTTCTTTCTTTCTTTCTTTCTTTCTTTCTTTCTTTCTTTCTTTCTTTCTTTCTTTCTTTCTTTCTTTCTTTCTTTCTTTCTTTCTTTCTTTCTTTCTTTCTTTCTTTCTTTCTTTCTTTCTTTCTTTCTTTCTTTCTTTCTTTCTTTCTTTCTTTCTTTCTTTCTTTCTTTCTTTCTTTCTTTCTTTCTTTCTTTCTTTCTTTCTCTTCTCTCTCTTTCTCTCTTTCTCAACAACAAATCTTTTTTTTGTGGGGGATTTAAGGCCTCGATAAATTTTGTATGCGTTGCTTGAATGTTATACTTTAGTTTGGAAGAGAATAGAAGAGAAGAAGAAGAGAAGAGAAGAGAAGAAGAAGAGAAGAGAAGAGAAGAGAAGAGAAGAGAAGAGAAGAGAAGAGAAGAAGAAGAGAAGAGAAGCATAAAAATAATCGTTCACGATATGAAATAGCAAATTTTAAAAAAATCTTTATCTTTTTATAAGAAAATCTTTCAATATCGTTGATTTTCAAAAATTTATTCTCAAAATTTTGGGCGAAAAAAAAATCTTCGAAATGTTCATGTGATGATTTTCATAAAACCATGATTTTAAAGATATCATTTATCATATGTATGAATATATGATTTTTAAAAAAAAACTAAAAAAAAATTGTGTCCAAACTAGAGGTCTACGATGGGTGGGTTTTTAGCCTGCCCACCAATTCTACGAGCGGGCAAGAGCGGGCTTTTTAGATTATTTTAAAAATTAGGCGAGCGATGCAGAATTTTATTTAATGATATTCCTTATTTTATAAATTCAATCAAAAATACATTAAGATAAATAATTATAAATAGCCACAGCAGCCATTATAAAATAATCGAGAAAGTTAAACAAAATTTTTAGATAAATGGGTCGGTGAATGAATTTATAAAAAAAAAACTATCATGGGTCTGGGCGGACAGGAATTTTCAAAAAAAAACGAGTGGTCGGGCTTGTTGGTCAAAACCCGCCCATTGCAGACCTCAAGTCCAAACTTATTTTCTAACTTAGAAAATCAGAATAAAAATGTAAATCCCATATGGGGATATACCAATTATTTCTCATTTTATTTAAATTTCCTCAATTAACTAACTTTTCTAGATCAATAACATTTTTTTAAGGCCTTGAAGCGATCAAATTTCTTTAAGTTTTTAATACTTTACTTTAAATCGGCGTCTTTTATTAATGTTATATTGTATATTTTTATTTTTTTTTTAGAAAGAAATTATTATTTTTTTTTTACTTTTAAAAACGTTTTTGTTGATTTTATTTCAGCAAATTAAAAAAAAAAAAATTTGTAAAAAATTTAGTAGTAATATAATGTCTTGGCATAATTTATTTTATATTCTAATTTAACGATAAATGTGGGTTTGGGTTAGTTCGAAGTAGTGTTGTAGGTCGATTTAAAAAAATGGCCAGATTAAGATTATAACTAAAATAACATTATGTAAGCCCTAAAGATTTTGCACATAGCTGTCAGAAATACTTGGACATTTATTTGCCAGGCCGTTTTAAAAATCGATCCAAATCTGGCTTTATAACAACACTAGTTCGAAGAGATCTACTTGGTGGTGTTGTGAACAATTATTTCGGAAAATAAATATATATTATGATTTTTCATATTAAGGCAATCATTTTTTGGGGGTTTCTCTAAAAATGAGAATTTGGAAAGCCATAACCGGATAAAATCTAAGAACTGGAACAAAAACATCAAAGGTTAGGGGATTAAAATCTCTTTTAAAATATAGGAAATTATTCTTTTATTTTCCTCGATATATTAAAAAAAGTTGCATTCCTGAAATCATATTGATTTTTGAAGTTTAATCAACCCAAAAATAGGAAAATTTTCTATTTTTTTTAAAATAAAATAAGAGATCGATGAGCCGAAAAACTTAATCTAATAATGGCTAAGATCCTAAATTTTGACATTTAAGATGAAACTACTTAATCCTGAAATTACTTTATTTTATTGCAAATTTTGAAAGATACAATAAATTTAAAATAACAATAGGGGGGGGGGGGGGTTAAAACATTATTGTGGATTCCTTCGGTAAAATATATCGAATGTAGTATAAATTTTTTTTAATATTTACTAGTGTTGTAATAACTAGTTAAATAAAAATAAATGCATATTTTGGAATGTAGTTCTAAAAAATGTTTATATATCTCAGAAACCTGCAGGCCCGGCCCGGCTCTGGTACAGAGCCGGGTTATATTTTAATTTTTTTTTAAATACACCCGTGCTTGGCCCTAAATAATAATTTTTTAAAAAAAAATACCCGGACCGGACCATATAATTTACAACCGTATATTTTAAATCGCCATTATTAGCTATAAAAATTAAAAATGAATGTATAATATATTTTTTTTTTAAATCCTGGTCGGGCCGAGATTTGTTTCTTGAAAATATAAAGCCCGGTCAGGGCCGTGTAGATAGTATACAATCTGCAGGCGTCTGATATATCTCTTTCATAAAAATAATTTAATTTCACTGTTTATTGAACGATTTATTGTGTGTATAATATATATATAATATTGCTGTAAAATTAATTAGATAAATTTTGATTAAAAAATAATAAAATAACTATAACTAGTTGGCAGTTACTTTAGAAAAAGTAGCCACATTTTGGAATATGATTAATTTTTAAAAATATTTAAATAGATCTTATTATGATTTTCCAAATTTAAAATCACTATTTATTAAGGACATCTAATTTACATCAAGTTGCCCCTGTATAATTTATTTAGTTTAGGGAGGCTTATCTTTTAGACATCCCCATTTGAAAATAGTTTATTGTTAATAATGTCAATAATTTATTAAGCCCATATTTTATGAAAATTAATTATTGTATTGTGTTATTTTATGATATTTTTTGGTTGATGTTATATTATTTTCAGTGCAAATAAATATTTTATTGTGGTACTTTATTTAAATTCTCTTTGATTAATTTTTGGCAAAATTATTTTGTACAAATAAGATACAATAACTAGCTACCTTTTTTTGAATGTAACTTGTAATTAGTGAAATATTGCTTCCCTAAATTATATCCAAATATTTAAAAGCGGCAAAATATATCGCTGAGTCTTGTCAGAACTATTTTCTTAGATCTGGTATTTGGATCTCCCATATTTTGATCTGGGAGATTCTTGACTGATTTAATTATATTTTCTTATTGTTGAAGAAAAATTTAGGATCCAGTAATAGTAAAAAAAAAAAAATTGAAGCTATATATCGTCGGCTGATTATCATAATGTTCTATATCCACTTTTTTTCGATCCTTAGTAAATTAGTGTTGTTAAACCACTCTATTTTGCCAATTTTAATATAAAATTTTAGTCAAAATAATATTATGCAAGCCCGAGGTTCCATTAATAGATGTCCAAACTTTACTAGCATCTAGGAGCTAAATCCCTAGGCTTGCATAATATTTATTTGGCTAAAATATTGGGCCAGTCTTTTTTAATAATGAGCCGTTTAACATTTAGTATTCTGCATTCTTCTATATATCACCAATGAAAATGTCGAAATATAATTTATAATAATCTTTTATTTCCTTTTATTATGGTGTGATCTCTTATGTAAAATATATTTTAAGAAAGTTGATGGAATTATAATATAACGTAAGAATAATTTATTACGCCTGTCTTTTACTGTTTATAAAACACTTATAAAATACTTATAATAACTTAAGGTAAAATAATTTAATAGATTAAATAAATAAATAGCTATTTGTATTTGGAAGAAATAGCTTCTTGCCTTTTTCTCCCTCACATTCATATCATAACTATACCTCACTCTAATACTTCAATTGGATAGGGCGTAGTTCCACTCTTTTTTTATAACTATGCCTCTGAGTTTCAAGGTTTGTCGGTATCCTTGAGAAAATAGCCAGAATTATATGTAGGTTGGACCTCCATATAATTCATGTTCGCTCACTTTGGGCAGGTCTTTAACCACGTGCTAGATATGATAAAGAACACCTGGATAGCGTCATCTTTAATTTATGATAATTCTTAATAATTTATTAATATCTTATATATCGATGAATAAAACTGAAATAATAAACTAATTAAAATTTGAAAAATAATTTATTATGGTATAGCCATAGACTAACACATAAAAAAATAGTAAAGATAGGGGTAAAACAATTGGTATTTTTCATTTTTGCCATAAAAATTTTTAACAAAGGTAAATCAGAACTAATTATATCTATATGTAATGCATCCAAATCCCTCACCTAAAAAACAAAAACTCTGTTCTCTACTTACACTTTAGGAGTTATGTCATTTTATCCAATACTCAGGGTAAAACTGCTAAGCAGCAGGGAAAGTAGTTAAATAAAATTGAACCAAATATTAGGATTGACGTCTATTTATTACTTTTAAGTAGTGTTGTTAAACGGCTCGTTTTAAGCCGATTTTTAAAAACGGCTAACTCAATAGTATAACCAGAAAAACATTGCCTAAGCCTTGAGATTTCGCTAATTGATGTCTAGACCATTGTACCATCTATGAGCAAAATCTTCAGGCTTGCGTAATATTATTTTAGATAAAATATTGAGTTAGCCTTTTTTAAAAATCGGCTCAAATCGAGCCGTTTAACAACACTACTTTTAAGTATAAACTAATCAATATAATAAGGGAATGTAAATAAATCATCAAAAATAATATTTTTTAAATGCGCCTATTTTAGACACATCGGTACATTTCAATTATTCATTTTCCCTTTTACGATTATTTTTATTTCATTATGAAACAAAAATTATTTATTAATCTTCCTCTTTGCTCAAAAATAGCTTTTTATATACATTAATTATTTAAATATTCTCATTTTTCAAGTTTAATCAAATCATTTTAATCGTTTTACTCAAAACAACTTTATGAACCTTTTTTAAATTTGTATTGCTAAAATTATTAATATTTTATTTCAATTTTAAAATAGAATAAATTTAACAATAAAAATAATAGACAATCAAGCATTGATTCATTTAAATTGGTTGTATTGAATTTCGTGTACAAGATTGAAGGGGGTCAGTGCATGCTCATTAGTGTTGTCAAACGGTTCTATTAAGACTTTAGCCAAAATATTAATATTTCCACACTAATTTAAATAAAATTTCAAAATTGAATAAATCTAACAATACAAATAATAGACAATCAAGCATTGCTTCATTTAAATTGGTTGTATTGAATTTCGTGAACAAGATTGTAGGACGTCAGTACATGCTCATTAGTGTTGTTAAACGGCCCAAGATTTTAGCCAAAGTATTATGTAAGCCTCGACATTTGGTTCGATCGAACCATTTTTAAAAATCGATCCTAATCAGGTCATTTAACACTAATGATAATGTTAAAAGTAAAATAATATAATCATTTTCTGCTCAAGCATTTATCATTCTTAGTCTTTATTACGATCGCTACTTGAAGAATGGTGATTTGAGCAAAATTTACATTCATAATTTTCCTTTTCTCCAGCAATAATAGATTGTGGAATACATAATGAGATTTGTATCATGGCATATTTTAATTTAAAGAGTTATATATTAAATGAACCGTTATTTTAAAAAAAAATTTAGAAAGATAATTAGTAATTAAAAAAAAATTTTTACATGGATATCCCAGCCTTTGCAAAAATAATTGTTTATCTTAAAAAAAATTTTTACAATATAAAAAGATATTTTAAGAAATTTTTAGTTATTTTTATAATATAAAAAGAGATATATTTTAAGAAATTTTTAAAGTTATTTTTATAATATAAAAATAGATATATTTTAAGAAATCCACTGTTCCCTCAAAATCAGTGTCAATTTTTTAAAATTTTCTGTTGTTTTATTTTCTATACCTATTTGAATCAGCCTTCAAAAAGTGGTTATATAGTACAGTACATTTCTAGTTTAGAGCTATATATTAAATTTTTTTAGATAATAATGATCTGAAAATATGGTCAGACAATGTATGCATCAATTTTAACAAGTCTGAAATTCAAAAACATATCACTCGACCTTTTCATAACATGGTAAAATATTGTGAATTCTAATTTATATTAAATAATAAATCTATTAGATCTTCATTGAACACAAAACTGGTAAACTATGGAGGCAAGATTTGACATACTTAATCCAAAAAGACATTAATCATCATAATAACACAACTTCAGTGAATTTAAATCTACCATATTATTTAAAAACTTCAGTTTTAAAGGTCAATCAGAATTATACAAATTATGTTAAAATTAAGGTACACATTCATCAAACTATATTTATAAATAACTCTTTTTTTTGTAGATAATAAGACCAATAAAAATTAGTTGTGGTATATTCATCATTTTAAGCTCAATTTCAATGACGCTTTTAATAATGAGCATAATTTTGGTAATAAAAACGTTGAAGCAATCAAAAATATTTCCATATAATTGAAAAATATAACCTGGGAAAATTTGATATTTATTAGTTATAAAAAATCATGAAAAATAATTCATCAAAATTGTAATTAACAATGAGTATACATATATGTAAAATAGCATTATATATAATGTCAATAAAAAATAATATATTTTTTTGCAAAGAATATTAATGGTTAAGATTTCATGACAAGATATTATTTTGTTCTTGGACAGGAAATAAGATTGTAACTCTGTACATTATTTTTGGCATTCACTTAACAAAATTGTTGATTTTATAATTTACTGGAGTGTATTTTGCTAAAACTTAATAAGTTGGATGTGTTGAAATATTGAGGAAGCTTTTATTCATCATCTTTAAAGTTATAAATTTATTAGATAACATTAAATATTTATAACATTGAATCATAATATTAAACAATAAATGCTCCATTTTGATCACAGTTAATGTTTTTATTTATTTTATCATAACCTTCTAAATCGCCTGAGCCTTCCTCATCATCATCCTAAATAAATATGGAATTACATAATCACAATAAGTACGATAATACTTCTTCTTCAGATAACTCTTCCCCATCATCATCCTACATAATTTGATAATTATTTGTTAATTTAAAATATATGAGTAAAATTATATGTAATTACAGGAGTATAATATCCAGTATAATAAAAAACGGCTCTTGGTACTAGTCTTTCACGTATAAAATTGCCAATTTCAACATCATCTGCTAATAATTCTCCCATTTCTTCATCCTATTTTTAATAATAAATTAAAATTCTTCTTAAATTTATACCATTTCTTCAGCATTTATATTTTCTGGTACTAAAAGTAGATCATATATAAATGTTTAATTATATATTTAATTATACTTTCTTGGCTTTCAAAGAAGTTAAAAAAGGATTCAGTCTTAACACTTTTAGTTACCATTTTGGTTTGGCCTGTAGTTTTATGTTTTTGTCTTTTTTTAACCACTCTTAGGGTAACATTTTTTCCAGGTTTCCAATTAATCTCACATCTAAAAAAAATATATGTGAATAATATTCTTAGTGTATTCTTTTCTCACCCTACACACTTAGTTGCCTCTGGTCCTTCAAATAGGATGGTATCATTTTCATTTATATTACATGAGAATTCATAACTTTTGGTCAATATTGAGTTAGTAAAAAAATCATTTAGTTCAAAATAAAATTCTAAAGTGTATCCCTACAAAAAAATTTATATAATTTCAATATAATAACTATTACAATTGGATCCTTGTTCATAATGATCTTAATATCTTTTAAATGCTTCAAAATTGGAATATCTTGTTCCTAAATTTATTCTTGTAAAATATCTAAATTCTATAAAAAATACTTCTATTAAGTCTGAAAGCACATCAGCATTTTGCATTGCTATTAGCCAAAAATCTGCAATACCTTTAACTAAATAAAAAAATTTAGCTGAAAATAATTGTTTAAATATAAACCACTTTCTTTAGAAGCATCATTGAGCTGGTTTTGATTGATATCAATGAGTTGTTTTTGATTTGTATCAATTGATGTATTTTCCATTTTTTCCTAAATATGAATTATGTGAAAAAAATTTATAGTATATATGCTACCGTCAATTCACCTGCCTCATCATCAGAAGCCCACTGGCATTCTTCTTCAGTAGGATTATATGAGCCATCTACTATATTTTTTCTCTATTCAAATATAAAATATTGCTATATATATGTTTACTTTATCAAAAAACACTTGATATTTTTTATAATAATTGCATTCAAGTTCATGAGCTTCTTTATGGTATTTTGCTTCTTCTTGACTATATTTAAAATGCAATCTTTTCAAGGCTTTTATTTTTCTTCTAACATCTAATGGGAGACTAAAAAGTAATTAAGTTTAATATCTAGGTGATAGATGTACCTTTTAATAAAATCAGAAGATTTCCAATCTTTTGAGTCCTGCAAATTTGCTAAAAGTCCAGGATTTTTCAAAATTTCATTAGAAATTATATTGTCGCCTTTTTCCATGATTTTAAAACGCAGTCCAATACGCGAAATACAATCCGGAATATACAAATAATACAAGTTATAAATATTGTTAAAATATTTTTAAAAAATAAATTTTATATAAATATATTTTATTTAGAGATTATATTAGTTTAAAAAAGAAATTGCTCAATAATAAAATTTTACATATTCTTATTGGATAAGGTGAGTAAATTAATCTTTTTAAATTGTTTTTATGCAAATAAAATACATTCTTTTAAGAACATATTTATGAAGTGTTCAATGATATTATGTACTACGAGATTGGCGCTTCATTTCTTAAAATATATTATGGAGTCTTGGTGATTAAATGTAATTTATTTTGTTAAAAAAGGCGTTCGCCTAACCCAAGTTGTAGGAAGGATGAGGCGTGGAAGCGAAGAATGATGGCAGTGATTCCCAAATAATGGTGAATGATAAATGGTAATCTTCTTCTATCGTTAATAATATATTGGGGTTTCCTTTTGGATTTTAATTACATGTAGTAATTATTTATTTTTGCGAGTTTAAATTTTCTAATTCAATCGTGAACAAAAATTAAAAGGTATCAAAGTTGAACAAAATTTTTTGAATAATTTTAAGAGTGCTGACGTCTAAATAACTATAGGTTAAAATTAAGTCGAAGAGGGGATCGGAAGTATCTTTTCATTTAATATTTTGAAAGACTGTTAAGCAAAGAAAAAAAAATAGGTAATTAGCAGGGAATAAAGATTTTTCATTAAGCATATTTATAAATTAAGTAAATTATAACACGAATTTCGTAAATTAAATAAATTTTATTGCAGATTTATATTAAATTCTAAATTTCAGATTAAATAAATAGAATTGTTTTTTTTAATTCGAATGATGTACCGACGGTAACAGGGATGGAGTTTAGGGCATTATCATTTTGAGCACTGGTTAGCTCTGGGTTAGGAGATATATCTTTTACCAAGATAGTTGGACCTAAAATAAATAAGGTCACACATATCAATATTCTATCTTTTGTTTCAGGATTATCAAGGGATAAAGGGGCCTTTTGAAATTGTGAAGTAGATAATTTAAATGAAAAATACATACAGCGAGTGTCAGTATGGAATCTATTCTTTATTTTCCGATATAAGTCTGAGTATTGCAAGTTACCATACAATGGTAAACATGGTTGAAATTAATCAAATATACAAATGATTGTAAAAGATTAGATCCAAAAATGAAAATAATTGTTATTAAATAATTAAAGATAAACAAAAATGATGATAAAAGAGATTTTGTCCATAAACAATCCCGTTCTTACATAGGTTTTAGATCTATTATGTTTCCTCATATTAGATCACAACATCAAGAAAGAGCTGGGTCGCTATATATGCTTTCTTATTGGTCAATTCAATGAATTGCCTCAATTCTTTATCTAAGCACAAATATCATGTAATAGAAAATATGGACATGTAGAATAATAAGCTTGGTTTGAATAATTAAAATATTTTAACTTGTTTATCACTTGTAATCTATATAGTGATACTAAGTTATTCGATAACAAAGAAAGGGATTCTTAAGAAATATAAATACTTTAGTTTAACAAAAACAAGGTTGTTGTTAACACAACAGTTTTGAAGAGAAATATGTTGTTTAAATATTTGGTCAATGGAATCAATAAAATAGTTTTATAATAAATAAATTCGTTTTCTAACCACGAGTGACCACATTCCGACAGTACTGAACCATATATGTTGGAGAATAAGAATTCTAAAATGAAATAGGATTGCTAATTTAATAATAATATTTTATTTTATAAATTGCTATGGAATGCTATTAAATGTGTGAATTTTAAAAGGCGATAAAAAAAAATAAGAAGTTAATTCGGAATTTTTCATTATACATAGCAGAAAGAAATGAGAACACTATATTAAATTTCTTCTTTTAGAAATTATGATTTCACATGATCCTCCTCCCTCCCTATCATAAAAGTATATTTAAACATTGCACCATAATCTTTAATTCAAAATTGTATATTTCCTTTATTTCCAAACAGAATAATAAGAATTTCCAACAAAAATTGTATTTCACAAATATAAATTAAGAACAAAGGAAAATTATTGTTATATCTCTCTTATTAGAAATTCATTGAAGAGCGTCTATAAATGTCAATTATATATCAACAGATACAACACTCCCCACCCAATGTAGCGTGTTTAACTTTATGATATATTTTCACAAAAAAATAATTATATATATATTATAGGGGTTTAACAAATCTTGGCCTTTAAGAATCTTTAAAAATTAAATAATTAAAGTAGCTTTTTTAAAGTTTGGTAGACCTGATTAATAAATTATATCCTATCATGCAATGTATAAATGAGCAAGAGCGGGTGTGGTGCATTTTGCCTACAAATTATTAAAAAGGGGTAGAGGGCAGGCATCTAAGGAGGGTGTGAGGTTATTAATTAAATCTTTAGATGATATATGGCTAAATATATTGCTGTTATAGACCTATTTAATATACTTACATAGATTACAAATATATACCGAATCTTCATATTGCATACAATACATTACCATAGGCGCAGCGAGGGTTGGGGCAAGGGATAATCCTCACTTTGGTAATTTGTCTCTTCCCGTAAATATCATTTAAATTTTATAAAAATTTCCCCCTACACACATCACATCCCCGTCTTCCACAAAAATGCATATAATATATCACTATAAAGATTTGAAATAAAAATTATGAAAAGTATATACCCTTTAAATAGCGTATATGATTAAAATATTTTTAAAAGAAAAAGTTAAAACCCAAAATTATTTTTATAAAATCTAATATATCCAAAGGCCTAAAATATGTGAGACCTCTAATAAAATTGATTGGTAACGCTCACCTAATAGGAAATCTTTCCTGTTTTAGCAAAATCTTAACTTGCCTATGTACAATATAATCATAGTCATTGAATAATTTTACATAAAAACTTATTCCTGGATAATTTTTCGTTATATTTTTATAATCAGCAAAACTAAATTCATGCCAAACAATATAGTATATTTTAGAAGTTTTTTAATTTATTCATATTCTTAAAAATAATTCTTTCACACTTTATTTTTTGATAGTTTATAATAGAGCATTGATAATTTTCGTAGTTAATAGTTAAGAAATATCGCAATTTTTCTTTGGGAGATAGATAGATATATAGGTTTTTGATCAGGGTTTGCATCCAAAAAATTTTTGAACAAACCTTAATTATTAATTTAGATATGATAATTATCATATAAATTTAAAAAATCATAGGTTAGGGACTCTATACATGCTTGAAAGCGATTTCTATAACATTAGGTACTTTCGAATTAGGCTCTGATTTATGTTTTTAAAATGATAAAAACTGAGGGGTATATGAAGCATTGTCCTGTATTTGTTAAACACCTACGATGTATATACCAAAAAATATGATCATATTGTAAATTGTAATGGTTATTTTTTATACAAAAAAATTATCAAACAATTAGTTAGTTTAAATAATTTTATTGTTCTAAGTAAATTTGGCAAAAAGGAGTTAGTATAATCATAAACACAACTATAGGCTTATTACTATAGTTTAGTAATTACTATATTTTTAGCCTTTTAAACCAATTTTGGCAGGCTACAAAATCAAATAAATCAAGTATTTAGCCGAAAACGTTCACTATGGCCTCGGAGATTTCTTAAAAGTTAGCAACGCAAATTTGGAAGGAACTAATATAAATTAAAACGCCTTAATGTTAATGTTTCTCCGGCAAGCGCCTAAAGATTTAGCTTAATTAGCTGACATTTAGCCATTAAAATAGGTTATTCTATTATAAGATTTATTTTAACAGTTTAAAATTAATGAAATATTGTTATTTGAGAAAGAATTTAATAACATTTTTGAAACTGTTTACATGGTTAACCAAGTTGTGGTGATTATAAATTGATTTATTATATACTTGATTTAAAACTAAAGGTTAGGATGATGTGTATGCGCGGGGGGGGGGGGTAAATCTCGATTTTCTGTTTATTATTTTATTTCATGAATACATTGTTTCTTACAATTACAAAGAAGTTTTGTGCATATGGCTTCTTAGCTATATTCAGACTTTCCTCAGAAAAATGAATCCGTTTAGTTCCTATATTAACTAAAAGGTATTTTGAACTTTTTAGTTTTCAAGTTCATAAATACTAAATTTGAGATATGGAGACAATATATAAAACATTTCTACAAATGGCAACTTTCGCTATTCGTTCATTAGTAATGAATAATTTTGGATAGTGTTAAGAGAATGTTGATTGCTAGCTATCCAAAATAATATAATATGTTTTGTATCTGTTGTATGATTAACGTAATTTGGACCAGCTCTTTAAGAATTTAAATGTTCTTAATTGATCATAGCCATTTCAAACCTATAATATATTATGCCAATTTTTTTAACTCTTTCCGATATCAAACTTCGAAGGGCTTGGTTACCAAATACAATAAGATAAGGATAAATAAGATGCCTAAATTAGAAATAGACAACGTAATATCAATTTATGTCAAAAATTTTTGAGTCTCTTGCAAGGAATGTTAATGTATGATATTTAAAAAAGGAAGGTGATAGTGTTTAATAAGCTAGCAATCTTGACAAAATTATGCAAATTTGTCACATATTTTCCCTTCATTTGACCCCCTTTAATAGCATGCAGAATAATTATTGTTTTAAATTTAATGGAAACTTTATTTAATAACATATAGCAACAATAAATTTTTTAGTACTGGGTTTATGTTTTTTATATATCAGGTACCAAGTTTGCAAATTAAATATCAATCTCAATAAGCATAGTAATGTGACAGAGCGTGTTAATACAATTGGATAATACACCGTTAAAAAAGAGCTTAAGGTTCTCGTAAGTCTTAATGAAATATTTGTTCTTAAAAATGCGTTGTCCATCTCTAGAAAAATAAATACCCTTGTTGGCGAGGAACGGTAGAGATGTTATAAGGGACACCACAGTTATCAACAACATTATAAAGCCGTCCAAATTAGTTTTTTTAAAGAATTTTATCTTATAAAAAATGGGATATTTAATTCCCATAAAGCTTCTTGCTGACAATACATACATGAAACAATGAGATAAAAACATAAGAATACATAATAATATTGTTTGGATTTTTCACTTCTATAACATTCATATCCTGGATAAAGCAATTATTGGGATGTTTTATATTCCAACAAACCTTGAAAGTAGTGATTATGCAGACGAGAAGACCCATTAGATTTTCAAATCAGGTAATATCTGATGTGGGTGTTGAAAAGTAATTTTATCGCTTTTCCATAAGAATTCTTGTATTAGAAAACAGGGATTAAGACCGTTTCTTAAAAATCCGAAAGGTAGCAAAATGCTAACGATAATAAGAAAGACGTAACTCTCTTGATAGGATAAGGGCGTTACAATTTCATGACTAAAATTAGGTCTTGTTAAATTAACCGATGCCATTATCGTTAAAAATAGCGAATATATTAATCCATTAGATTTTATTTACATAGAAAGTATATTAAATTAAATTATGACTTGATTAATATATATATAAAAATAGAGTATAATATTTGGAGGTTGAATTTTATTTAGGTACAATAGTAAATTCTCAGCTCAATTTTAAAATTTATTATCTTTGCATAATTAAGATTAATTATATTTTATAAATTAATCGGAATTTTATTTTTCTAATAAACAAGAGCCAAGCCAACTATCACCAAAATTAACTTTATTAATTTTTACTATATAGCGCTAACTAAAAAAATTTTTAGAAATTTTATGGGTATGAATTATATAAAAGGATTAATTAAAAGGCTGGGAACATTACATATGTATCAATTTGAGTGCAATATCCTAATAATGTAGGTGCAATCAATTTGAACATTTCAATCAATTATAAAAAATGCACTATATTTTTCAGGTGGCCTTTTGTAAAATAATAGTAATGGAAAATGTTAAATTTAATGCATCAATCAACCATATGTCAACTATAACTAGCCATTAATTAAAATTTGAAATTCAAATCTATGCAAAATTTCTCACCTCAAATACTATTACATCCCTATATTTTAGATAGGTCATAAACTCTCAATAGAATAGTAATTATAAATGAATGTAGGATATTTTTGTAATCTACTGGTTAATATTTAGAGAGAAGAAAGAAAAAAAGCCATCGCTAGATTTTTTTTCTTCTGAGTTTTATTTCTATCATATAATTTCTTTTAAAAGGCTATTTTCAGGGTATTTTATAAAAATCGAGTATTAAGATTTACTAACAAGATACCTGTTTCATCATTTCTCCTCCCTTTCTTATCCAAGGTGTCATCTGTCGAAATTCACGTTAAACGCTGATGTTCATGCGGGTGGGAAATCAGTACATGAACATCCACCTAATTTTTACAGTGATTAGAAGTTAGATGAATAACTTTGTTGATCAGCTATAATTTATAATTAAAAATTATTTAACTCACTTATAGAGATATTATTCAATATCAATTGATTAAATAATATGATATTTATGTACATATTTTACCTAATTGTTATAATCCAATTGAATAGGGGAAATGTGCCATGAATGGCCATGTTTTTGCTTTTTTGAAAAAAAGGTATTAAAATTTATGTTTAACCAAACAAATTTTATATCAATGTGTAGCCTTAATATTAATCTTTAAAATAAAATTTGAATCAAAGCTCTATGTGTAATACTTTATGAGCTAAATGAGATTATGTGAAAGTTGTTTTTCTGGCCAGTCAATACATACTATGTGTTAACTGGTCATAATATATTATTTAAGAATTTTATTATAAATATAAAATAATACAATATGAAATACTTGTAAAAGGCCTATGTTAATGTTTCTACATTTTTTAGTTATATAAAAAATTAATTATACACTAATTTAATTAGTATTAAAATCTCAATTTATTACCACATCTATTTAATGATAATATTATAAATTAATATCTTAATTATCATTTTACTTGTTCATCATTCCATTTCACCAAATGTTGTTTTGCAAAGCTTTACATTTTAATATGAATATGTGAGGCCAATCAATACATGGCCAGTCAATACTCACCTCTCTATTATTATTAAGCGCCTTTATATGGCTATTAAATAAAGCTTTTAAAATCTAATTTTTTGTGTGAATAATGCTAAATGCCTAAGGATAATATTTATATAAAATATCAGTAATCTAAATTAGTAATTTTTTCATTAAACAAAAAAATGTGCAAAGTGATTTTTCCAGAAAGAGGTACTAAAAACAGTTTTTTTAGAATATTTTTTCTATTGAATTGCTCTATTCAATTATTGAACTAAGGTAAAGCACATATCCTAAATATACACATTTTGACCCAATTTTGAGAAAAACTGGTCCAATAGATAAAAAGTTAAAGGGTTGTGGCCATTCTTCACACATCGCCATTTATGGCACATTTCCCCTACTTATTATTTCTATAATTTGAGTCTACCATGTTACAGAAATCTAGCGCTGACGCACAAACGAGAGTTTAGGAAAAGTTCCTAGGAATAGAGTTGATGGAATAGTGTTTTTCAAAATGTTAACTAACTCTATATGGGACTAATAATACTTCTCTTTGAACTTTATGAACACAATACTTGATTTTTTATATGCCAAGTATTAATACATTTTTGTATTGTGTAAATTAATTAAAAGGTATATGTTTTAAACAGTTAATTTTTAATATCATATATCCTACAGATTTAAAGTTTTTTAATGCTTTATTATAAAATAAAGCTTATTCTTTAAATTACCAAAATTAAATTTTATTGTATATACTCGCCTAAGCTTAAAATACAATATAATTTATTGATTTTAAAAAAAATAAACTTCAAGTTTTAATTAAATTATAAATTAATACGAGAATTTTGTCATTTATATAAGGGATTTAAAAATTTTATAGTATAATATTTTATTTTTTTAACTATTAGTTTTCAGAACCAAAGTTTTTTTAAAAAAATACTATATTTTAGAGTTAATATCTATGATTATAGTACTTAAAATAACTGGGTTTATATTATAAGCAAAAACATAAATATAGTGAAAATATAAATAAATAACTTGTCTTTTCATGAGTAATAAGAATCTTAGTAAAGCGATGCATAAATAATTTTCAAATATTCAAGTTGAAACAATCAATGAATGCAGAATACTATGTTGAAATGATCTGGAATTGAGTTAAATCAACGTTTTTTTAAATTATAAAAAGGTATCTATGTAAACGGGTTCTTAACTAAAGACATAATTTAACAAATTTGCTTAAATTAATTTTATATTAAAAATAACTTATGAAAATAAGGAGATACTGGTTTGGCGTGATTCCTCAAAAACTAAAACTATATAATATTTTTAATAGCAATAGATGTAAATTGATTTTTAACAGAAGATAATATTTTTTTAAAAAAATTTTTCTTATCCGAAGTGGACACCTTTATAGGCCTTTCAAAATGAAACTCGATTGCTAATTTTTAAAATAAAAAACGCTAGCTCTAACCTGGCTCCTATAAACTAACTATTTGAGTTAACCTACTGCAAAAAACGTCTCCAAAGCTGTTTAGAAAAAAATTACACTCACCCTTATATGCGAAAGGCTAAAGAGGTTTTAACACAGGATAAAGATTCCTTTGGTTAATTTATAAACTCAAGCCCCCCAAAATCACTTCTTCGGTAATATTGAATTATACACAAAGTATAATAATTTGTATAACAATGAAATAAGATAGCTATTTTACTCTTAACTAGAATGGATAGGTTGGAGCATAACCCTGCATTCACAGTTGGCGCGAATTCGCGACGAAGCATACTAATGTAAAATTATTATATTTATATCACATTTCGTATGCTTCGCCGCGTATTCGTGCTAACCTTGAATGCAGGACATCTTATCATATTATCACATTATCTGCTAAAAAGGAAGTATACACCGAGCCGTATTGACCAAGCCAGATTTAATTATAAAATGGAAGCTGATACTAAGAAGTCAACCCCCTAAATGTTATAAAATATCTTAACCCCCCGCTCCAACCCCACTATTAGAAGCACATCGAGGTAAAAGTATAATAATAATAATAATATGATAAATATTATATATATTTATTTTCAAAACCAAATAACTTTTCAAAAAAAAATTTCCTATTTCCAAGAAATTTTTTTGTAAAAATAGCACTGATAATTGATTATTTTTTATAATATAAATTACTAATAATGTCACGGCAATTTATTAATAAACTTTATATATAAATTTTTTTTAAAAAGACTGTAGAAAGAAATATTCTTCCTCTTCATTTTTAAAGTATAAAATATTGATTTAATCAAGAATCTAATAAAACTTTTATTTTTTTTTTGTTTAAAATTTACAATTTTTCTTTTTGGCTTAAAAAAAAAATAAAGTTTCAAAAGATTTTTTTACTTTTAATTATAAAAAAATGAGTAACTTCGATGAATATTTTAAAACGCTAAAACAAAATTTTAGAATGCCAGGATTGAATCCTTATCATCACTTGAATGACGAAATTTTGGATGTGGGCGATATTTCTTCTGGGAACTCTTCCTCGATCATTCCAGCTGGACAAGATTGTAGTCGAGATTGTCATAATCTCGAAATTTTAGAACGTAGTCCAACCGATAACATAGTTGATGAAAATTTCGAAGATCAACCTCGTGAACAAAATGAATTGGAGAAAGGGTTTCCCTTAAATAATGATAGTAATAACATAATAGAGTATTTGGATGACAGAATAAGGCCCAAATTACAAAGGCGTGACACGACCTGGACCAATAGAGACATACCAGGGAATCGTATAACGGAATGGCAAGCTGGATGGAATGTAACCAACGCCATTCAAGTTATTAAATTTTTAAAAATATAAATAGAGTATTTATTAAAGGGAATCAAATGTCTCTTTGTCGCATTAAAAATAATGTTATTAAAATTTATTGTGGATTTTTTTTTAAAGAAATTTGAGGTTTTTTTACAATTATATAGATGGTGTTGGGAAAATTTAGATCAATATGGATAAAAATTTAAATACTTAAATTTGTTTGTTTAAATTTTTAAAAAAGACACTATGATTGTCAAATTTATGTTTAGAACAGATTTAGAAATATTTAATTGCAAGAATATTTTTGATTTCTATACCATGATGCTCAAGTAATATATCAGAGGCTTTTAAGACCAGGTGAATTGGGGGCGAATAAGACAAAATAATTTTTACAATAGCAAGATGAATTATTTATCATATTTTTTTTCTTCAAATTTTCTTTGAAATCATTTATAAAATCCAACCAAAATATAACTAATAAATAAAAAAAAGAAGTTCTGGCTAGTTAGTATCAAAAGATCTCTGCAGAACTCTGGTATTTATTTACTATATGCAGTACCAAACTCCTTTAAGGAACCGCTAAAATAACGAATTAAATAGAATCTCCAACAAATATAAAATCAAAATTTGCCATTACATATAATAATAAATAAACATTCCGACTTATCCAACCCTAAATACCTGTCATACAACCTGCTTTACTCAGTATTTAAAAAAAATATATCTAAACTATTCGTAATTAATTATTTGCCATATATATAAATCGATATTTTGAAGTCACATTATTATATAATTAAATAAATCATAATAAGTGTAATTTGTATGAAGCTCAAAAATCAAACCCAAAAATGTTACTACAGCAGTCTATAATCCCTAAAAATGAATTTAAATTTAAATACTTTAAAAAAAATTTAATACCAATATAAAGCAATATAATTATTATACCGTAAAAACTATTTAGTTATGTATGCTTTAACCAAAAAATAATCGTTAACTTAAAAAAAATGATTTTCTCGTATATTCTTATATTTATTATACCTATTTTGAAATTTAAATTGGTTCGGACGTTATCAAAATATAAAAATGGCGTAAGTTGTGGATAGTGTTGTTAAAAGGTTCGATTTTTTATTGACTAACTTACTATTTTCGCCATAAATATCACACAAGCCTGGAGATTTGCTAATAGATGGCAGAAAGAGTTGGACATCTATTAACAAAATCTCGAGGCTAGCGTAGTATAAAATTTTGGTGTTAACCTTAATTTAAAATTGGCGAAATTAAGTTGTTTAACAACACTAGGTGTGGAATATCTATATACTCATGGATAGAAAAAATATATTATTTAGCCCATATATATGATTAATATGTAATGTGTAATGAATATAAAACTAGCCCAACTCGATACGTTATGCACTTCGAAGGTGGTAATGTGTCGATAGAGGCCATACAGACTTGCATTCTCTGTTTCGATATCAACTAATTAACCAATTAGTCAACAAAAAAACGCGAAACAGTAATTGCGGCGGAGTATACAAAAATACATCATCTCTTGAATTTAGATAAATTTCACTATATAATTGTCCTCTGTGTTTTGTTGTGAACTGATAAGATTGTGGGGTCAGGCCAATCTTTTTAAATTTTTGTTGAAAACATATTAATATTAGACAAGAAGTGCCTCCCCCTCTACGGGAAATCAAACAGATACTTATTGCTGCCTAGAGAAACCCTCAGTTTTTAGTTTGATTTCTGTGGGGATGTCGAATACCAAACTAGTTAGCCTAAGCTTGTGCTGGACTTGGTACCAGATGCTTACTTCTGAGCTTCCATGCTATATAAAAAATTTTAAAAAATATAATATATAAATCATAAGAAAAACGATGAGTTCTAAGGTAAACATTCATTTAAAAAAAAATATGTATATATAAAAATTTCTTTTAAATTAACTTCAGTTTTAGACCATTTGCAGAAGTTAATAAAGTAAGAAGTTAATTAGAAACATTTAAAAACATAGCTGAAATTTAAGGATGTATATATATAACAATGAATAGGAGAGACCGGAGAAGCATACGGAGCCCCTAAAAGGCAAATGTCAATAAAAACTGCTTGATAATATTAAATATATATTATCTCGTTTTATTCCACTTATTTATAAAAGCGAGTAACCAATGGGAGAGAAAGATAGAAATCCCCCCCCCCCATCGCAAATTTGACTGTTTTTATATATATCATTTTAAGCTAATAAAAATTTTACCCCCCCCCCCCCACCTCCCAGTCAAAATTTTGCAAATTTTCCAACCTAAAACTCATATTTTAAAAATAAATTTTATTAAAATTTCCTTTCCTTGCGAGTGTATGAGAATTGTTCAATAAAATAAAAAAAATTTTAATTAAAGAGATAGAAACAGTAATTTATTTTATCATTATGATTATTTCTAGTTATATCTATTATGATTATTTTATCTAATTCAAAATTATTTGTGTGTTAGTAGGAATTAATAGGTATTTTATATAATATTTTAATTATTAAAAATATCTAGAATTTTTTAAATATTGTTCATTTTTACTTCTTGTAGAACAGAATAAATAGAAATACAAAAGTTAAATAGGACTGAGCATGAAATAAAATGAAAATACAAATTGAAGAAAAAAAGGGTATTGTATTTTATAAGAAATTATTATTGGCGTACGCAGCGGGGGGGGGGGGCAAATCCCCCCCAAAGCCAAAAAATGCAGATGCCGGATATATTTTTCAAAAATATTATTGTTTATATTAATTTATATTGTTAATATCTATTCGTATCTCATATTAAATATATATTTAATTACATTTAATATCACATTCATAAGTTATTTTATCAATATATTTCGATTTCAAGTTTTCCGGCGTAATATTTACTTATTATTTTCAAATTTTTAGTGACGTAATATTTATTTACCATTTTCAAATTTCTAGTCAAATAATAATTATTTCTGAACATCTGGTCCAACATGGAAAAAGAAATTGCAACCTTGTCCAACGAGATAGAGTCTCTGCCATCAAGCAGTAACAGCTTTTAAGAAGTTAGAAGAGCCAATTATTTGCTATTACTGAAATATCACAATGGCCTGAAAGAAATATTTCCTCAGAAGCAAGAAATTTATTGGATTCAATGCTTATTCCAAATTTTATTTCTCATTAGAATGTATTATTTAATTATACAACTATTTTAAGTATTACTTTTCAAAAACATGACATTGACTTGATTAAGAAAATGAGAATAGCAGAGAGCATTTTATCAGAATTCATGGAAATTAGGACTAATTTTGATGAAGAATTTCATATTTTATATTTTATTGGTGAGTCAAAAGCAGAGTTATACATGTTTAATATTTGTCTCCCTCGACTTGTAGCAAGGCAAGCTCATCGTTAAAACATTAATATAGGATCAGTAGAAGAGTATATCTTAGATACAGATACATTTATAACCCAAATAAATGAATTTTTAATTCATCACGCAGCACTTACTAATCTACAAATAAAGCCTTCCCAACCTTTTTCAGATGGTGAGAGAAAAAAAATTATTTGTTAGATTTTTATTATGAAGATGTTAAAGTATCTTATGATGCCTTACTAGCTGAATAACTATGTTTATAAGATTAACTATGGTTGATATAGTCCAAAAAATGCTATGGATGCTCTGCATTATTTCAAACACATTTTAGATTAAATTCCCAATGTATTAAAAGGGTTTATAAACTCTTCCCATTAGTAAACTAATGAGAGAACATTCTTTTTTTGTATCATTTGCAGGGCACGGCCCGGATTTTTTTAAAAAGATTTTTTAAGGCCCGGCCTGGGTTTTTTTTTCAGCCTGGCTTTTTTAAAAAAATATTTAGGCCTGGCTCGGCTTTTTTAAAAATTTTTAGGCCCCGGAATTTTTTAAAATAAATTATATTTATTTTTGATTTTTATAGCTAAAATACGATTTCAAATATAGGCTGTTTTAAAAAATACAGCCCGGCCTGCGTGTTTTTTAAAATATAATTCAGGGCCGGCTTGGGTGTTTTTTAAAAAAAAATTAGGCCCGGCCCGGGTATATTTAAAAAAATTAAAATACTGTCGGGCCCAGGGGCCGGGCTTGCAGGTCTCTGAAAAACATACCAAGAACATCTAAAAGTAGATTGAAAGGTTTGGATCTTTTGAATATTCATAGGCTTTTGACGACAAGCAAGGATGAGATAATTGAAAAATTAGCTTAATCCAAACGAAGATTGGATTTTACATTGTAAATATATAACATACAAAATACAATTATTCCCAAGAAACTTTTTGTGTAAAGGCTCAAAAAATTCAAATTTCTATTTTGGGTAATTTAAGTGATTCTTTACATATAATTTTTGTATAATTCACATTAATTTAAAATTGCGTATTATGAATAGTTATTAGTCCTAATAAATTTATGCTTGATATTTTTAAAAAACAATAATATTTCTAAAAAAAATTATTATCCCCCCCCCCCCCCCAGACCAAATTCCTGCGTACGCGCCTGGAAGTTATATTTTAAATTATATTCTAGTCAATATTTTTTACACACTACAAATAGTATTTTACTTCAATTATATGAGAATTTAAGCTGAGGCTAGTTTTTAAAGCAAATTCTATAAAAAAAATGACACTCAACTACCTAACTTAATATTATAAAATAGGGTAATAAACTTTCCTCTTTAAATATCCATAAGCGCGAATTAGTAAATAAAAGCTAAAAATATTAATATAATTATTATTGAATTATGAAAAACTTAATAGAATAACTCAAACATATGACCGGGTTCGAAGGCCGGGAAAAGCTGGTCGAAAGCCAGCTAAAGGTGGTTTAGGGGAAGCCCCATAAAAAATTCTCCACCTCCCCCTTCCATAGAAAAATTCTGGATACGCCATTGATCAACAGTATTAATTTTTCCGAATAAAATTTTTGGGAAAGAATGTGGGAAGGACGAGCCTTCCCATGATTCGTTTTTGAGCCTTAAAATATTACTTTTTTTTAAATATAAAAATTGATCTTTATATTAATATAACTACTTTATTGATAAAAATAAGCCATAATGGGAAATGAATATAAAAAAAAATTAGTGCAATTTATTGACAATTTAAACTAATAAAGAATGGATTAAAATTGCAACATGATCCAGCCCAAAAAGAGCCTTTACCATTGAAACACCAGGCCTCATTATTATGAAAATTTATATTATTTAATTTTCATATATCAAACATATACAACCTGGGGCTCATATGTGGATCTCCCTTACTACAAAAAACTTTTAATTTATATAAAGTGTAAAAAACAGAGGGGAAATTAGAATTTAAACTTAAGAGTTATACTGCTAAGAGGCAAAAAAATATACAGTCAAGCAAGAAGCAATATTTAAGATGAGTAGGGATGAGTTAATTATTCACATAAAAAAAAATTATATAACATATATTTTAACTTACTGAAAAATGCGAAAACGAGTTACATATACTTTTATTCTCCTTGTTTAGGCTTCAAATATTTTAAAAATTTCAAAACTATAAAATCAGATAGATGTATATAACAATCATTATTTAATAAAAATCATTAAAACCTTCTAATGCTGTTCTAATTATTGGGACTACTATACTATAATATCTGCTTACTTAAAAAATAATTGTATTTAATGGATTTTTAATTAATTTTCAACTTAACCTAAATCGATTTAATTATAACGATAGAGCAAAATTAGCTTCAATTTTTATTACACAACGAAAACTTATCATTCGATGAAAAAAAAAAAGATAAATAGTTTTGCTGCATAACTAAAACTATGACAATTTTTAGTGATCCTATTTCTAGGCTTCAATTATAGGCAGGTATTATTATAGATTATTCAAGACAGCAACCTGCTAATGATTTGTAGTGAAAATATTTATTTTATAATTTTCGTGATTAATTATTAGTTTTGAGTTAGGTCTCAAACTTTAGACATTAGATTTTTCCCATACATTTAATAAAGACGCAGTAGATATAGGAGTCTTTAACTTATTAGATATAGGAGTCTTAAACTTAGAATTTTATAACTTATAATCTATATAAAATAATAATAATAATAATTTCGAATTAAATACAACGTTTTAATATTATAATCCGCTAATAACATTTACTTTAAAAAGATTCCACATTTCCCATTTTGATTTCGGGTTCCCAAAAATCATAAATTTTACAAAGTTTTCAAAATTTTAAACTTTGCCCAACTTATAACATTTCTTTTTATTTCTGGCCTAATGTTGTTAAACAGCTCGTTTGAGCCGATTTTTAAAAATGGCTAACTCAATATTTTATCCAATAAAAATATTGCCTAAGGTTCGAGATTTCGCTAATCGATGTCTACTCCTTTGGGTAATCTATGAGCAAAATCTTCAGACTTGAGCAATGTTCTTCTGGATGAATTAGCCGTTTTTGATAATCGGCTCAAATCGAACCGTTTAACAACACTATTCGGGCCTATTAAGAATAATTTAATGAGATTTCTGATATATCCCTTATTCAAATTCGGTGACTTTTTTAATTTACTTCATTAAAACGATAATATCAATTATCAACTATTCAAGTTTTTTTTTTTTTAATAATGAAAATAGCTTTAACATTTAAAAAATTTTTTATCTTTCAATTCGAAAGACTATAATTGTCGACTAAAAAAATTTTTTTTTAGTATTATTTTAAAAATCATAGTAAATGTATAACTTTTAATTATTTTTTTTAGTATTATACATTGTGTTTGATTTGATAATTACAAAATTACTTAGGCATCATTTTTATATTTCCTAATTTAAATAAAAGATTTTGATTGTCGTAAGTATAAAAATTAAGTTTTGGATAAAAATAGAATTTATATAATATTCCTTATTTTTACAGAGATCAAATAAAATGTTAAAACTAAAGCAAAAATAAAATAAATATTGTTATATTTTAGTGTCATAATTTATTAAATGACAAAATTCATCAATAAGGTATATTGCTATTCCTAGTATATTCTTCTGATACTATAACTATTTAAAATGAACTAATCTTATATTTTAGATGAACATGATATTCTCCAAAATATTTGATGATAAAATCAATAATAGTAAACTTGAGTTGATTTATATTTCCAATAAAAAAGCTCTTAATTTAATTGATTTTGAATTGATATTTCTAATAGTATAAACTACTGGCTGATATAAAAATAATGCTTTTTAACTATTCAATCACCTAAGATATATATATATATAAAGGTTAAAGAAAAGATACCAATTACTAATTTAATTAATATAATTATTTTAAAAATTACAAAGGTTTTATAAATTTTGAAATTTTATATAATTTATTGGAATATTTTTTGATGTTTTGAGACTAGTGATGCAAAATAGCTTCATTTGGGCCATATTTTAAAAAAAAAAAAAATTTTGGTAGGAAATAATATTATCCAAGCCTCAATCTTCAGACATGAGTAATATTTTTCGGGTTAGAATACTCAAATGGAGCGATTTTACATCACTAATGGAGATTACAATTTTTTCTTTTTTTAGTTTAGATTCTTGATACGTCTCTTATCTGTCAAAATAATAAATATATAATTGGCCTATTTACCCTTCGTCGAATGCTATTTCAATAATTTCAGGTTCAAAATTTACCCTTTCCGATGACTAAATAGTAATACGCACTCGCTAAATTTACGGGTGCTCCGATTATAAGAAATTCAATTGGAAATAAAAAATGTGCTACTTTTTTTTTTTGATTAATGAATATACAAGACCTTTATCATGACTTAGTAGTAGGCGTTGGAAAGCTTGTTGGGAAATATACTTTTCTAAAGTTTAGGATCGATTTTGTAAACCTATATCATTATAGATAATTTTTTTCCTTCCATTATCGGAATTCGGATTGTTAAGTTTCATTAGTTACCTAAGCTTAACAATAAAATCATTATCGCTACCAATTTTAAAGAGTGGCAGCTTAAAAATTAGACAAGGATCATAGGAGATCATTTAAAAGTTTTCCGCATTTGTTTATTCAATTATTTATATAACAAAGCTTGCTTCTTTTAAATAATTTAAAATGTGATACATATCAAAAACTTATACTAAAATAAAACTATTTTTTATTTTATTATACAAAAAAAGGGAATGTTTATAGTCAGTCTACCCTATGCTGTACTCTACGGTGGATATTGGGCAGTTTTTGCTATGATCATCGTAGCTTACATATGCTACTACACGGGAACAATCCTCGTAGATTGTCTTTACGATGAGAAGGAAGAATTAACCATGCAAGAGATTAAAAATTATCACGGAAAAATTTTCTTGGAAGAGAAAAGGACTATGGTAAGAATTCGTACTAGAAATAGTTATGTGTCTATAGCCCAGTCTGTTTGGGGCGAAAAATGGGGAAGCATCTTAGTCAATAGTGCTCAGATCATAGAACTTCTTATGACGTGTATACTATATTTAGTATTGTGCGGAGATTTGATGTTCGGTTCATTTCAGAACAGTGCTTTCAATTCTTTAGTTTGGATCATTTTCGCTACTATAATGTTGTTACCTTGCGCTTTTGTCAAAACTTTAACAGGTATCTCAAGACTAAGCTTTGCTTGCACTATCGTTCACATCATCATCAATGCAATAGTCATCATATATTGTGCGAGCAAGATAAAACATTGGTTTTGGGGCCAGGTACGTTTAAAGATTGACATGTGGAATTTTCCGGTTTCAATGGGAGTCATAGTTTTTAGTTACACCTCACATATATTTCTTCCGGCCTTAGAAGGAGGTTTAGAGAGCACCTCAAAGTTCAAAGGCATGCTAAAGTGGAGTCACATAGCGGCTGCTTTATTCAAGTCGGTCTTTGGGTATGAAATAATAAATTTACAAATATTTTAATTAAACTTATTTATATTAGTTTTATTTTATATAAACTGTGCAAACATATTTTTTACACTCCTTAGATACGTCGGATTTCTAACTTTTGGAAAAGACACACAGGAAGTTATCACCAATAATTTTAACAATCTAACTTTCAAAGGTATTTTAAATATAACCTTGGTGATTAAAGCTCTTTTCTCTTATCCATTACCATATTTTGCGGCATCCGAATTGCTCGAAACCGCTCTGTTCAGGGGTAAGTCCGAAGGAACGCCATTTCCTACGTGCCTAGACATCGAAAGTGGAAACTTTAAACTATGGGCTCTTGGTTTGAGATTACTGTTGATTTTGATAACACTAGCCATGGCGGTTATGATACCATATTTTAACATCTTAATGGGGCTAATAGGCTCATTTACGGGGACTTTGTTATCTTTCGTTTGGCCGTGCTATTTTCATATTAAATTAAAGGGAAATTCCCTCGAATCAAAAATTCTGTACCTCGATATCTCGATCATTATATTAGGAGGGTTGTTTGGGTCATTTGGAATGGTTTATTCATTTATCGCACTAAGAAAAGCTATAAATATCTCTAAAAACCTATAATTTGTAAGGTTTATATAATACAAACGGGTTCCCAGTTGCTCTAAATAACGAGTTAATATAATATACCCAACCAAAGAAATAACCAAAAATAAATAATTAATAGTTGATGATAGATGTAAAAACTGAATATATTAATATATCGTCGGCTCTCTACAAACCCGTCTAATTAGCTTTTTTTCTTCAGAACTTATCAGGAGAGGCAAACGGGTTTTAATATTAAAAAAACAATTTTAAGGAAGTAATAAGCTATATTTTAAATTAATAAAATTAACTTTTGTAATACGAATATTCGTATTCAACAAAAACTATATTAGTGATTCATAAATTTTTGCCCAAATTGTTACGATGAAAGGAGGCATTTCTATTAAATAACAGATTACGCACTTATAAGGTATTATAGAAAATATATTAATAAATCTATAAATGCAAAAGAATCCACTAGGAAAATTTTCTTAGACACTTCTAAGGCGAAACAAATTATATGTATAAGCCTCAATTATATGGATTTATCTGGGATTTAATACTTCTTAATCTCAAATCTACTGAGGAGCGTTTTTTTTGAAAGAATTTTTTAATAGATCATGAAAGAATAATTTAATTTTAATTTATTATAATGACTAACATAAAGTTTTACGATTTTTAGTAAAAACTAATAGTTGATATGATTTCATTTGATAAATTTAATTTCTAAATATCAGGTTTAGGGCAAATAGGTTGATTAGTTTATCACAATTTCTAAATATTTCTTAATATAAGACATTTCCTACGCCTTATATATTAATTCAACATATGTATTAAACATAATGATAGTGAAAATTAGAGATAAATTTATTGCCCTTATCAAATACAATTATTAGATAATATTTTATTATTTCCTATATAAAATGCCTTCGGATTTTATTTTTTTTATATTTGATTACAACTACAAATATTGTTGAACTTTTTATTTATGATGGGGGAGAAAATAATAATTGTGAATTGCATAATTAATACTTATATGTTAAATTTATTGACATTTATTTGATAATATTTATATAGTAAGTATAAAAATTTGGAAGTCTTTTGATTGAAATAAATTGAAAATTATGGCATACCATATGATTAATAGATGAATTTTTTCGCTTAAACATATAAATAAATTTTAGTTTTATTTTATAAAGATGATGCATAGGTTCGCCATGAAAATTAGATATAATAGACATACTCAATTAACTCTCATTTTATTATTTGGAATCATTCTTATATTTTATACCAAGAGAAAGGTAATTTAACGTTTACTATGTAAACTAAAAGAAGAAATAATAAATTAAATCTAATTATCTACGATCAAATTAAGTTTGACATTTTAGCTTAAGCGTTACAATCCCCAAATATTTTTTAGATATATTTCTTTCATTTTATCTAATATCAGAATTTCAAATGAGTTGTTTTTAGGTTTATTTATAAAAAAAATTATAAATTAGTTCAAGTTGAAGGGCATTCTCGAAAATTATAATATATTTGGAATTCATGAATTCGCTCTTAGCTAGCAAATTCACTGAATTATATCTCTAAAAATAAAGATGATTCGGGTTAAAAAAATGATTAACAATTAATTTTATACAAATTGCAATATCAATAATATGATAAAGCCGAATATTTAAAACAAATAAATATGGTTTAAAAGTGAAATTATTTCATTCCGTTGATTTTCTGAGAGATATTTGCATAAATTTTTATTTAATTGCTTATGAAATTAATTGAGTAAAGATATATATTAATTTTTTTTAAAGTATTTTGGACAGTAAAGATTTTTAAGTCTAAGATGGTTATAAATAACTGTAAATTTAAGAGTCAAATACATCATTAGAAATCGTTAAAATGTGTCCCGCTTGTCATTTTTCTATTTTAAAATTCTAAATAGGTTTCTGAATAGTGATTATTTTTAAATTTAACAAATAATTATCAAATTATAACTTTAAGCGTATTTAGTTATATCATCACCTTATGCCAAAATCCATAATTAAAAAAATAATTGAAATATAGTGTCCAGGCTCTGAATAGAATTCAGCAGAATTAAGAACAAAAATTGAGACGAGTAACGCTCGGAGAATCTCTTAATATTAGAAATACTATCCGTCCTATCAGTGTTATACTAACCTCAGATGATGCTTTAAGGTTTCTAATATAAACGTAGGCTTGGGGTTCTTAAAAAAAATAATATAACTAACAGGTCTATTATAAAATAATATTCTTGTGTGCTAAATAAACAATCATTCATTTTAAATGACTAAATATAATTAATTATTTTAAATAAAGTATATATATTATTCTCCCGATGGATTCAAAGAAAGGATGCTAATAAAATGTGAAAAAATACGCCAATATTCTTGGGATCACCCAAACAATCTCTCCGTGATAACGTTAAAACACCTGATCGTAAACGACAATTTAAAACTTATTTATTGCTATGTTCCGAAGGTGTCTTCTACTCAATGGAAAAAAATATTTTATATGGAAGAGAATTCTAAACTCATTAAAGAAAGCAATTTATCACAGGCGCACGTAAATAATCTGGTGCACGATAGAGCGCAATTGACTTATCTATCATCATTTAATGATTCCTCAGAAGTCGAAAAAAGATTGAATCATTACAAAAAATTCATGTTTGTTAGGGAGCCCCTCGAAAGGCTATTATCGGCGTATCTCAACAAATTCGGGAGCAATGATAATCTATACTTCAAAAAATCTTTTGCCAAATACATTCTAAAACTTAAACATAAGAGCCAGAGAAGGTTTAAAGAAACATTTAATTATAGCACCGAAAATATTGTTGAATTTAGAGATTTCGTTAAATTTATACTGAACCCTAAAACTCAAAAGTCATCCTATTTGATGAATGAACACTGGTTACCGATAACCAGTTTATGTGATCCTTGCGCAATCTCTTACGACTTTATCGGGAGACAAGAACAGATGATCGAAGACGGAAATCAAGTTTTATCGCGATATTTTAAAAAATCTGTATTAAAAAGTGATAATGCATTTAACCTGTTTAAATACGTTAAGAAAATATTACGTCAGTCACATCATAACGCGGACGATTACGATGGTCTTACGAAAACACCATTTATTCAAAGATCCCATACCAATGATTTGATGAATCCTTATTTTAGAAATATTTCGATTCGTGAAATCGAAGATCTAATTAAGGTTTATCAAAACGATTACATCCTTTTCGATTACAACGACCAAGCTATTTTAGAAACACTGATCAGCTTTTGACTTTGAATAGGTGTATAAATTAAGGAGTACCTCCTTATATTTTACCCCCCAGAAATAAAAGGACAGAAAATAGACATCAATGAATTAAATATAAATATGGTTATCTAGTTGAACAAATCCTATTTCTTTTGTTTTTTTTTGGAAATATTATTACCAGGGTTTATAAATAATGGAGCAAATTTTTTTAAATAAATTTACTCCCTTATTAAATTATTAATTTTTTTTTTATATATAGATTTCTTTTATAAAAAAATAAATTATGCCTTAATGTTCATCCAATTAGTCAATACATATTTTGGTATATTATTTTTCTTTTATAAAATCGCGATTCTGGCTCCCTAGCCCGCTCGGTCTCTGGTAAGCAACGCGGGTTTAATATATACTCTTAAATTAAGATAAACTTAAATTACCTATTAATCGTGAAAAGGGAAAAATAATCTTCTTCTTTTTATTTTTGTAAAATAATTATTTAATATTCCATTTTGAAAGAAATGTATTAGAGAGAGTATTATTTTTTTCTAATGTCGAAAGGAGGGATTTAAATATAAATATAATTTCGTTTGAAAAAACATAAAAATAAAAAAATAATAATACACATAACAATAATAATAAACTAAATTTTTTTTATCTCTTCTGATTTAAACAATATTTAATTACTATTATTAAAGATTAAAAATAAAGTAATTTAAAAATATAATATATTTTTTTTAATTGGGTCAGCATAAGCATGTTTAAAATGACATTTTAAAAAAAACAAAGTTAACACTTTAAATTCAATGAGATTGATATGTTTAAATAAAAAGAAATGACTTTAAAAAAAATAAAATAAACAACAATATAATACAGTGTAAATAATTGAAAAATTCGATGGCCAATCAAATTTGAGATAATATTTAAGAATTTGTTCTCGTCATCTATATAATGTAAATAATTGAAAAATTCGATGGCCAATCAAATTTGAGATAATATTTAAGAATTCGTTCTCGTCATCGAATACGTGTTTATTTTGTAACTCAAATCAAATAAAAGCTTGGTGTATAGTAGTAACAATAAAAAGACGCTAAAAGTTATCACTTTCATAAACGAAGACAATGACAGGTAAAGTATGATGGACGATAGGTGCCAAACCATCTCCATTCCCATACTTATCAGAATAATTTTGATCCAGTTGAAGCTTTTACGATATTTGAAAACTTCCGAGCCTAAGTATCCATAGATAGAGATGTAGAAAAGGTGCATAGCCAATTGAAGCATCAAATATATGGGATCTTTAGCGAAAGGGTAGCAAAATACTTGTATCCGAGGTGAAATCTGACCATCGGAATGGCTGTAAACCTCTAGATATGCAGGGTTCGAGGCATCGAAAATTATGGCAACCGTACTTATGATGATCTTGTTTATTTTTTTTCGAAATATTATATAGAATAAATAATCACAAATTAAAATGGTGAAATAATCCGTAGATTATTCCTTTAACCCTTTAAGTTTTCTCATAAAATAAATATAATGCCGTATTTATGATAAATGCGTGAATTTTTTTTTTTTAAATACAACCTCCACACTTATATGGAAAAGTATCTTAATAATATATTCATGGTTGTTTCATTTTATATGATCAACTCCTTTAGAAGATATAAAGGTTGAAAGGTGGTTTTATATTTGCATCTGCTTTTAAACATATTTTCCTTTGGTAATTATAAGTAAAAAAATCTAAAAAAGAAAAAATAACATTGGACTTACCCTGCAATCACAGTTAAAGCGAATTCGTGGCAATGTAAAATTATTATATTTAAATCATATTGTATACTTCGCCACCAATTAGCGCTAAACTATGAATGCAGGGTTTGGGTAAAACAAATAAACATGGGTTTATTTGATTTTTTGAAACAACATAAAATAGAATTATAAGGGTTGAAAAATAATTTACATGTGGCAAATCGAGATTAGGATGTATGAGGGGAATTTTATCTATAATTATTCATTTTTAAGTTTTTAAAAGAGTTGTCGTTTCCGCTTTTTAAGTTTAACCTATCAGTAATTTATGTTTTTTATGTAAACACCAAAGTGTGGGGTCTGAACAACCTTAATTTCAACTAATTCGATATATCTCCATTTACATGCAATTTAACTTATTTATTTTACTTTAACATATATCCTATTAAAATCTTAAACTTTGCAAAACATTTATTTATTTTAATTAATTATGTTTAGATGAAAAATATATTTGAGAGTAATTATAACCACGGACATAAAAAGAAACATTCCGGAAAAGGAAATTGGGAAAAATTATAGAATTTGAGCGAAACTAACGGTGATTTAGAAATTTAAGAACAAAAAAATTTTCTGTTACATAAATAAATATAAAATTTATAAGAGATCATTGATAAATAAATTCCTCGATTAACAAAACAATATCATTGCCCATTTTATTAAATAACTTTCAGAGATTTTAAGATGATAAAAACATTAGCTTAAAATTAAATTTAAAATTATGTTCACTGTTTTGTTATTAAAATTGATATCATATACAATGTTTTAAATCTCAATACGACAATCAAGTTTATCACACCATTAGAAAATATCTTAATTAGTGCTGTTAAAAGGCTTTCGATTTAGCCGATTTTTAAAATCGGCAAACTCAAGATTTTAACTTAAAACAAATATATTACCTAAGTCTAGAGATTTTGCCCATAGATGGATTAAAGCATCTACCAAAAAAATATGGAAGACAGGTAATATTATTTTGGCCAGAAATCTTGGTTTTCGAGACGTTTAATTTAACATAAATGTTGATATTAATAAATAGTATTTGACAATCATTTATTGTAGTTAGGAACTTCATATTTAAGCTATTAGAAATAAAAACTTAGGTATAAGTTTTTGAGGGGGGGGGGGGGGTGCTTTCATTAAATTTTCTGTCATGTAGACCCTGGAAGGAGGGTTTGGGTAAAGGGCTAAAAAACACATCTAGACCTTTAATATTTAATATAAACACCTATGTATAAATAGTATATTACAGCTACTAATAAGTGTCCAGAGTATGAATAAATGAGTGAATATTTCGTGTAACGCTTTCTAAAATTTTTGACCGGATTTAATTTATAACGAATAAATTTTAATTTTACGCAATTAATAATTAATAAACTGATTATTGATATTTGGAATAACCATTGACCGATTTTGCATCCTAGTGTACTAAGTTGTGATACTATTAGGATAACAGAAATAAATCCCATTAATAGATTAATATACGTGGTATAGTGAGTTATCTCAAATTCTTTTTGAAATGCCCAGGCATTGTAATATCTAGCACTATAAATGAAGGAGGAAAAAAGTAGGAAAATTCCCAGGATAGCGAATACTAGTATGCAGCTATACACGCGAATATTGTATCGTTTGATACCCATAATTGCAATAGTTAAGCAAGTTTGGTTTGGGTGAGTGACATTGGAATTTGATGAAATCCAAGGAGCCGTGTATTTGGGACATCTGATACATTGTTTTATTATGTTGCGCACATATATTTCATTCGACTTGCAAGTCACGCACTGCCAACAACAGGGCTTATCAGATGTGACTTTAAATTCTGTAACTTTGCAAGGTTCGCGACATCTGGATGGGGGAGATTTGGTCGAATCTATGTAAGATATATTACCCCATATTAATGATTTTTTGATTATAACTTTTTGCTCTTTAATTAGGTACAGGCCAACGTGCCTACAATAGAAATGTTCAATGTTATTGATTTTCTTAGAAACAAAATTGGATATGACCATAGTAGGATATAAATAAGAAGCATTGGATATTTTTAGGGTTTTCACGTTCTGATATGGGACCGACATTAGCAATTTATTTTGTATAATTAATCCGTTTAAGCAGGATATCTTTTGTTTATTTGTTTTATAATGATAACAGGATTTGTTGAGCAATTTCTCTATATTACTCCATATAACTTGAACAGAAAATATATTTAGTGAGATAATATTTTCATGAAATTTTTCGACCTTTGAATTTAATTTATTCTCTAATTCTAATGTAAATTCATATTCAGAACGCCAACGCTTGTACCAAGAGTTGGTTGAGTTTAGATTGTATAGCCATTTGTATAAGCCATGATCATGATGAACATTGTTGTATATGTAAATTGAGCCTAGAAGAATATCCTGAGTATCGCTTTCTATAATTAGTCTATTATTTTCTTTTTTATCGAGCCTGATAAATAGCAAATTACCAGTATAATTCTGACTTCTGATGAATTTTAAAATATGCAAGAATTCTAAGTTTCCTATAAACAAGACAACAACTATAGGTTTAGGCCGTTTCATTAACTTTAATATATCATCTCTCCAGCCATATTCATAAATATTGTAATGCATGTATGGAATTTTGATATCAGCTTTTACACATATTTTAGAACCCCTCAGTTTCTCGATAAGTTGAATTTTATATTTGTAAAAAACATCGAGATCGTTGTATATTATCGCTATTTCATCCCAGACAAATTTTTGGATCAAAAAGAAAATGCAGTTGATAAAATCTTTTTGATGGTTGGCCATTGAAAAGAAGTATCTAAATCTTAGTATATCATAAAATATAAATGTGTTGTATTCCAGGATGCCTAAAACAATGAATTTAAAAAAATCTGATTTAACCGGAAATGTATAACAACATGTCGAAATTAATGATGTATACATATGTACATAGGCGTAGCCAGAGGGGGGGGGCAAGGGAAAATCCCCCCTTCAGAAATTTATCACGAATATCATTTTAAGCTAATAAAAAATATCCCCGTTAGTCCTCCCCCCACTCCTTGCCAAAAATTATGCATATATCTTAAACAATAATTTAAAAGAAAGAATGTAAAAGTTGATATTTTTTTAATAAAACTATTCATCATAATTTATACATTTTTGGAAAAAAGCATTTATATATAAAAAAAGTGAACCAAAAATGCTTTTTAAGAAATGTAAAAGCCAAAGATAAGTCTTAAGACAAAAGTG